AAGACAAAGTTATTTTTTACAGTATGAATCCAGAAATAAAGAGCCTGACACGGTGGATGATTTTAAGGAGTCTGTGGTCGTCTCTCTCCTGATGGATCCTCTGATGTTTGTTTGGATTGCATCACTCGGCTGCGTCTCCTCTTCAGCAGAGTTTTCTGCAGTAACTGATTGGATGTTTGATGCAGAGTGACAGTTTTTTTTCCCCATTATGCTTTGTGTTTGACACAGGCACACACTCCGGAGCTGTCTGCATAATCTTACAGAAATCATTCAACCAAAGTATCCTTCTTGAAAACGCTTTCTTACTGGCACAGCATTATTATATTTTTTTATCACCATGTTGGATGTCAAGTACAGGAATAATAACAGAAAAGAAAACTTTCTATAAAAGTCTTTGCATGATAAAAAAAAAAAAAAACAAGTTTGAATTTGAAGTAGAGATAGCAGATGAATTTGATGAAATATCCACATGCTGTATTTGAACAGCATGTTGTGGGCTACAATGCTGTTATCTGACTATGTGAATAGAGAAACCAGAAAAAAAAATATAACGGTTTTGTGGGTATTTCTGTAAAAAAAAGTGACCAAATCAAACTTTTTTTTTTCTTTTTTGCAATTAATAGCACCTCCATTGAAACTGTGAACATTTAATCACATTGTGTTGCTAGGTAACCAGCTGATTAATGCCCTCAGGTGATGATGCTGGTTTCGTCCTTGAATACAGTTGTAACTCTAACACTTTTGTTGTGTGTTTGAGAGCTCCTTTTTCTTTCAAACACTCAAAATGAATTTACAGAAACAAATCCTGACAACATGATTCTCTCAAAATAATCCTGTCTGTCTTCTGTTTATCTGCAAGGAGGCTCTTAAAGGTTCAGTATCGCAAACATTACTTGTCATTTATATCTGTCAGGACAGATACAAAACACTCTTTTGTATCTGTCAGGACAGATACAAAACACTCTTTTGAATGCCGATACAAAATAAGTTCCCAATATAGACCAGCAGGTGTCAGCAGAGGACACACCAGGGTATGAGTGTTGTTTTAGTCTCCTCTGACCCGTTGGTGAACCGTCTGTATCACATCATTACTTCAGCTTTCGCAAGTGGTTTTGTGGTTAGGAACATAGACATTGCAAGAACTCACGCATGAGCGAACGTATTTGTCGCATTTGCAGTGAAAAATATCCATTTAAATGTAATATTAGTCACTTAATAAACTAAGATATATGTCTTATTTTCAGATATAACAAGCAAAAATAAGGCTTGAGTTGCTTGTAATAAGAAATTTGAAATGTTGAGCTTTTTGCATTAAGACATACTCATGCCAAAGAATTTAGGCCTTATTTTGTGCCTGCTATAACTTGAAACAAGCTCTACCCTGTGTGCATCATGGATATTGAGCGTCACCAGCTATGAGTTTGTTCAAACATGGATGTAGCTGTAGCAGAAAAATGCTTTAGTGTTAAATGCCAGTTGTCATGGAGCTTTGTTTTGAATGATGGGGTAGCTTGGAGAATTAAGAGGATTGACTGTTTCACTGCCACAGTGTCAACAGGCAGACATTTGCAATCAGGCTGCCACTATATGTTCGTTATGATAAATTAAACATTGTTTCTACAGGGTTTTGATTGATTAAGTATACAACACAGCAGGGTGAGAATCCATCTTCTAATAATCCCTCATCTCTAATCTAATAATCCAACACAACATAATAATGTTTTAGTTTGATTACAAAGCCTTCCTCTGCTTCTGATTTCAGTCGAAAATCCGACACACTATAAATCACTTAACTTTTTTCGTTGAAGCGACTGAAAGCAACATGAATAATGAGCGAATTAAAGAAACCAACCTCATGAAGAAAAAGAAATTAAGGAAAGTTTAAGTTGGACAAAAGTACTGAGGCAGCAGCACATCGACTTGATCAAGCTGTGATAGGTCTGCAGGCCAGAACAGAACGAGCTTTCAGAGCGAGTTTGGACAGAAACAAGAGCGTCATCAAAGTTTCCCAGGCCACGGGAGAAAGTGTCTCAGCAGATTTGAGCAGCAGTGGGTCTTGATTTGTCTTCAAAGCAACTCGTTCTCAGATCTGACAGTTTGTCTTCCTCGCATACAAACTCCAGCTGAGAGCAGTGCAAACTCTTGGACCTGACCCATAATTGAAGTGTCATCCTGTTAAATAACATCAGGCTTCTTCTCAGTGTGCTCCATTAGCTCCTTCATTTGTCCAAAACATGGAGAGAAACATCTGAGCCAAACAGCTGGGTAAAGGAGTTTTTGGAGCATGCTCAGAAACGTGCATGATTCCAAGCTTCCTCTCGTGTCTGATTTGGAAGTAATATTTGCAGATATTTACAGATTTATGAGAATTTTCTGCATGTTTCTATGCACCCTTTAACCTTCCTCCTGCGTTAGCTTTTACCACGCACCCACCATGTTAAGGGTCAGTTTTGACCCGTGTCTTAAATCAGCTGTAAATTACACTAAAAACAATTCTCTATCATCGAATTTGGTTCTAATCTCTAGGTTACCTTGTTAGGCTTCATTATCCATGAAAACATTGATTATAATATTTTTTGTAGTGAGCCTCTGGGCCTTTCTTTGTCAGTATACCCCTCATACAGACATCTATACTGAATTGATCTCACATGTCTGGACATGCCCGATGTTTTTTGTGCAGGGAAAAACATGGCAAAATGAGAATTTCCTAAATCTCACATGATCGGAAGATGATCTGACTGTCAGTGTGGGGCCTGAGAGTGCACATTTGATTTCAGTTTTTGCTCTGATTATTAGATATTGATCTAAACGGGTCAACAGTGACCCTAACACAACAAGTGTCATAATTTTAAAAAGAGCATTTTATAATTTAGTCAATTTATAATTTTATTTTCATTTTGTTGAAATAGAGGTTCCTGACAAAGTCAACGAGTCTTGATGCAAAAAAGCTAATTAAGGTGGTTCTTTTAAGCATTTAAAAACAAAAATGGGTCGGTGTAGACTCTAACACAGGAGCAAGGTTAAAATAACAAAGAAAGCTGAGTTTTGCTGCATGTGGAGACGTGCAAGCAATGCACTCACCAGAATACATTCACCACATCCACGACAAAGCCATTTTTTTGTGTAAGAGACATGAAAAAAATCTGATGTTTTTCAAGCCATATTTGAATTCATACAACAACTTCTATCACTCATTAGATGACTATTTTTAAATTTTACAGAAAAATACACTCTGCAGAATCTGTGGATTTCATTATGCATTGTGTTCTGGTTTTTATACCCATGCTCCCAATCGCATGGACCAATCAGGTATCAGCGGCCGGGCTTTGGTATGGGATTGGAGTAGGGTGACCTAATTCTGACTTCCCAAAAAGAAGCCACGCCTACACGGGGGCGGAGTCATGGAGTCGCATGAAGTTAATTTTGAGAGTTTTTCAGGTTGGATCGAGTGTCTTTTATGTGCTTCTAACTCAGTAAGTCCACATGACAGAAAATCGAAACTCTTGTACAAAACAGCAGACTTTTGAGGGATTTTATAAACTTCCTCAGACAAAGCCGGACAGGTTTGGACAGCCCGCCAAAAAGAGGACATGTCCAGGTATAAGAGGACGTATGGTCACCCTAGGTTAAAGTAAAGCTAGGGTGAAGTCTCTGTGTGACATGCAAGTAACAGTGAAGCTGAGACCTACCAGAAAGTACAGAACAAGATGTACATTTGGTGATTTAATATACCCAAGAAATCATGGTCTTAATTGTTTTCAAATATCTGCCGGGGTTGAAGTGAAGCTAAAGGAAAGTCTTTATCATTATGTGACTTTGCTGGCTCTAAAAAGTTGCCCTCCATCCCAGGTGTAGACTGATCTATGGTTTAATCATTCTCGTGGATATAAGAAAAAAGCGGAGGGACCCTCGAACGGTGCCTTGGGGAATCCCACATGTAATATTTGTCTTATAGGGTGTTTAAATTAACAGAGGTCCAAGAGTAACAATGACCCCGTGTGAAAAGTGCTCAGGACCCTTTAAAACATGCTCACATTTGGGCTAATACAGTTAAACCATTCCAGTAATATTTTTTTTTACCATATTTCACATTCAGAAAATAAAAAGCAAATCTGACGTCACAGTTTCCCTCTGCCGAGGAGATATTTTCGAAAATAGGATTGCACTTTCTATCAAAGTAGATTCCAGCATTCCCCTGTTGATGTTGGTTTAGATCATGGTTTTAAATAAGGTTTTTTTTCACCTCTGTAACCCAGACGTTATTTCATGTCTGCTGAACAAACGCGCAAAAAGAAACAGCCCCAAAACCCTACATCTGGGTCACACTCAGTTCAAATCAGATCCTTTTACTTCCTGTTAAATCCAACTGAACTCCCCAGAGCCGCTGGGTTTATACACAGAGACACACACTTTTCCACACACACACACACACTAGGATTTGTGAACTATTTATATCATGCTATCCTTTTTTTTTTTCGTGGGCTTTTCTGAGAAATTTCTGTAAAAGTGCATTATGTTATCCCAGACACAACATATTCCAATTCTCAGCACAGACATCCTTTTTTTCAGACAATCAGTCCTCAAGAATCTGCCAGCGGGTCCAAACACAGCGGAAATTATGAGAGCATGAGTCAGCGTGTAACCTTATGCAGCATCAGTATTAATAAACTGCAAAAAACAACCTGAGTGTGGGATCCTTGCTGCACTGCTACATTTTTAAGTAGTGGTAGCACAGGCAAATCTGACGCGATTTGTTTATTTGGGGATTAAAAGTGCCCAGAGTGCTCTGTCAAATCAGGATTAAAGACGGATGTGCGTCACACGGGAAGATTGTGTCTGATATTTTTCTTGGAAGTTATGAATGTCATCATTGTAGCTGCTTCCTACACGTAGCTGTCATAAGAAAACACAGTGAGGGATTCTGCTTCACAGCATGCGAGCTTCAAACCTTCATTCTTTGCTCTGGTGTCTGAAAGAATAAACCAGGACTCGTCAACACGTGTGAAAGAAAGACTTTATTTATGAAATGTGCTCTGAAAAGCGTTACATTCTGAACATTTTGCGGGAGTTGAAGGTAGAAGTGACGTTTGATTGGAAGCTGACAGATCTGAACGTCTTTCTCGTCTCGTTTCTTGTACAGAGAAACTGTTTTCTGTTTCATCTTAAAATGATGTGCGACGACAATATCAAACAAATCAGAAGGAGTCTTGGAAAATAATTGCTGCAGAGTAGCTACAGCCAATTAACGGTGGCTGAAGAGATCACAGTCAGAGGGATAGTGTGTTTTTTTTTTTTTTGAAGTGGGGTTGTGTGAGGTACTTGTCGATACTAAGTATATCACCCACAGGAGATGCTGGTCAGCTCCGTACCTTTTGGGAGAAACTGGCTGGAGAACTGGAGCTAGGCTATTAACCTCTGCAGACGAGGTTAACTCAACCAGAATTTTAAAAACTGATACCCAAACACTTAGAGTGGTTTAAGAGTGCAATCTATTTAAAAAGTTTTCAGCTATTTTCTTCCAGAGAGCTCATTTATTTTTGCACTATTTTTATGCAAAACACTAAAATGCACTTTCTCCTGCAGCACAGTAATCGACTGTTTAAGTCTGCGGGCTTGAAAAAAGATAAAGAATACCACCAAACTGAAAAATGAGTGATTCTGACTGTGACAATGACATGTCGCATTAACTGTAGACACCTTTATGAAGCAGAGTTTACAGAGGAATAATGAAACTCATCAGGCTGGAAGAGGGAAGGAGAAACCTTCTCTGCCAAAGCTCACGTACAACCGCAGTCTGCATCATCCAGAGTTCACCCAACGCGTAATAACACAACCTACAGTCCACAGGATATGTTTACCTTATCGAAATACGCTGTTAGCTGCTGAGGGGAAGACTGAGCTGGAACAACAAACTCTACAGTCATGACTAAATCAGCTAAATAATCTTAGGCATACGGTGATATCAAACTGAAATCAAAACTTAGCTAAATTATAGGGTAGAGTTGATTCAGTCTGCAGTGGGTCATTCCCATAGACTGTATATAGAATGGACAGCACCCTCTGGTGATGGGCTGCAGTATAGGTTATAAATCCCGCCCCCTCCAGCAATCCCTACGGAGCTGTGGACAAACTTTAGAAATCTACTACACAGAATATAAATTTTTCTCCCCCTGGTTGCGATGTTGACATGTAGTTATTGTAAGACTGGTTTGTGTTCAAGTCCTCTTTTTTCTGTGCAGCTCCGTTTTTAAAAGTTATTAAGGGGTTCATGTTTTCTGTGATTGACACTTGATACAGCCTATGGGTGTACACAGATTGCGTAGCTCACACGGGGGATACGCTGTTTGAGCCGAGTGTCATTACAGCGATTCTCGGTGACTCTCCCGCCCAATACCTACAATGCTACTGTGCAATGCTGGTTTCAGGAAATGAAGAAAAATCCTGGAAATACTGAGAGCTTTTTGGCTTCAGATCCATATACTGGCGAAAGGCAGAACCAAGTTGTCCATAGTATATACAGTCTATGGTCATACACTAGTGCAAGTGGTTCTCAAGTCCAGTCCTCGAGCCCCCCCTTCTGCATGTTTTGGACGTTTCCCTGCTCCAACACACCTGATTCAAATGATCAGCTCGTTATCAAGCTCTGGAATGGCTTAATAACGAGCTGATCATTTGAATCAGGTGTGTTGGAGCAGGGAAACATCTGCCCTCGTGTTTGGGCCAAGTTAACCAGGATCTCCTGTACTCACTACTAGAAACCACTCTATACAACCTCACTGGAAAAACAAAAAAAACAAAAAAAAAATACCCTCACTTTCCTCTGTACCAGGATTTGACATTTTGCAGTGTTCATTCTCACATCTGTGCAGCTGGGACGTTAGCAGGGGAACACAACTAGCCTAGCCTAAAACCACCTCAGATTTTTCAGAAAGCTTGTTGCTCCCGATCACATTAGGAAAAGCCTTCTTGTTCCACAAATCTGGCTGGATTTATGGACAAAAATAGCCTCAGAGAGTCAAACCACAGACATTACACTTTCCTGCAATAGCTCTGGGTTCAAAGTGATTGAAGTGACCTCCCTGTGAACACACAAATGGCTCATGAACATAAAATCCCGCTGAAAGAATTAAGTTGAATAGAAATGGAAAGCCTTTTGGCGCCTTAAATAACCAAACTGCATCCACAAAGTCAAGCACAGCACAGAGTCCATTAGCTGATCCTCCCCGCCTTGGCTTTTCACGCATGCACATGAAACACACTTTGGCATTCCACGTGGGCAAGTGGAAGAGCAGGGAGCAGAGCCATACCGCCAAATTGAGCTGATAATAACTGATGATGATCCTCTTGGATGAAAGTGGTCTTCACTTTTGTAGTGTGCCTCAGTTGTATTAACTTTGTTTATTGCAAGTTGCGTTACAAAGGCAAGGCTGTGCATGACCACCACTCACACAGAGCAGACAACAGAAACCCTGGAGACGACTTAAAGGAATATTCCAGCGTAAATTTAATTTAGGGTCAAACACACCGTAACACCGAGCTAGACACCCCCTCGAGAGATGAATGTTGCAGACCGCTTTTTTTTTCTGGTTATACCAACTTTAGTAACACGATAGCAATACACAGCGGTCTGAGGAGCCATAAACAAACCTCAACCAAATCGCCAAAACATCATAACAACCAAAACATCTTTTTAATTTATTTGCCTAATTTCTTTAGCAAAAAGACTAAACACAACTCACCCACTCCCTTCCAGCAGCCACTTGTTTGTAGCGAGACCTCAGGCCAGTCTACTATGGACTGCTGCGGGGTGACGCAGCTCAAGGAAGAACATTTATGATCATTACTTTATCATTTCCTTGAAATAATAATCATCATATTAATCATTTTGCACTGCAGATGTGGTAGTTCTTTTGCCTTAGAGTCTTGGTCTGATTGCATTTCCATGAAGAAATGATCATAAATGTTCTTCCTTGAGCTGCATCACCCCACTGCAGTCGATAATGGACTAGTCTGAGGTCTTGCTACAAACAAGCGGCTGCTGGAAGAGAGTAGGTGAGTTGTGTTTAGTCTCTTTGCTCAAGAAATTAGGCAAAGCTAAAAAGATGTTTGGTGGCTAGTGCTGTGACTAGGACCCTATATATACTGTTGATGAAGTTAGGTGCTGTTCTGAGCATTATTTGCGGCTAAAGCGTGGCGTTTTGTTGAGGTATCTATGTATTGCTATCTGCGGTCGTTACTAAATTTGGTATAACTAGAGAAGCAAGCGGTCGGCAACATTCATCTCTCGAAGGGGTGTCTAACTTGGTGTTACAGTGTGTTTGACCCTTAATCAATATCCCTTCCAACAAGCGAGTGGGATTAGATTGTAACACCCCAACTCCTCATAGCGTTAGACTTGCTGTCTCCCCCACCGTCACGACTTTATCCGAGGCTAATCATCCTCTGAGTCCAGCTGCACATCCAGTATACACATAAATGTTACAGATAAAATCTGTCTCCTAAAGTGAACTCTTTCCCCCGTATATATGCATATTTATATATATATATATTTAAAAAGTTTATATCCTTTATATAGAATCTGTCTTTGAAATACTGATTCATAAACCAGAACCTTGGAGTGAGCTTCTTATCACAGCGTGTCCAGCCTTGGAATAGGTTTGTGCTAACTTCTTCCTGACATGATTAAACGGTAAGCTGGATGAAACACAGCTTAGAAAACTATGTAGTCAGTCTTTGTTCTCACACAGAAAAAGAACAAACAATACAAGTACAGCCATTAAACCATGTTGGAGTATAAAAAAATGTTCACTTAAGGCGGTTACATCACTGATAAAGCTTTCCATTTTTTTAAAGTCCTTTCTATTAAATATACAACTAGAAAGATAGATTATTGCACGTCTGCAGCATGCAACAAGCAGATCTGTACAAGCCCTGTGTCGTGCTTCTCTGCCAACTTAAGGTATAATGGCACATGGATAGATTGCTGCCCCATAAATGAATAATTCATGATAACTGAAAGGATCCAGTGATTGAAACAAGCCCATAAGTCCATAAATACGGTAGATGAGAAGTCAGTCCTGTAATAGCGGTGTTTGCTGCTTTAAAACCCATAAAATCCTGTTCAGTTGTTGCTTTATGGGTTCCTCCAATCTGGTTAATTCCAAGAATAGTCCATGAAGATAACGAACGGCAGCAGCATTTACAGTCCCTCTAATGGAAATGTTGTCACTTCTTTATTCTGAGGGCTGTCAATGGAAGTAAGCCCGGTATTTAGCTCACTCGCTGCCTCATTAGCCATCTGCTCTGGACACATTCACATCCAAAGCGGCAAAGGTTACAGAGGCAATGACAGCCAAATGATATGCTGGTCTTTTTGTGACAGTCTGATCAGGAAGATGGAGCGCTTCAGAGGAGAGGGTTATTTAAGGAAGTCTGGAAAAGGGTTGGTTGCACAAGCTTTTCACTACAGCTCAGTGCTGACAGCCCCAACCGTGGATAGGCATGTGAGTTCTGTAGTTGGTGAGGCTTTTATGACAGTCTGAAAACTTGAGCAGGTATTTTTTCCCCCCATATATTAGCCATGCCAGGATCCAAATTCAGGGATAAAAAATTGGCAAATAGCTGGTGTAGAAAGTGGAATAAAAAAGCTTGCCTCTCGGGATTTGATCGAAACCATAAAGAGATCTATAAGGAATTGGATGAGCACGTGTTTAATACCAGAAATGAAGCTTATTTTGCTTTGTGTTTGCCAAGATAACAACAAAACAAGTTTGCATCTTTTACTATGCTGTTGTATCTTCTCTATTTAAATTTCCATGGTCATAATTGGCATTAAAATACCGACGCTGTCTTCACAGGACAGCCTTTTCAGAGGCAATCTGGTTACTTAATCAATCTTGGTAATTTGAGTGAGCTTTTAACTCTGCATGAAAAGCAAAAGTTGGAGTAAATAATATGTTGAACTGCAAACCTAGAAAACATTGGCCATAGTCTGACGACAATATTCTTTAAATACCCGGCTACTCTTAAATACTCCTCAATTTTATGCACAAAATACTTTTAAGAACTTTGACGTGTACACCACTTTTACCAGATAGAGATATTACATTGAATTTTGGTATTTTCCCAGAAAGATGGTACATAAAGACGCAAAGGATTTCTACCAAAGAGGAAGTCTTGACAGAGATATGGTATCTTGCTGTTCCAGAAGTCCTAAAATATTCATAATGAACTCAATAGATATAATTATCATCCGACAACAGCCAATGACCTCCAAGTTTTCTTTGCTTCAGACTTGTGAGTTATTCTCTGCAACTGACTGACAGCTCATCCCTTCAGTAGAACAACATATGGAAAGCACAGCGTACTTGGGGTGTTTTAGGGACCACTACGACCACCTCTGAATGTCATGGGCAGTGTTTGCTGTTGGTAAAGACAGTGACAGGTCAGTGCATGTTGATAAACCTGGTTCAAACTCGCCAAAATAAAGACCGATGTTACTCTCATTAGCTGGGTATCACCTCCCGAGAGAGCTTGGATTGGAGGTGTTACTCGAAAGAAGCTGGTGAAGGAGGTTCTGGCATCTGAGGATGTTAACTGAATGTCTTCCTTTGGAGGTACAACAGGAACAACCAACAAGATCAATGCTTGATGGAGGAATCATGTCCCATCTGGCCTGAGAGTGCCCCAGGATCCCTCATTAAGTGCAAGAAAATATTGCTGAAGAGAGCGATGTTTGGGTTCTGCTGCCATGTAACCTTCCCAAAAGGAAAGAGTGGATGGACACCTTAATAAACCAACCAAGCTGATGATAGTCGATAACTCTGTAGTTACTATCCTCTCCAGCTCCACCCTCTTGTCCATGTATAGTTGCCAGCTGCCAGTAAGCAAGGTGTGGATGGCAAACTGTCCAAACTCAAGGCCCCGAAGTAGAAGTCCGTAAACCAGGGAAGGACACGGCGGCTATGGCTCCCTCTGGACTCTCCGGTCTATGATCAAATGCAGAGTTGTAGAGTCAGCGGTGATAAGCTTGCTGTAGGCCAAGTCCGTGAGTCTTTTCTTTACTGGCTTTTGAATGGTGTAAGATTAAAACCTGTGCAACCAGCCCTAAAAGTTTGTTGAGTAGTTTTGGAGAAAATGTGAGCTTGTGATTTGATGATGAAAAGGAACAGAAGTGGCCCAACCCAGCAGTGACCTTTGAGATATTCACACTCAGTAGTTTATGATTATCCCTTGCAGCCAGTCTTGCAGGCTGCTTCAGTTTTAGCCCAACGGCATAGGCTCAGCAGTACACGCACCAATAGATCAGGTTAAAAAGGATATAGGATCCGGGGAAGATCATGCGAGAATAAGTGTCGATGGCATGAGTGTTCTGGATGATCCTGAAGCCGCGGATGCCTTTCTTCTGCTTGTTCCCTGTGGGCTCATTGTCCAGGGAGAGATGCACCACCATTCGCTCCTGTTTTTCTGACGCATCCTCAGCTGCCATGGAGGCCCTCGTGTATCCAGCCAGGCTGTTTGCGTCTGCCTCGCTGTACGTCCCATCCAGCATCATGGTCCTGGCGTGGGACATCCCACAAGTGCAGGGAAGTGTCTGGGACTGTATGAGAGGAAGTCAAAATAAGAAGTGAATAAGAAGTCAAAAACACCATTGAGTATTGAGCATCTGAAAAGATCTCTGTACCTGCTCCCTGGCTTTCTCGCGTAGCCGGCGGTCTTTCCCGTCTCTCATCGTCGTTAGATAGTTGACGGCAGCGTACTCAAGCACAGACAGAAAGACGAAGACGAAACTGACCCAGAGGTAGATGTCCACAGCTTTGATGTAGGAGACTCTGGGCATGGAGGCGTTCACTCCAGTGATGATGGTGGACATTGTGAGCACTGTGGTTATACCTGAAGCACAGAGAGCAGACAATCTTTCATCAACTCTGCAGATTATTTGCTAATTGATATCATCTCTACCTGACAAAAGGATCTGAAAATTGAGCCAAAAAAAAAAACTAGATGCTCTAGAAACAGAATCGCTTCATCAAGCGTGACTAAATAAAACATGTTTGATGGATAGAGACTGGAGAAAATGGTGTATTTATCTTGTGGTTGGTTTCATGCCTTTAGGATCACATTCAGCAGTTACAGCTCCGGTTACAGAGCCAACTCAATCTCATTTCCAACAAATCAAATTTGGTCAGTGGCCTCAAAATATGATGATGCAGGTATCCCTCTAGACAGTTTTGCTTACTAGGCAAATGACGAGGAATCAGAGGCATCTTATTTCCAAACCCTGGATAGTAGTTGATGGCTGCATGACTGATTAGATCAGAATTACGATCAGCTCATTCCCAAACAGAGCAAATAAGAATCTTCAGATTGTTGACCTTCTTCACTTTCCCATGGTCTCTATATTTGCTTTTTCCATTGTGTGTTTATACAGTAAGTGCATTCATCGCATTCCTACCAAGTGAGACCCTGGCAGGTACAGCCCTGCGGTCAATCCAAAAGGACACCCAAGACAGCATGACCATCAGCGTGGCAGGAAAGTAAGTCTGCAGCAGGAAGAAGAAGATGTGACGCCGTAGAGTGAAGTTGATGTACAGACGGTTGTACCAGCCTGAAAGGAGAAAGGAAAGAAATATTCAGCCAAAGTTTGCAAATCATATTACGGTACACGTGGGAGGTAAAATAGAGAATGATGTGCCAAATAACACAAGAGATGAAATTATATCAACTTTTCTGAACCGGAATGATAGAAATCTGGAGGGCATTTCAAACTAGACAGGAAAATCTATAAAAGCAGAGCAAAGAAACGTCAAAAATGGCAGAGTAAGAATGTGAGGGGGGAAAAGCCCAAAGGTGTGTTTTTCATATCAGTGTTCTAGTTTCTAAGTTACAGAAACCTTTCTCGGAGGAACTCTCTTTGTCTGGATACAGTAATAGTTTCATTATTTCAGAGAAAATAATCAAAGTGTCCTTGATTGGCATTGTCAGTGTGCTCTGTGTATTGTGGAGAGTAACTAGGACACCGCCTCTGCCATGATAAGATTCTACTAACTTTAATTCAATTTTTTAGTCTAAAAAGCCTTCAAACGTCATCATACTGGTGTACGGATTTAAGACTGTCACTTTACATTCACAACACAACCCGTGAAAACAATATTCTTGTCATTGTCAGAGTAAAACGGAGGTAGTTTTTGCTGCTATTTTCTGTTTAGGCTGTTTTCACTCTTGTGGCTTTTTTGATTTATTTCAATTTAGATGAACAAAATAATACACTGTCTCATTTTCCCCTTGGCTTGTCATGTTTTCACACTGCAGCAACACAAAGCTGAACTGCACACCTTCAAACGGCGGTCCTTAAGTCATGCCATTACAGTTTAGTTTTCCAACAACATAGGTGAATAAAATCCCTGCTCAAGGTGGGAAGACGGTGTTGGTGTTTCGGATTTGAGAGTAAACCTGTGATCTTACATTTGCCAATTAATCTAAAACAAGGTGTCTTGAAACATTTTTGGTAAACATTTTAGAGTGTATCTTTCAGTGTTTTATTATGTATTTTAGTTTATCTTTTGGTGTTTTATCATCTGATTTATTACCTCCATTTAATTTGTTCTCTTCTTTGCTATTGTGAGTTGTAACAATTTAACCTTGCCTCTAGCAATTCTTTATTTTAAACTTGTGAAAATGTTTCATCAGTTCCTCTTTTACCCTTTTTTAACCCAGTTTTTCTTTGTTTTGTCTGTTTAATAATCACTTCTTGCCAGTGGTTCCCAAATTTTTCCATACCCCTGTTTAGAGGACAATTTTTTTTAATGTAAAGTGGAATTTTGAAGCATATTAGAAAATGCTGATTCAACCTAACTTTTAGTTAATTTAGTAGCAAAGTAGCAAAGATTCGGAGCTGAAACTGGTCCGCTTAGACCAAAATCATTTTTTTACTAGTCTATAATATTCACCTTTTCTTTAAAGTTAGGCCTTTTGAATGGGTGTGTATGTGGCTTTTGGGCTTTTAGAGCCAGCCCCAAGTGGACATTCATGGAACTGCAATTTTCAATACTTCTGCATTGGCGTCATTTCTCAAGACTGAAAGTTGCTGCGAAGGCCTCTTTCACACATAAGTAGGTAATTTTGTTAATGTAGCATTTATGTGCACTATGGTCTTTTAAACACATGCAAATAAATTTTTCAATCACTGAAAATCAGGTATTAAAAAAAAAAACCTCTCAAGTGAAGATTTTGGAAAACTCAGTTCGTGTGGATAGCATAGATGAAAATTTTGGAAACACTAATGTTATTCCCGCAAACTAGCATTTCTTCATTGCTGTATCACAGTGCAAGAAGGAATACAGGGATGCTCAATAGATTTTGATTCACCACTACATAAACAGTTTAAAAATCCTTGTACACAATCACCAAAGCTGCTCCATAATGTGCCTCTATGGTGTTTTATGAGACTATAAGTGAACTTAACTGATGCCGACTAGTTTGGCACCTCATTTTCCAGAAATACCTGCTTTCTGTAGCTCAGAAACCAGAGAATGACTTTAGCTACATCCACCACAAATACACAGACCATAATCAGTATGCAACATTTCCTCCCATCCTTAGATACTTGCTATATTATGCATATTTCTCTCATTTAATCTCATTTAAATTGTATTTGATGCATATGTCATGCACTTTGGTTTCCTTTGTGCATTAGATATGCAGTGTAAATTAACTTTCCTTGACAGCCCTGCATCGTGCTTCTTTGGATTTTCTCACTTTAGTTTGACTCTGCAGACGCGATTACTTCTGACGCTGCAAAATTGGAGTCTAATGTGCCCGTAAGCTTGCCTCGGGGCAAAGAGTCCCCGCTGATTCCCTGAATTTCATTTAATTTAGACTGCTTAAACATGAGTTTAGTGAAGAAACTGTTCCATGTTAGCATGAGGTCAACTCAAATATTAATTGGATTAAAGAAAAAGCCGACAGGTATCAACAGACAGCTTTGATTAATGAGTTTCATCATGCCCTTTTCTGTTTCAGCTCAGACTGATCAAATAATCAAACTAATCCCTTCTTTACACGGCTGCACAGTAAACCTGGACTCTTTGAAGCACCTTTGTACAGTCCCCAAACATGACAAGTTTTAACAGGCGTCACAGAAAGTAAACATAAACCTGTGAGTGTACCTGTGCTGCTGTAGAAGGCCAGCCTGGAGGTGGTGTGAAATTTCTGGATGAGAAACTGAGACAGGGAGATCCTGTCATCTGTGCTCAGGGACTCATCGCCACTTTTCCAGTAAAGCATCAGATCTTCATCCGTGTAAGCATCTACAGAGCGGAGAAATTAGAGGAGCTTTGTTTTCACTCAAAACCACAATGAGGACACATCAAAACCACAAATAAATAGAGGACAGCTGCTCAAAAGTTTGGATGGATTCATTGAATATTGGTGTCTACTTCTCACAGATATAAATGTGATTACATATCAGAGTCCCCAGCATCTCATTTTTTATTCAATCACAAAAACTATTTACTTAAAATGATTGAAAACAATTTTCCATTTTCAAACTGTTTTTCTTCTGCAGTTGAGTTAAATTCAAAGCCACAAACAGAAAAATCTCTGCAAACCTGACTGACAATTGGCTTGTACATTCTTTAATAATTATATCCAAAATGTGTTTTTTCTTTCTATTCCAAAATGAATCCTAAAATTGAGGCTTTCGGTAAGCCCTCAAACTCACCAACCTCCCCACATGAATCGGGCCCCGAAACTTTGATATTTAAGAGTTTTTCAAAATAATTCACAAAACTGGCTCCACAGTTCCTCCTTAAGTTTCAGCTGGCAAACATTCAACCAAACATTTCCAAGGGGTCAACTTGCACCTAAACCCAACAGGAGGTCTGCCAGGGGGTTAAGTTGTTTGAACTGAAGTGAAGATATCTAACTTTTCAGACTAATGCATGAAAATAAGCCTCAGAAAAATGCTTAAAAAAGGCTTCCTGTTGCATCAACAAGCAGCAAAGTAGTTCATCATACTTCAGGATTTTGGGGTTGGAGTCAGCCAATCAGAATTCAAGAGAGGCCCAGGGCACCAGTGGACTCCCCGGCGTTACTTGAATTGGTTGTTTTATAAAAGATGCTCTTGTGTTGGATTGCTTTGTTGAATCTGTGTTTTCAGCTCTCAGGGCCTCCGTACAATTCAATATTCAGACTCAGTGTCTTGCTGATTGAAACAACACTCTACAAAACACCCTTCAGGCCTTTAGTAATGAGCGTCACATTATCCCCTCTGTCTCTTCGGCTCTACGGTGAAGTGTCAGATCAACAGAAACACTCACAGCTCTCCAGCTCCAGCGTGCACGTCTGCGAGTCCAGCGGGAAACGGCTGAAATCCATGTTGCAAGCGGCGGTGACCGTGACCCTAAAGGAGTCAAAGCAGAGAGTAAATGTCACCTGTGAGGGCAGAAGTCTGTGTTTGTGTGAAGCAGAAGGGGTTTGTGTCCTCACCTCAGGCTGTAAAGGACATGACCGTCAGGAAACACCCTCAGCATGATGTTGTCGGTGGTGGTATCATGGATGAAGGACCTCTTGGAGTGGACGAAGAAGACGTCAGGCACCCAGATCTTCTTCACAAGGCGTCCGTCGAACGTCATGCTCTTGTTGGTGGTGCTGGGGAAGGCAAGACGCTCGTCTTTCCAGTAGTGTCTCAAATACAGGGTCATGGTGAAGTCCTAAAAGGGAGGAGACGGTGGAAGGGGGTTCAGATACAAAAACAGAAGAGAAAGCAAGGACATGTCCTCTCCAATATCACACTGCTACTAAAGTCTCAATACCAATACTGAAATGTGGTCCAGGCTCCGAAAATGGGCCCTAAAATTACACTGTGTTCACAATAGTGATCACAATCTAAGGAATAAATTGGATGCTGAATGCAAAGAGGTTTCTTCAAGTCCCTCTATATTTGCAAGTGTGTGTCTGGCATGATCAAACAAAGCACAATGTCTGCTTTCATTCCCTTCAGCAAGAGCAAGTTATACCAGAAGACAAGGGTGTTACTATTTACACAGCAGAATCTCTCTCATGTTTTTGACACTGGATTATTTCATTTGTATGTTTTGAAAAATTCTGTTCTTGTTAATATCTGCTTGGAGTTACTGTTTAGGGACTGTATAACACATACTGTTAATTGTGTTTCACTGCGTTTGTGTTTTTGCATGTACTTGAGAGAGTGGCGGAGAGTGTTGGGCTCAGTCTGAGGTTTCTGTACCATGCAGGGCTGAAGTGAAGTAAGTGTGTGAAGAGATAGTGTTGTGGGTGTTCTTGTTTTTTGGTATCCTGAGATCAGCCCCAAATCAAATGCAGAGTCATGATCTAGTGTTTGAACGATTCGTTCCTTTGAACGATGCGTTCAAAAGAACCAAATCTTTAAAGTGAATGTACTGAACCGAGTCACTTCCTCGAGAGATTCGTTCGTTTGTCACTTGAGTTGAGCTGAAGCGAGAAACAGACTTGCCAGGCCAGCAGCTGGCGAACGAGGGACCACATGCACCGATGCCTGGCTCACTTGGTGAACGAATCATACATTGAACTACTCTCTGGAATCATTTTTGTCGGGCAAAAGGACCTTTTTTTTCACTGCTAAATTGTCAGCACAACATCTCGCATACAATAGGACACAGCATGTAACAAGTAGTGAATTAAACCCGCAGCATCCTATCATTGCAGCGGTTTGCAAGGGAACGGTTCATGTTCAGTTTGAATTCTTCTAAACGCTCAGTGAACGAATCACTCACTGATCCCAATTTACCGAGCAGACCTGGTAACTAGCATACCATAGGACAGTACACTTAAAACATCACGACTTATAAGCAAGTTCATTTTTACAAACCTGTTTGCCAAAACAACACAGCCAAACACTCTTGTCTTGTGAATTGAACTGAATCCTGAAATGTTCAGCTGTGTTTTAGTTCAGGAGGTTGGAGTCGCAGGCTTCTCCCGCTAAATGATTAAGTGATTTGGTGAACGAATCTTTTGATCAAATCTTGTCAGTGAACTGATTCTAGTGATTCAGTACATCTAAAAGAACTGCCATGCCCATCACTATCATTATCCATAGAGACAATAAAAAAATACTTACAAGTCTAATAAAACTCTGTTTTATTGCATCATGAAATGCATTTTTAGATATTTTTATTCTGAGTTGGAGCTCAGCTGTGCATCTATTTGTGCAATTTGCCCCCGAATATCAGAAAACACTATGCAGCAGACTTCAGGCTTAAGTGGGGATTTTGTTGGTTTAAGGCTCATATGTTTTCTGATTTCTAAAGACAGCTACATGCCATCTTTGTGCCAGACCACAACCTTATTTTAGGCGACCTCAAAGTGGGCACAAATTCACATGCTATTCACCAAAACCTGGGTCCCGGGATAAAATGATGAGTGTGTTGGCTGGCATGCTTTACGTCAGGGGCCTCAAGGTTAACAAATTCCTTGAATAAGACCCTTAGAATCATTATATACATGTCCCCTCTGGTACTAAAGCCAAACCCCAGCTCTTGATCTGGATTAAATCCTACTGCGGGGACTCTGCTGGTTCACTGAGTCACGGTGGGATTAAACAGCTGCAGATCCTGGATTATATGGATCCTTTATGACCAAATACACACGGTGAAGAGAAGTGCTGAACATATGTTAACCAAACAGAATCCACAGCATCCATTAGTCCTAGATTACCCCTGTCACTTCGCCTCTATTTGACGCAGGGAGGACCGGTCTGCATGATACCCATCCTATCCCCCCCTCCTGTTACATAAGAGCAGATCAGTTGAGATAACAGCTGCATCGACACGTCGCACTCCAGGCACCTATCATTAAAGTAAGTCTGAGTGTGGGATGAGTTCAGGGGCATGTCTTAGTCTCTGCAGTGAGTATTAAACGTAATGCCAGACGAGTTTACTAATGAGAGATGGTTTCTGAACTCTGAATTCTTCAATATTGATGTTTTACAGCGAGCTATTTTGCTCCTTTTGAAGTACGAAAACTGCTGGAGAATTGCTCAACGAGGATTAAATGGATGAGGCATTGAGGGGGACAACAAGGAAATCAAATTGACCACCAAAGCCTCACTTTGAAAGCACAAATATTCAACCTGCTATTATCAAGAAAATTGCCCAGTTATGATTTTAAAATCCGAGGACAATAAGACCTTGGAGGCTGACAGGGGGGAAAAAAAAGGAGGGGAGAGGACAAAAGGTTCCACTTTTAGCAGCTTTGAGGTTTTTCTTTGTTACTCTTGGATTGTAATAACAAATTTTGATTGCCAATTCCCCCAAACTTTAATTACAGTTGAATTCTCTCCCATATTTCATTGTGATGTTTTGCAAAAAAAATCTTGTACAATTTGACTTTGAGAGTGACAGATGAATGTCTTAAGTGTCCTATATTTAAAGATGGAAAGCAGCAATAGCACTTTAATAGGAGTTTAGTTAATCAGCGGCAAAACTCACCTTTGCATAAGCTAATATACACCCATTCAAGGTTTTTTGCTGCTTCAGCCTCACTTTGCCGCTGATGAGCTAATTTGAGCAAACTGGAGGTGGAAATTGCTGAGTGGATGACATTACAGTAAGTTTTTCTGTCCTTATGACTGCACCCAATTATGCAAATTTTACAGACTCGCAGGCTTGGAGGTGTGTTTCGAAGAAGTACTCTGAAGACTGAATTCACTCAGTCCAAAAAGGGCACGGAGTGGACTCTCTGCAGACATCGACAGACTGTGTTTGGCATGCAAGTCTCACCAGGATTCATTGTTAAAGGTCGAGAATAATGAAAAACATGCTTTTCATGCCCATTCTTTATAATAAGTGTTATATTAAGCCACATTCAGCAGGGAATTCCAGAAAAATAAGATATTACGGATTAAAAATAAGATATAAACAGCCTGTAATGAATTTGAATGAGAACACATACTGGAAAAACATGCTTCCAACAAACCCGTTGACTTTGCACCTGTGTTGACGTGTGCATAAACACTAGTATCCCCACTTCTCTCACACTATCAGGGACTAAAGCGCCAAACATGGTGTGAGGAACCCTTTCGGTACACAAGGAATAGCGATTCTTTCTCTCTAATACCACCATGACGCCCAAATTTGCAGGCTTTAACATGCCCCAAAACTCAACAAAATTCACACACATGAATATAAGGTTTGGTGCAAAAGCGTATATTTTGTGAGTCTGGAGCACAACTTTGCAAAAATTATTCCATTGCAGTGAGTTTCACCTCAGTGCATGAACATCTGCAGACATGTGTTTTATGCCAAGACCAAAGAGAAAGTCTCTTTTCCTCATGATGAAATATCAACAGATGTTCACAGTTTTCGTTGGAAATGTTTGATTTTGCTGTTTCGGGCAATTTCCAGGGTGCATATTTGAACATTTTACCAGACTGTAATTACCCCCCACTCTGCAGCTCATGCACACAATCTTAGTTTTTTCTCCATTTGTGCATCTGCATCTCCGCCTTTTTTGGGGGGGCAATTTTTAAAGGCTGATGAAAGTCAATTGAAACAGAAAGGGAGAGAGAGCAGAGACAGCGTCCTAATACTTTGATTTACGGGTGATGTGTGTCTGAAAGGCAGTCTGTATTTTCAGCCTCCTACTGCAGCATGTTGAGCAAAAGCAATGTGATATATTATGACAAGATGTTGAGAAATGTGGTTTTTTAAGCAGCTTCATTGTTTACAGACACCTTTTCTCCAAATGTGTGCCCTTATGTCTTTAAAAACACATAAAAAAACAATTACTAGCTTTCTTAGCGGCTGTTTTCTGAGCCTTTTTTTAATTACGTTGATCTTAAATGGTTTGTCAAAGAGGCTTAATATTAATATGGTCACTCCTTTGATGTGGGTGTAGATAAACACTCTGGTAAATCTGATTTTATCTTTCTGCGAACATGCTCCATGTCCTTGAAAAGGAACAAAAACCTTTTTTTCTTTTTTTGCATAACCTGTTGTTTTAAATGACGCAGCAGAGGGTAATTTGCTGAGTCACCGTGGAGTACGCAGCAGCTTTGTGATATGACATAATGTCATTAAAAGCAGTCATGGACAGGAATCATTATTTATTTCCCCGTTCTCTGTTCCAACACAATTAAACACACCATGCTGCGTGAATCCAAATTAAGAGTAATCCTCGGCCGTCCTTGCAAACAGGAGCTTATACAACATCAGGACGACAGTTTTTTGGATTCAATTTCTGCTTCCAGAACAGAAGGTTGATTTAATTACATTACTCAACATGCATCAGGCATCAGTATGACTTTGACCAGAATAAACATCCTACAGATGAGCTTTCGGAGGCTGATTATCCAACTGAACGTAACAGCTTCATTACTCGAACTAAAATAATAAATTAATCTCTTCTTTTCAAGCACAGACCTCCCAAAAAATCAGTGAGCGGACACAGATTTCAGACAAAGGACGACCGTTTTACATAATGTTTGGGTCCGGTTGGTGTTTCCAATTAAAAAGTTGATTTGATAATCCATGTGTAAGCAAACTGTCACGTTTTACTTCTATTTCCAACATGGGACTTGTATTTTCTAATGCTTTTTGGAGCAAAATTAAATGACTCAAACGTTGGATATAATGCTATTTTTTACTGTGTTACAGATGTTTATATAATATATATACAAAGTTTATTTTATGTATTTACGGCAGACAACTTTGTACAACTAAACAAAGACAAAACAGTTATCTCAGTTCTCTTTTCTTAGCTTAAGGTTGGTCATAGACAGGGATCTAACTATCAAAAGGCATATCAATAAATTCATCGGTAACACTTTACAATAACAATAATAATAATAATAATAATAATAATAATAATAATAATAATAATAATAATAATAATAATGATAATAATAACAATAACAATAGTAATAATAACAACAACAATAATAATAATTATTATTATAATAATAATTAATAAATGGTAAATAGATAGATGAATGTTTAATCCTCATTTAAAAACAGCATATTGACCAATTTTAAATGGCAAATAGATAGTTTATATGTAAATAATTAATATTTGTTTTTTAAACTATCTATAAACATTACTTAGATGGTTATTGTAAAGTTGCAACTGATGTTTGTAATACTTTGTAAATGATTAATAAGTAGTTTATAAACCACCTATAAACATTACTTAGATGGTTATTGTAAAGTCAGGGTTTGGGTTAGGGTTAGGTTTTTAAAATTGTAAAATTTACAATTTATTTATGGTCTACATGCTATTTATAAATGATGATTAAACATTAATAAACTATCTGCTTACTATTTCTAAATGGTCTATTTACCGTATATAAATTATGGTTATTGTAAAGTGTTACCAATTCATCTTTTTATCATCTAAAAATATCCTAAAACTCAGGAGCTTTCTTCTCAGAAAAATAAATACCTTTATATCGAGTCGGCTAGATTTCTGTGACAGTCACCAGACTACCAAAATCAATCATCCAATAACTACAGTTAATTCCAAACGCAGCTGCAAGAGGTCTCCCGAGAACTTCAAAGTCTGAGCACATCACACCCGTTCTTAGATCCCTCTGCTGACTCCCAGTCCAAGCTAGGATTGATTTTAAATTTCTCTTCTCAGTGTAAAAAAATCCCTGAATGGCTCTGCTCTTCAGTATATAAGAGACATGCTAACCAGAGAGACAGCAGCATTGAATTTCCCTTCGGGGATCAATAAAGTTCTTTTTATCTTAGATGGAGCCCTTAGGTCCATAGGCAGTGGTCTCCTGACCATCCCACAAAACACTCCAAAGCAGGGGCTGGGGGTGCTGGTGGGCGTGGGGTGAGGTGGGCTGCTTTTAACATTATGCTTCAGATTGATGGAACACCCTGCCTGTGGACTTCAGAAGGACCCTGACACTGAGCACCTTCATTTCATCAGTTTATGCCCAGACTTCTCAGCTGTGTGTGTGTGAGAGAGAGCACATGTATATAAATATGTGGGGGCACTGTGATGTATAGGTTTAGTATGTTTGCTGGTATCATGACAAATGAGATTTTCCTCTTTATGTGATGTATAAAAGAGATAGATAGATAGATAGATAGATAGATAGATAGATAGATAGATAGATAGATAGATAGATAGATAGATAGATAGATAGATAGATAGATAGATAGATAGATAGATAGATAGATAGATAGATAGATAGATAGTGTATAAAATATTCAAAATAAATGGTGCAGGATGACATTTTCATCAAAACTAACTGCTTAAAGCTCTTATACAGAACTTTTGTTTTTTTTGTTCCAAATTAAGCGTCCTTGTGGACAAATCAGCATTTGCTTATCTTGTCCTTCATATGCTTATTGTTATTCCAAGTGTTCAACAACTTCACATAAAATATCCCCACAGAAAAAGACTAAAAGCTGCTGTAACATCCATCTCTTGAAATGCACCACACATCATTTAGAAAAACAGTAATTTAACTCCCAGGAAAAAAGGAGTCGTTGGTGTACTTTTGCATCCGCAGGCTTTGATTTAGTGTTATGATGTGTGTAATAAATATTAAGTCAGAGTTAAACAAGTGTTTTGAAATAAAAGTAACACAAAAACAATAGCGCAATCAATTCCAGCAGAAATTCACAAGTAATGGATCCTGCAAAATAAAACTGCTATATTTGTCTATGGAGTTTGGTGGATTTAAAGACAGCAATCTAACAGCTGTTTCTGGCTGTAGAAACACACATTTCCCCTCACCAGAGATGTCTAGCTTTGAAATAATTCTCTCTGTAATATTTTCAGACATTTAGAAAAGCATTCTGAGTCTGATTTGTGCATTTGAACCCAAGATTTTCACATGGTCATTCCAGTCTGTTTTACTGCTGCCGACTGAGATGAATTGATGGATAAATCCCAAACATCCGCACCTTAAATGTGAATTAAATCCTGAAATATATCAGAAATTAAAGCTGAGGTTTAAAAACAGCTCAACTCTCCTTTAATGAAGCTTGTTTGTGGATAATTAGCTTCCCCATTGTCATCTCCTCAATTTGCAAAAGCAGTTCGAGTTAATTTGTTTAAGTCAGCCTCTTGCATGTCTGCAAACTCAATCTGTCACAGATTTAGTGGTTAAATCTACCAATAGTATTATAATCCACTGGAACAGAAGCATTAATAATGACTTGGTATTTCCATTTCATTTATAATCTCATTACTTTCAGTTTGTGAGTCTCTGCCTTCAAACCTGATTGAATATTAAGTCAGAGTGATTCCAGTAATCCTCCACTAATACACCCAAACTGAGTCTGTGCTCTAATGACTTATTTTCACTATCTGCAGGAGATTACGGTTCTTTACCCCTGTCAAATCATGGCTAAAACTTCTTTTGACAACAATCATACCGCGTTGGAGCCACTCACCATGTCCACTTCTGATATGCTGTCCAAACTCTCCACCTGCACATCCACTCCAACAGGGACGGCCGGACCTGCAGACAATCAGCAACAGACGAGAGTGCACTCAGTACATTCACGGAGAAACAACCGAAGCTGACTAATGGACAGTTTCAAGACCAGCGCTCAAAGTTTTTATGGATGATAGCGCAGATATGGAAACAGAAAAAGAACATTCCTGAGAGCAGTTTTGGTTGTTGTGCTGCTGAGCGCAATGATGAGGTTAAACTGAGACGAAAATCACGTTATATAATCAGGTATAAAATACAGAGTCAAGAGTAGTGAGATAAAGCTCCAACTCCTTAAAATTAGAGAACCTTTCATTAAATAAAAGAAAATTTCAATATACAAATATTTTAATTTGGTGATTTCACATTTTGCTGATAATTTTATGAATTTTTTAAAATGTTTTTGCCTTTTTCAAGGACTAATTTTGGCCTTTTTCTGTGCACCTATGAGAGAACAAGCTAGTGCACTGCAAAAAGCCAGCCTTCAAAAAAAGAAAAAATAATTCAATAATTGGGAATACATTAATTTCAGCAAAATTATCTGCTAATGGAACAAGAAAATTTGGCTTTTCAAGACTTTCCAAAACAAGTAAAAATATCTTACCTCAGTAAATCCAGAAATACCTTAAAATAAGTGTATTTTTTCTTTATAAGATTTCATTTTTCTTTGAAATATTCTTACATTAAGAAAATACAGCATCTTGACGTAATGCTATTCACATTACATTTCTTGAAACCAGCAAAATCATCCTAACAACTGATTTACTTCTCTTGATGGAAACACAACAGTTAAGAGTGTTTTTCTCATTATTGAGAACCATTTTCTTCAAATTCTTGAAATGAGCCAAGAGCTGTGGAATTCATAAATCATATAATCCTTATAAGCTGTTATCCGTACTACTAGAACAGTATGTTACTTGCTTGAATAAAGATGTCAATCCGATTTCTTTTAAGGGAAAAAATGGGGAATAGACAGTGGGGAGATGCACAGAGGTTTGAATCAAACCTGTAGCTCATCCAGGCGAGTAATGCACAGGGCATGCACTTAGACGGCGAGGTCAGCAGAGCTCCAAATGTTTATGCTTTTAACGATGAAAAGGTCCACGGAGCAATGATTGTGCTGTGGACCTTTGAGGCCACGGTACAATCATGCTGCAGAGGCCCAAACTATTTCTAATGAGAGAAACATGCTGCAAGTGTAGACGCTGGAAAACACTAATTAAAACTCAAAACAAAAGAAACAATTGAAGACACTTTCTGCAAAATGCCAAGAACACTCCGATATCAACAAATAAAAATGGAATGGTTTGTCCTGTGTATTTCACTCAGGTGTAACAATACTCAATTCAAGGTCTTCGATTTAAGCGGACGTGTCTGATTGCTTTTCATTTTGTAATACTTATGATACCATTAACCAGAAAATATAAACAGAACAAAACATAAATTTCAGCAGTTGTTATCCACCTCTAGTTTCTACCCAGTTAAAGAGGAGTTATGTGCGTTCAGCTTGTATCTTCACTCATACTTCAAGTCTCCAGACACGCTGACAGGATCAGTGAGAATCTCTCTGAATCACCTGCAGAGTAAACACTATTCCAAACATACGTAGTCTTATCTAGAAACGTGACTTTCTGGTTTTGTTTGAGGAGCCTTCGTAGGTCTGGTCTATGTGTAAAACCTGTGTCCTAGCAGCAGGTGATGTGTCTTGACAGCTTGTGCTCAAGAAGCGGTAGATTAGGCGTGATAAAGTCACGTCAGACGGGTATATGAATCCTCAAATAACAGGGGTTTGGACTTGAACCCCTAAGGACCCAGGACTTAGTCTCTTTCACACACATATTCACACACTCATGGCAGAAGACAGCTTTGCAGAGAATGAGTCCACCGGTCTGTGTGTATTCTCAACACATTGACACACACTGACACGCTGAGGCTGTTCTCTCAGGAGCGATTTGGAATTCAGGATCTTGCCCGAGGACACTTCAACGTGTGGAGGAGAAGGAGCTTGAAGAAATGTGGTTGTGAAATTTTTTTTGAAGCTTTCAAATCTTTTTGCTTTTAAAGCAGCTTCCACTAGAAAACACCCTAACCTCAGTTTATATTGAAGCGAAAGTGAATCAGTGGTGGAGTTAAATGCGAGGATGTCTGCAGAGTATGCTTTCAATTTCCAGAGATTTTACAGCCTCTCAAACGTGTACATTTCTTATTATCAGAAAAAAAAAAATCACTTTCATCTGCTTGTATCCTGCAGATAATCCAATCTTTTCATTTACAACAACATCTGCTAAACAGAGCAGAATATTCGCAGAGTATTTGTTGATATGTTTAGCCGCAGGAGGATATTTTATTTAAGGTCAGTTTGGGATTTCCAATGAAATTGAAGAGTATCCTGGTATCTGTTTCATTAATACCCATACAAATCCGCACACACACACACATACACGCTTTAAATTTGTGTATTAGAGTGACATTGGCTGCTGTAGTATTGTTAATCTGAGCAGCAGAGAGGGTGCCAGCCTTACATAACTGGTGCCACGACAAATCTGCTACCTGGAAGAGAGGGAAGAGTTGGAGGGATGGAGGGATGGAGGGGTATTTACTCGTCCAGCTGTCAACTGAGTGTCCTCCCCGCTCTTACTCACACCATATGTCACACATCACGTGCCAGACTGCAATCCCTGAGCTCTGCCTGACGTGCTGTCTCTGTGGATACAACACTAGAGACCTGCTGGGATAAACCACAGACCAGCAGTGCAGCTAGAGCTGGAAGGGTCTTCTGCAGCTACAGCCGGGACCAGAGCTGGACCAGAACCAGACGTCTCTGTAAGGACACAGCCGAGGTATAGAGGTCTGTGTATGTTCTCAGACTACAACCTTCCTCGGCCTGTTTCTGAGATTTCTGTGTGTGTTCAAGCGGGACAAGCATACACTTATAAAACATGCTCGCTTTTGCCAGAAGATTTCCTTTTTTTTTTTGCTATTTTAGGCCGACAGCATCAGCGAATTATTCCACTACACCGATTATCAGATGAGACCCACCAATGCGTCATTGAACTGCTCCACTTCCTGTTGGCCATCGGTAACCATTAAACACACATCTGTGTGCTTTAAAGGGAAATTAATTATATCAAAGTTAATGAGATTTTTTTAGTGGAAACAGAGGAATGAAGAAGTCTGAAACAACAGAACAATAAAAGAGAGGGAAAAGTAACTAATTAAATAAACTATAAAATCAAGGTTGTGGTGACAATGATCCGAAAAGAGAACACAAAGAAAGGTAAAAATAATGAATTTAGACCCCATAGCTTTAAGTTAACACAGTATGAAACAAAACCACTGTATACTATAACATGATATGATATAATACGCTATAATAAGGTATATGCAATATAAGCTACAAAATGGTATGATTCTGTATGATACAGTTAAGTGCAGCATGTGACATGAAGCAATACGGTATGATACAATATGAAATACTCCAATAAAATACACAATGTATAGTTGCAGTATGGTACAGAAAATAGAGAGACCAATATCATGTCATGCAATCCTGGATCCCATCAGAAGTCCCAAAGTGTGGATTGATTCCAGCTAACAATCCACTCTTAGATGACATTTCTTGACATTTTCTCTGTTTTTCATTTCACAGGTTGCTAGTTGGACTCTAAATGAAACTACAGCATGGTAAAAAGCCCTTTGTTGCTAACCTTTGGCTACATCAGACACCCTGAAAAGTCAGCCATTACTACCAGAGGATAAGATAAGATAATATATTCTTTTAATAGGCCCACAGGGGGAAATTCCAATTCACAGCAGCATAAATACAGAAACAAAAAGAGAAATTAAAGGACCAAGAAACTTAGAGTTAAACAAAAGATATGTACATGAGTCTTATTTACTATATACATGTGTATAGAATATACATATAAATATTATGTATCCTTATCAGAGCTGTAGATGAATTCCTGTAGCCTTTCAGCAATATTGTCCATCTGCAGAAATGGAGGCTGCAGGTCAGGACTGTAATTCTTGGGCGTCATCTCTAGGACCCTTGTGTTGTAGAGGTATTTAGGCTTACAGTAAGGGAACTAAACATTTAGGGTTAGGTATTAGGGTGACCAGATTTGATTGGGACTGTTCTGGACAATCACTGTCCCAGTTTTAACCAACTGAAACAGTGAAACACTGCGCTATGCTTTCAATTGCTTTGACTATATTTGTCAGTCAATGCCATTGCCAAGTATGTTGCTACCTGCATCCTGTATCTACCTGTACCTGCAGATTTTATGTGATTTGATGAAGTTTTCATTCAATGTTACATTGATTTGTAAACTAAATGTCATTTTAAAATATTTCCATTGGTGATTCTTTGGACCAGGTGGTGCTTCTGCAAATAACCAGGGTGGGCTTGTGATTACAGTCCTGAATCTGTTGCCTGCAGTATGAAGACACATTATCTCTTTCAGTCACAAAAGCACTGACTTCTAGTGGACTTAACTTGCATATTGTGTTTTCCCAAAACATTACATTCCAGCCTTTATAAATGTCTTATGCATGCATTCAGTTTAAGCAGTTTGAAAGCTCTCAAACTAATCCCACTTAAACATACTCAAAAAGTACACGAATTTCCTGTAAATCATTGACCTTCTCTGGGTTGAATTCAGTGGTTGCTAAAGCCGGCATGAAAATGTAAATAGAAGTGTGTGTCATCTGCATAACAAGATACAGAAGAGCTCCGTTCAGGGTTTCCTTTTAACCCTCTGGTCCTACAAACAGGATCAAATTGCATCAATGTAACAGAAGGCCACACTGTAAGGTAAAATGTAAAAACAGTTTTTTTTTGTCAGCTCTGAAGCTGCAAAAACAACAGGAACACTGATAGTTTCATAAAGCTCTGCTAAACCCCTGCAGCTTCATTTAACTCCAGGTCCTTTTCTTTAAAACAGAATTATTATGTCAAAGCAGAAACAAAAGCACATAATCCATACACACCAGGACTTAAAAGCAAACATTTTATTAACAACGTCTGGGGATTTATGCAGCCACTGAATATTTTATCAGGCTCATTATTAGAGTTCCTGTGTTTATGGACTTTCATTTCCCGCGCTGCATGAAAGTTCATGAAGTCTTTAATTAAGAAAGTTACACTTACGGGCTGTGGAACGATAAATCTAAAAACCACAGGGAGGCGATTTTGTTTTGATGTTTGGGTAAAAGAGTATTAAAGTATCAAAAATAGAATTGGACACTACAGGAAGCTTTTACTTATTAAAAATAGTAAATTTCAGTTTTTTGAGGGGATTTCTGCAGGTGGTGTTAAAGATCTGTGAGCGCTGCCTCCTCTTTTTACTGTTTTATGCTAATCTTATAAACTTCTGAGCATGCATCCTGCCAAAAAGAAGAAAGAAGAAAGAAAGAAAGAACGAAAAGCCCCAGTTTTCCCAAGCAGAGCTGGATAAAACCATTAGGGATGGATGTACCACCCCTCCTCCTGCCTGCAGGTTGTTCTGCACAGACCAGCAGGTTGTTGATTTTCTTGTTTTCCAAATGTGTTAACTTGTAACCTGTTGAATGTAAAGACTCTTTCACATTGCTGCTTCATCCTGCACGGGTGGAAATGGAGATTTCTTCAGGACTGAACATAAGAGTTTGCTAGACAGGCATAATGAACAATTTAATTTACTGAGTTAAAGAGCAGTGGTCTCAGTTAATAAACAGAGAGCCTTCATACAACCAGATAAAGATGACTGTGTAAAATATCATGAAAAACTGGATTTGATGGTTTGCAAATTATCTAAACTCTTTTTTTAAAGTGGAGTTTTAAAGTGAAATGTGTCATGAATCTCCAAATGTTTTCAGTGGTTGATAATCAGGACTGCAGACAGGCCACTTAAAGGTAGGGTAGGCAGTATCTGAGGAAGTGCCAGTTTGGGGGAGAAATCGTGAATGTAAACTCTACCCCTCACAACCAGTTTTCCCCTCAGCTCCTCCTGATGTAGTGCAGATAAATACTTCAGATAATTACAAATGGGACCCAGTCAACATGAGAGTATAAAGCATTGGTGTCGCTGTAGATGCCAACAGACTACCAGTAAACACAATGTTTGCAGGACTTCTACAACTAGGATTAAGTGACATAGTTCAGAACCAGAGGTCAACAGTGTAGCGGCGCTACAACACACAGCAGGTCCCGTTTGACGAGAAACACTTCTGTTACAGACACTTGGCTTACTTTGTTAAAGCGGTTTACCGGTCCAGCAGAAAGGTTACAGGGTCTGTAAGATCCCACAGCGTCCCCCATGTTTATGCTCTATTGATGTTGGCCTATCATTTTAGCTCTTGTCCGGTCTACCTCCTTTTTAAGCGCCCGTTATTCCGCCAGAGTCTCCAGTAATAGTATCGTGGCCAAAGGAGGATTCAGACAATTTTCCGTACTTTATGGCTGGTTTCTACTGTCTGATACTGTGGCACGCTAACTTTGTTTGGGCTCGTTAACGTTATACGAGGAAGTGGAGTGTGCCTCACAACCAATCAAGTTGGGGGAGGCAGAGAACGGCTTTGTTTACAGTCAGAAAGAGCAGGCCGCTCAAAAATGTTAAAATGTTGACTACACAGACATAACAAAACACAATGATATTGTTATATTACCAAATGTTATCAATGACTAATAGCTATTGACTGATATTGAAAGCTTTTTTGTATATACACCACGAAAAAAGAAGCTTCATTAATGTAATCCTGCCTAGCCCACCTTTAAGCAGCAGGACTCTTCTACTACAGAGCCATGCTGTTATAATCCCTGCAGAATGTGGTTTGACATTGTCTTACTGATACATGAAAGTCAGCAAGACAATGTCAGACAAAATCATTGTCTGGATGGCAGCATACTTTGCTCCAAAACAACATTAATACAGCCTTCACAGATGTGTAAGCTACCAATGCCATGGACACCACACCATCAGGAATGCTGTCTCTGAACTGTGAGCTGATAACAAGACGGGTGATTCTTATCTTATTTGGAGCGGAGGATGGGGTTCCCATGTCAGATTTTGATTTATCAGACCACTGGACAGTTTTCCACTTCCCTTCAGTTCAGGTCCAGAAAAGTCTCCCGCCTTTTTGAATAATGCTTGCACACAGTTTCCTCTATGCATGTTACTGTTTCAGCCGGCATTTGTTGGGTCCTGTCTGTTTGTAATGTAAAGTGTCTTTTGTTCAGAGATTTCTCCATATTTTCTGAAACTTTTAATGATTTTATGAGCTGCTGATGGTTAAATCCTTTAAGTCTTTGACATTTTAACCTGAAGCAGTAATTTGAAGCTGTTGAACTGCTTACTCACGCAGTCTCTCACTGATCGGTGAACCTCTTTCCGTCTGAGAAACTCACCTCTGTCGTAAATAAACCTCATTAATTGGGAGATGTTCTTCCTGCTATACTTTGACCTGACTTTTTCAAAACCTGTTGCCAGGGTTGAAATGAGCAGATATTTTCCAAAAATGAAAAAAAAAAATTCTTTGGTTTTAGTATTTAATATAATTTATCCGCATTATTTTCAGTTGAATATAGGGATTTGCAAACCCTCAGAGTCTGTTTTTATCAGCATTTTATCAAGCTTCCCAACTATTAGACATAATACTGCATCTCATGAACCATTTTCTTGTTCTTAGATACTAAAACTGTTTTATTCAGTAGTTTGAGGACATCTTAGCAGCCAGGTAGGTGGACAGCAGCTGCCTGGAGATAAAGGAAGAAGTCGTTGGCAGAGTTTAGGATAGCTGGAAGCCCCTAAAGCAACGCTGCACCCTGCTGCTTCAGATTCAAGATAAATAAAACATCATTGCTGCCTGCAGACATCTACCCACCGTCTGAAAGCACCTTTCGGCACCTGGGTGAGAGCATCAGGCCAAGACCACAAACAAACACGTCTCCCAGAAAAGTGTGTATTTATTTTTTGGATTAACTCTTGAAATGTTCCTGCACTGCGGCTGAAACCTTGACTCTGATAAGATGGTAATAAAACTGAACCAGGAGAGGCTAAATCTGCAGAGGGTCTGAAATACATTTATTGATCTATTACTCATTTTATGTTTTAAATTTGGCAATTTATTTAATTTGTGGCTAATTAAATATGGAAGGGGAGGAAAAATAAAAAGCTCTATCTGAACTTTGAAGGCCCTCTCAACTCTGTTACTCTGATAATTAGTTTCCTCACTAATAATTAAGGATGCACATGCTCTAACAGTTTTTAATTTAAGCATAATATTCATTTTCAAGGAATATTTTTATCACTTAATTTGTTTTTTATAAAAACAAGCGATTGGATTAAATATTATTGATTATTGACAACCCAACTAAAAACCTAGGCAAATGTGTAAAATATGGATGACACAGAATTTGATGGTTTGCAAATAAATACAAAGATGTCTTTGAATATTTCCAAATCTCTTCTTGGTATATTATGTAGAAGTAAAAGATTGAGATAGTCTGGAGAAATCTCTAAAACGAAAACAAACCACAGTTTGTGAACAGAGTTTGTCGCTGTGTACACAAATGCTTGTAAAACTGAAACACGCAAAGGAGAAACCATATACTGCACATACTATATATGGGGTACTGGTACATTAAGCCCCTTTTCTCTCCTTCTCTATCCTCTATCTGTCTGTGTCATTAACTTTAAATCATCTTGTCCCATTAGAGACTGCAGTCTTTTCCGGGAGTCCCACCGCTCTATCATTCCTCTGGATCGCTGCTGCAAATGTTTTGCTGCTGTTGACCTTTCCAGCTACTTCACTAACATGCATCAGTCTCACCTCTGTCTATCTCTCTCTTTCTGCATCTTCCTCTAAACCCGATTCATTAGCGGCAGATGACTCTCTAACATGAGTCTGGTTCTGCTCGAGGTTTCTGCCTGTTAAAGGAAGTTTTGGTAACACTTTATTTGATGTATAATGCGTTATAATCGTGTTATAGCACTGTATTACTATAGTTATAAACACTCATAAATGATCATAATGCTTTAAAGCAATAATCACAACACATTATAAAGCTTTTTATCATGACTTACAAGGTCAGGTATTATAATGTGTTATTACTGTTAACAACAGTTGCATTGCATTATCTATGTGGGCATTGTCAGTGAGTTGTTAACAGTTATAACACATTATAATACCTGACCATGTAAGTCATGATTAAACGCTTTATAATGTGTTGTGATTATTGCTATAAAGCATTATGATCATTTATGAGTGTTTATAACTATAGTTATACAGTGCTATAACCTGATTATAATGCATTATACATATATTCATAATGCGTTATAGAGATAGGCGTCAAATAAAGTGTTACCAAAGTTTTTCCTCCCCGCTGTAACTTGCTAAATGCAGTAAAGTTTTTCTTTAGTAAGTTGTGTGTTCTGGTTAGAGGAAGATGAGGGGTGTCAAGGCCTTTTGGTCTATTACTCCGCAAACTCTGGCTCCAAATGTGTAATAGCCTACCTCAGCCTCCATTGCGGTGTTATTTAATCTTAAATTATTCTCGCCAACACAGACACAATCTTCGTCTTATCTTCTCAAACAGATTTTAACAATCTTATAAGCAACAGGTTTGTTTGTTTTCGCGCCACAAATTAAAGAAAATCAAGATGCTTTAACTGAGAATCATGTATGTGTCACTTGTTACATCAAGCAGTATCTACAGGTTTATTTTTTGGTGAAAAAGAGAGCACAAATTTGTCCAAACGCGCCTAAATATCGCTCATGTAGGTAAGAATTTCATTTTGAGAGTAGGAAATGTTCTCATTTAAGCTTTTCCTCTTTTGTTTATCCATTCAAAGCTTGAAAAATCTGTTTTTAATGCTGCAGGAGACAAAAACCTCAAATCCGCTCATTGCACCAAACCACAGATGATCCCGTAACATAATTTCTGTATTATAATTAAGCTTTATGGAAAACCAAACCACACTACAGCTGCACTCTGCAGGGGTCTCATTCTTCTGCCGTACAGTCACATTGTCCTGTACTGTATTGTGTTATTTCTCCACATGTGCAGAGAACAGAGGGGGGAGATAAAGAGCGGATCATTTCCACCTAATGATGCTGGACCGCTCCTGTGTTTGTGGATTAGCAGCTGCTGCAGAGATATCCAGGAGAGGGGATGTGTTGGTTGGAGGGTTCCTCAGAATGAAACGGGTGAAATGAGGAGAAAACAAGCGGCCTCTTTAATGCAAATGTGACTAATGCATGACGGGTCTAAACCCCAGGCAGACAGGGAGGAGGAGCTTTATAAATAGAAGCACGCAGGAAACATGATGACAAATATTCAGTCCAAACTGCCGTCTTCTTCTTCCCTTCAGCTTCCTGTTTGATTTGTGAGGCCGCAGCAGGGGACCAATGGGAGCAGAGCAGGTGCTCTAATTAAGAAAACAGGCACTTTATCATCTCTAACAGCTTCACCTGCACACTGATGATAGCACTAAAATGATCCAGGGTAGAGGAAGATGAATATTAACCAGGATCATTAGATTTTCTTCATCACTATGTTTGTCTTTGCTGCATAACAAGTACAGAATCATGTTTGGTGGATTCTGATTGGTCAAAACCTGGCTACACTCGGACAACCTGGAAAAAAAACACCAGGACAATCAAACAATCCAATTCATTACAATTATGTATTTATTCTTTCTTTTTTATCCATCCTCAATACACTTTCTTCTTTTCCATCTTCCTGATGTGATGCCGTCAACTCTCAACTATCAACAATTTCACCATTGAAAAACCCAAATAATCATCTGTACTTAAAGACATGGTCACCGATTGGAGAGATTGGTAATTATTATGAACCTTGTTTCTATGGCGATCATGGTCCTATAGTGTGATCTCCACAAAGTGAAGAGGAAAAAGAATGGAAAAAATCTGTTCACCCTAGCAGGTGCAGGGCTGCAAAAACATTGACCAATGGGAGGCCATCCGTCCCGGACAGCTCCTATTGGTCAATCTCCTGCTCCGCCTCTCCATCCAATCACCTCGCTGTATTCAACACACCCCTCTCCCGTAGTTCCGACTCATCCCCTCCCACTCTCCCAGCCATGATATGTTTTTTTGTAGAATGGTTGGGGAAAATCTCGCCTCCTTTGCCTCTGATTGGCTAGAAAAGCTGGAAACATCATCACGCACTCAAGCCAAACGCGGGCTGTCGGCTCTGTACATGGAACAGAACATTACAGAACATTATTGCAGTTCTGAATCTCCTAACCCTAATCCTAACCCTAACCTGACAGACCATGACGTTTCACAGTCATAAGGAATAACCAAGCGGAGCTCAGCACTTATAGCCAATCAGAGGCGAAGGAGGGCGGGACCTTCCTTTCAACTTGCCCCTTCGCTAAAAGTGCAAAGAAAACGCAGGCGGCAGAAGAAAGTCGAAGAGGAAATGTGACCAAGCAAGAAATCTAACTCAAACAAACATCGGGTCATCTTTCGAGCGGTGGAGAAAGCTCTGTTAGGATTTGGGCCTGAAAACAGACGCCGAGACAGCAGAGTTTTTGTTGAACAGGTAGTTTTGCCTTTTATCGTGGCACATGTTACATAAATAACTTATTAGTCTCTGCAATGTCAACATGGTAGCTGTCTAGGCAGCTGCAGACGGCTCTGGCCTTTACTGCTGCTAGTCACTAGCAATCCGACATGGTGAATCTTATTTGAAGCTAGCGTAGGATCTTCTGCCGGCCGGCTTCTTGCTCTGCCAGAGGGGGTTTGTCGTGGGGAGGGCGATACAGGTTCAGGGGGGAGTTAATGTGGAGCACAGGGGGGAGAGGTTTGTGTGTGAGGGGTGGGACGCTTTTTTCAAATCTGCCTCAATGGATCCGTTTTTTTCAACTGCTTCTCAGATCGTCAACCATGCCTTTAAGGTCTGTTAATATGTCTTTGAACAAATCTTAGTGTTTTCTCTTTTACTTACGGTATAAAGTGTCTCATTAGACTGAATTTCTGCTTTATTTGCCTGAAAAGTCCAACAAAGTTTAGTTTCAAGATATTAAACTCTGAGAATAGAAACCCAAGCGTTTGTAATAAGCAAAAGAAATCTGTTGATTGAGTATTGACAGATTTTTATGCAGCGCAGCTGGAATCATTAACCAAATTATGAAGCAAAATAGAAGGATACAGAAGAGAAAGTGTTGAACTCACAAATCCCAGTTTTCTTGGACAAAGAACAGACAAAAACCCACACTGTGTTACATTCAGTGTTTGCTTTATGCTCCATCCGTACTGATTTCATTCCCACAGTTTATGTCTTAAACGTCTCCTGCCTTTTCTCTTCTTCTGCTGTTTTTGTCTCTTCTCTTTTCTCAGCCTGATGTCAAGTTAATTGAACTACTTTCAGGGATTTATATGATCCCAGTCATCCCACCAGGGCCTATGATTAGAGCTGAATCCCTAACAACAGACAGCAACTGAGGAGCAGTAGACTCTTGTTAAAAAATGTTGCTGTTTGCCGTCATATTAAGCATTATTTATCGTCCAGATGTGCGGTACAAACTGCTCAGGATTAGTCCGTCCTGACACTGACACTCCCACTGGTAAGTCAGTGCATGGTGTGGATATGTTCTCCAAGTGATGAGGAGCAGCGTGTAAGAGGTTTGCATTAGTAACACTGCAACCACTGCTTTTGAAGGCAGGAGGAACCAGAGCATCTGCTGCACACACACTACCTCCTCAGACACACGAGGGCGGCTCAGTCTCACACACAGCAGCAGCAGCGGGGCGTTAGCACGAGTCAGCTCTGACGATGTTTGACTAAGACCTTCACATTCTTCTTCCTCAGCAGCCGCAAACAAAAGCCGACTGGCGACAGAGACAAAAAGCGCTTCTCAGTGGGATCCTCGCTCCATCTGTGTGTGCTGCTGCAGTCTCACAGGAGCATGAAATGCACCATGGGACGTTTCATTTAGCTCACCACCTCCTCCTGTGTTCAACTGTGCCGTAGTTATGCTAAAGAAAAAAGAGGAAGACTTCAGTCCAACAAATAAGCTTCTTAATTTTAATTGGCTCGTAAAAGTCTGCAGGATTGAAGGTATGGAGGACACACGATGCCCTGAAGGAGAAGGAGAGTTGGTCTTTTTTTTAAACTTGGGTGCTGTTTTCTTTTTACACATCTTGCGGTCCAAATGATTCAGAGATAGAAACGGTTTTTGGAATTTCTCCCGAACTGCCTGTGGCAATCAAACAGGCTGCGAAAGCAACAACAAAATCCTTTAAGGCAAATATTCCTGATGGAAGTGTGTTCATTCGAAGCTCCCTGACAGATTGCAATTCTGTGTTTAACAACTTTACAAAAAACAGAAAGGATCTTCTGCAGAGACAGAAACCATCATTTTATCACTGTTTTCAAAGACTGCTGAGGAAAATGATCATTTCACTTCACAATAGCAGGGAGTTGCTGATCTACCTGTAGTAATGATTATGATTCATGACTGTATTAATGATCCAGAAGGATGCAACAGGTTCACTTATGCAGGTGACCTAGCCATGGCAACGCAGCGGCAGACCTTCCTAGAACATGGACTTTTGATATGTCAATGTACTATCTAGAAAACCACCTGCACTCTGACCCTGCAAAGACCCAAATTTGTGCAACAATTCACCAACTCAAGGTGGGAAGCTCACCCAAGTACGCTGCGTACAACAGCACTAACCCTGTGCTTCTCCACCACCGAATAAGCCTGCCCATCTAGCCACACAAGTAAACTAGACCCCGTCCTCAATGAGACCTGCTGGATAGTGACTGAATCCATTGAAACAACCCTGTAGGGGAGAGTGGGGTAAGTTAAGCCAGCCCCATGTTGCTTGTAAATGGTCAAAGAAATTGATCATGTGACCAAATATTTAGGAGATGGGCATCAATTCATGGAGTCTGTGAAGGTTAGAGGCACATGGGTGAAGGGGTTAGACATTTATTTAAAAAAAAAAAAAAACCTTTTTCACTCTGTAAAGTGAATTTAGTCTGTCATAAGTTTGATTAGAATTGTGTTCAGACCAAAAAAGATCATTTTAAATTAGTTTATTAGACAAAACTATGATCGCCTTGATGTAGTGATCTGAAATATGAAAAATGTCTCATCTTACCCCACTCTCCCCTACCCTGCCTTTATGCTGTATCTGGCTTATAAATCTCTGTTAGTTGCAGGTGGAGCATGTAACCTGAACACAGCCCCGGTGTTATAGCAGGAGGATGGGACGGTCCTTATGACTCAATGCAAGATATACACATAAGTGTAACCAGACCAGCCTGGTCTGTTTTTGCTTCGCAGCCCACATCTTTGGTGAAGGATATTATAATGGCTACAGAAAATTAATCATTTGAGAATAAAGTCATTTGTTTCCCGTGGCAGCGTGGAGCTGATACTGACAGATTTGACATTGAGTTTTTAATGAAATCATTACTCAAGTTTAACTTTTCAAAATGCTCCACAGTCCTCACACAAGCTCCGGAGGCTGTCTGACATTCTGATCATCCTCATCAAAATAATATACAGGCTACCCACAAAATAAACACAATCTCAATCTTGAAATCTTGCTTGTTTTTTTTTCCTATTAGATGGTGCGATTGCTACATCATTCACAGCAACTCGGTTGGTCTAAAAGATAGAACAGCAATTGCAGTGTGGCATCACATGAAATCCATCAATATGAAAACATCAGTGATGGAGCACTGGGCTTAAAACTTGAATTGCTGACTGACGGTTTATTATTCTTGTCTGCACAGAGCACACCACAAATTCGCTGAAAATTCACACAGATTTTGGTGAGGAGAAGAGTTAGGTAAGAGGAGAAGTACAGAGGCCGCCACCATGCTTCAAGTTCTTCAAAGCAGGTCATGCCTGGTGGCACAAAACAAGCAGAGGACCAGACTATAGCTAAAGCACAGTGCCTGCAGCCCCCCTGTGGAGAAGGGTGGACGCAGAGAAAGGACACTTTGCTGGCCTCTCATTTTCACTACAGGAGTTACACACACAAAAAACCTTCACTGTGCTGCTATCATAGTATACTGTTTTGACAGCCCCCAGAAACCTAACAGTGCATAAGTCATTGCGACGAATCAAACAAGCCACCTTAAAATACCAAATCTATAACCGCCTGTTGCGTTTAAGAGTCCGTTGTGTAAGATATTTAGGAGTTGCCCAAAAACAGTCCAAAAAGTAGGAAAACATTCAAACTGCAAATATCCCTTTTCCCCACTTTGCAGCAGCACTACTGAAGCTCTCATAGGATGGTATCTTAGCTGTAAATATCCTTGTGATCAGAGGTGGAAACTCTCCTTTGACAAATTTGGCGAGTGCACCAGGAGAACCCACTTTTCGAACATGCATTTTAGCTGTTTATGCCATGTCCTAGTCGTCTTTAAAGCAAGATTCAGCTAAAAAAAAAAATCTAATTCTGCACTTGTGGGTGCTCTACATCCTCTCAGTGTCTAACCTCATTATTCATGCGAAGACCTGAGTGGGCAGGGACCCTATGAAGATGCGAATAGAAAAACACATGCACAAAAACAAACTCAGAAGATCGTTATAAAAACCTTGAGTGCTATTTCCCACCAGTTAAAAACTTCTCACAGTGCCCTTAAGTCCAAAATAAACATAGAAACATAACATCAGTCTGATATTTTGGTGTTAAAAGTCAAAGTAAACATAATTAGAGGCAGTAGTAATGGTAAATAAATCACACTCCTGAGAGAGTGTTATGCGACTCATGCCTGAGTCAGTGCCCCAATTAAGAAAGCCTAAAAGAAACTGTCTTGAGCCTGTTGATGAGAAACAAAGTAAAATTTAGTGGACAGACTTTGATTAGGGGTATTTTTCCCTCAGGATTACCCAGCAGCCATTGCAGCCTGTTTTACTGCCGCAGGCTGAAGAAATCTCCTGGAGCAGCTCCCAAACTTTTGTCCCTTCACACCCCAGAAAATATCAGATACAGGTCCAGGTTTAGAAATACCCAAATTCGTTTCTTTTTTTTGGTGGGTCTCTTGGCTCCAGCCTAACACATGCTTGTTCAGCACCAGTGCAGGGAGATAAAACCGACCCGGGATCAAAGATTGGATCACTGCAGATGATATGAGATGACGTGTTTTACAGTCCGATGATTTCTCTGTTTCTTTGGTTTTTCTCCAGCTCTCACCAAATGTCTCCTGTCTCTGTCTGTTTCAGGTTTGTTAGTGGAGTGTGAGAGCAGACAGGTTGGATAAATAAACCTGTTTGTGCTCCATCAATCAGCATGCTATCAACATTCACTTCATGCGCGGGTTCAACAAAGGGTGAACTGAAACTAATCCTGTGGGTGTGTCTCATCACTCAGAATTCAGACCTCTTCACTCACACGCACGCACACACACACACACACACACACACACACAGAGCTCTCGGGTTGTACCTGCGAAGGCGGGCCTCATTGTGAAGTCGTGCTCGTCGATGCGAAGGAGGTGGCTCGTCTTCAGCTTTCTGGTTTTAGTTCCATCTGCGACTTTCTTGGAGAGAGGACTGAGGACAGGAAAAAGACGGAGGAAAGGTTAAAAATACGACCACAGATCTGTCCGCTGATCACGGTGATAATACTCCATTTACTTTAAATACTCTCTGAAACATTTGCTTTTTTTCTCAACTTAAGGCACTTTGAGCACCCAAAGTTTTGACCTCTCATTTAAGGAACTGTTGGCGGATGTGTCTCAGATTAGTCAATTTGGTGTGGAGGTGTTGCTTCTGCCAAATTCTCAAATTTTCCAGTAAAAATGCACACGAGGGTCACCATTTCAATGCTCCTGGTAGGCGTAGTTTTACAGCACCCCAAAATATGTATTAATGCTGCCTAGTTAAGAGTGCTGATGGTGGATGATTTAAAACTTTTCCAAAACTTCAGAATTCAATATTTGTTGCATAAAAGTTATATATTAGAAGTTAAAAGTCTAAAATACTTCTCAGGAAAAGAACAGACTGTATTAGAAAGGAAGTTTTTATTTAACAATCTGCTTATGATTGGACATGACACCATGAATTTATGCAGTCAGAATCAGCGTTCAAAGTATTTGTTGTCATGGAATAAAATAAAGATTTAATGCTCTCAAATAATGGCGTTCTAGCTGTTAACAACACGACCAAGTCGTCTTTGAATCAAATTTTAAAATCAGTAGTAAACCTTATTACTAATGCAGAGATCTGAGTGGGCAGTGACGCCATGCTAATGTGTAACCGCTTTGATTGGCTGCCTGAATTTGTCTGAGAATCAGTGAGAACCAATGCAGAGGTGGGAAAAAGACCAGTACAATCTTGGCGAGCGCACCAGGAGAACCTGTACCAGAATATTTAATATAAGATCCAGAATCTGACCCTGAATCGGAGGTGGCCACTTTTAAAGTGTTATTTCAACTTTTATTGTGTGTTTGCCAAATTTTTGTGCAACAACAAAGCAAAAACACACTAGCATAGCAAGAAGTAGAGCCACTTAAAAAGTGGGAGTGGTTTTATGATAATGTTGTGATGCAAAGTTGAAGACGTTCCTAATTGTCTAAAAATGCCTTTTCATGTTGAGTTTTTTGTTTATAAAAGAATGGTAGGATTCCCAATTACGTTTTATAATCTTAACACGGCAGACAGAAGTGTGCTTGGGGAACTTCAGATTACTGCAACAATTTGCTGTCAAAGAACATGTGAACTTTAAAGAACTATTGAGGAAACTTGATATTAGCCAACTCACAAGATCTGTGATCACAAAATTCTTCATATAAAATTCATAAATTGTTTCAAGAATCCGAGTAAAACAAAAAGGGAAGGGCAGAACAAAAAAGGGATTTATTTAAAAACAACTAAATAAGAAGCAACAAAAACTTACTTTCTAAATAGTCCAACCAAAAGAAATCCCAAAGGCAGAAAACACAAGAGGCAAAATCCAAAAGAACCAAAAAAAATCCAAAATCCAACAAAAGACACTGGGAGAAAAAAAAAACACCAGGAGAAACTGGGGACACTGACTTTAACATATTGTCTACAATGAAGACATTGAACCAACAAAGAAACAGGGGAAGACAAGAACTATATATACACACATACAGGGAAACGAGCAACGAGAGGCAGGTGAGACACTGAGACACAGGTGCAGACAATCACAGAGGAGGGAAAACTGAGGAAGTAAAACAAGACTGGAAGCACTGGGAATAAACTTCTACAAAATAAAACAGGAAACGCTGAAAACTGATAATAGAGAATAAAACACTGAGAAAATGAGGGAACCGGGGTCAGACACAAACTGAAAACTAACAAGACGAGACTACAGGGGAACAGGAACAGTGGGGAACACTAAATAAACAGAAAATTGATTCTAAACTTTGCAATTTATGATTTCAAAGTGAGTCTACTAACTCGTTAAAGTTTGTAAAAACAGCATGAGGAAGAACGAACTGTGAGCTTGTGAGATCTCTTAGTAAACTTCCCCCTGATGATGTGCCAATGGAGGCCTAACTGTGCGTGTTTGAAGCCCAAAGACTCAAAAATCTTCAAGTTTAAATGTCAAACTCTGAAAAGTTTGTTAACTTGTAAACTGGTAAATATGCAAAAGACTTAATGAGGAGCATTAGCTTTGATCTAACAACTACTAAGATCTAAGCAGAGGTCTAACACTTCCAACAGCACAAGTTTGTGGAGGCCTGGCTGTACAGGCACTCACTGAGGTCCTTACTAGGTACTCTTGGTCGTTGGCGCTGCCTGTGCAAAAAAACCCCAACAACGTAACACCAAAAACACCATACTGTCTAAATTACTGTCTGCAAAACAACATCTTTACATTGTAATGTTGATCTTGATTGGGATGTTCTCTTCAAGACTGTAAAATTACCTTGAAATGAACAATCAGACTCTTTAGGGACACCACAAGGCACTGTTTTATCACCAGGATCTCATCATACTGTGAGAATTAAATAATGCAAACTTCTTGACGTTGCTGTCACAGCCTATTCTCTTTTTATTATCTTTTCACTGTGCCATAAAGCCCGCAATACCCTCAGCTCTGGCTCCACAAGTTTATTTGCAGCGCATGCAAATCACGAGACGCAGAATCATCCATGTCAACGCAGCTTTCCTCAAAGATTCAGGGCTGCTCTCGCCTGCACAGTCCGTGCCTTTCCCGTACGACATGTATTTCTTGAAATAACACTGATAAAAATCTTATTTCGGGTGTTTAAGGCTCTAGTTTTCATCCATCTTGAGAAAATTGTATGTTTCTTCAGGGCTATTTTCAGCTGCAGATGAGAAGTCCTCAAATTGTGAGTGGGGAGCAGATAGGAGAGCTTCTGTCACTGGGTTGAAAAAACATGAAAACCTCTTCTCGCTGATGTCTTTGTGTGAAATTTAATTAGGTTTTTACTGTCTTCTGTGTTTAGCTTTTGCTCATCCAAATAGCAGCCAAGCCAAGCAGGTGTCAGTGAACAGGTTGGATGATTTTTTCCACCTCTGTGATTTTAATTAAAGGTGACAGATCTTCTGCAGATTAACCCAACAATAAGTTGATTGTTCAAGCAGCAGGGAAAATAAGATCATGCTCAGATTAATTTCTAAACCCCTCAAATAAAGTGAGCTAATCCGCAGACTTTGGCTGAATTGCCTCAGAGCAGTCATGGATCTTCTGTCTTTGCTCCTCAAAAAAAAATATGTGCAGCTTCTTTTGCTCTTCTTTCACAGTAAGTCAACTATCTTTGAGTTTGCTTGGATTAAAGATGCAATCTGAAAAAGATAAATGCTGATTTCCAGGAAGAAAGCTCAGATTTGAGAGAAAATATTCATTGAAAGATAAGCATTTTTGCAGCTTTTTCAAAAGATGGCCAGCTAAGCAAGAATCCAGTATTTTTTTTTGTTTCCCAGCTGATTGAATCCTTTCACTTTGTGTCAAAACAGAAGCTGCCACTGAGTTTGATCCTGTTTGGAGTGTGACTGTCAGCCAAGAAAAACAGCCACACATCAGGATTAAAGCAGAGAATCAGCATCTCTGTGTGGAGTCTATGAAGAATTCACCTGAAGTAACATCCTTCATGCTGTATCTGCAGGGGAGGATTTTCTCCTCCCTTGTAAACACAAACACAAGTTTTCCCAAGGACGCTGGATCACTGCGCACTGCATGGTTTATCTCCTAACTAATTAACGATGAAAAGGACAAAACAGAGCAAACAGTGACTGGTGAAGACTGGATTATGATGGAAAAAGGTTTGGAGCTTTCACATGTTGGGTGGAAATAATGTTATTTTGGATATTCTTGAAAATAAAGAGGAGATAACCCTTGGAGAGCTTGTGAGTTGTGCGTAAATGTGAGCTCATGGAGGAACGATTGGATGCATCTCATTGAGCTCTCTTGTAGGATATTTCACCTCTGATGACTCACTCTTCTCACCTCTTTTTAAGCATGATAAAATAAATCAAGATAGAATCAAAGAAATGCAAATAATAGCCGATTTTTTTGGTACTTACGTCCCCGGTTTGTGCGTCTCAGCCGGCGCGGACCAGCGCTTTTTCCTACTTCTGTGTTTCCTGCACTCCCCGATCAGGACCAGACACAGGAGCAGGAGCATGAACCTGGCGTAACAGGGCATAATGAGTTTAAAAGTCCAGCAGCGAGTCAATCAGTGCTGCCCGGGGTCCGCGTGCGGTTCGCTCAGTGCGCGGTACCATCTTCCTGTCAGAGGCGGCGGAAAGAGGAGGAGGACTGCTGTGAGTCCGGGGACCGAGGTGGAGAAAGAGAAGTGTGAGAGAAAGGATAGAGAGAGAGAGAGAGACGGGATGCTGAGGTCTGATGAGCGCTCTGATTGGTCTTCAGACCCTGGAGGGGGTTTCTGTGACTCAGGCGCGCGCAGCATCAGCAACACATGCAGCCCGCGCTCCGCGAGAAACACAGACACACGACGTCCCTGGAGAGGAGGAGGAGATCAGAGGAGGAGAGACGGGAGAGGAGGACATTTGTCCTCAGAGGGAGAGACAACAGGATGTCTCATATCACTATCTGCTGCAGTCTGACTTTATTCTGGATTCAAGAAAATAGGACACATCCAGAAAAAACGCCAACACGAGGAGCGAGGAGATGAACACTGCAAAAGTTAGACATGTAGAAAGTGAAATAATCATGTCACGAATAAAACTTGATTTAAACATTGTCATATTTTCCTTTTGTATTTCTACCGTGGGGATCATACTTTATTTACCAGCTGTGTGGGACATGCGTACGGGCATCCTCTCTCTGACGTAATTCACTCATGTCCCATCTGTCCCACTCAGGACTCTCCAGCCTTTAGTGAAATTACAACCGTGATTATAGAAAAGTCAGGAAGCTCTGTGAAATGATGAGGAAAAAAGATAAACAGTTTGATGGCTGACAAATCACCAAACCCTGTCATTGATGATAGCCTGAATAGTGAAATAATAACACGTAAAATTTCAGAATCAAGTTCCTGAGCGTAAAACGTCAGAGTATTAGTGGATTACATCATCTACAGCCCATAATATCATTACATGATTCAGAAAAAACAGAGAGATCTCTGTACAAAAGACAGAACAGAACAAAAGACTCTCCCTCGAGAGATGAATACTGCTGACCGCTTGCTTCTCTAGTTACACCAGCTTTAGTGATGACCGCACGATAGCAATACACAGGGGTCTAAGGAGCCATAAACAAACCTCAACCAAAAAAGCCGCTCTATAGCCACAAATAATGCTCAAAACCGCAACTTGAAATCTCCAAAATCCGGCAACTGGACTGTGTAGAGTTGAGAAGACGTTTTGCCACTTATATAAGAAGCTTCTTCAGTTCTTAAGAGCTAGTGGGGGGAGCTGGTATTTTATCTTACTGGAGGAGGGGAAAACAACTGAAGAACTGAAGAGGCTCCTTGGATAAGCGGTGAAATGTCTTCTCAACTCTACACAGTCCAGTTGCCAGATTCTGGAGATTACAAGAAAAAAACTATGACCTGGATGAATGAGAACTCAGAACAGCACCTAACTTCATCAACAGTACATAAAGACGTCTGGGCGAGTCCATCGACTGCTGCGGGGTGACGCAGCTCAAGGAAGAACATTCATTACTTTATCATTTCCTTGAAGTAATAATCACCATATTAATCATTTTACACTGCAGACGCAGTAGTTCTTCTGCCTTAGCGTCTCGGTCTGATTGCATTTCCATGAGGAAATTATCATAAATGTTCTTCCTTGAGCTGCGTCACCCCGCTGCAGTCGATTGACTCGCCTGGAGGTCTTCGTACAAACAAGCGGCTGCTGGAAGAGAGCAGGTGAGTTGTGTTTAGTCTCATTGCTAAAGAAATCAGGCAAAGCTAAAAAGATGTTTGGTGGCTAGTGCTGTGACTGGGACCCTATATGTACTGTTGATGAAGTTAGGTGCTGTTCTGAGCATTACTTGTTGCTATAGAGTGGCTTTTTGGTTGAGCGCGGGGCTCTCTGTATTGCTATCTGCGGTCGTTACTAAAGTTGGTATAACTGGAGAAGCAAGCGGTTGGCAACATTCATCTCTTGATGGGGTGTCTAACTCGGTGTTATGGTGTGTTTGACCCTAACTTCATTTTACACTGGAATATCCCTTTAATAGGCTGAAAATCCCATCCATCTATGAGGACAGTTCTTCACTCCATCCTCAGCCAGAAATGCCTTTAACTATTAAAAACAAAATCAATCAACTGTCCTTTGGTCTGACGAATCAGAACTTGACATTCTCAACTCATGGACACTTTATCCTCCACTCTGAGGAGAAGGATCACCTGGTTTATAACCTCACAGTTCAAAGTCAGCATCTCTGATAGTTTGGGGATCATCAGAGTCAATGTCATGAGTAGTTTACACTACTACTGCGGAGGCTCCATTAAAACTGAGCAATATAAACAGGTTTTGGAGCAACATCTGCTGCCATCCAGACAATGATTTTTTCAGGGAAGACCCTCAAATTTTAGCAGGACAATGACAAATCACATTCTGCAACTATTGCAACAGCATGGCTCTGTAGTAGAAGAATCCCGTCTGCAGTCCTGACTTGTCACCCGCTGAAAACATTTGGAGAATCATGACACACGAAGACAAAATAAAAATAAAAATACAGTATGACAAAGAAGACTGAACTGTTGAGCAGCTGAAATCTTGTATCAGGTAAGAATGAGACAACATTTCACTTCCCAAACTTCAGAAACTGGTCTGCTGGGTTCACAAACGTTTATCGGGTGTTGTTAGAGGAGGAGCTGATGCAACCAGATGGTAATATTCTGAATTGTTTGGAAACCTGATTGCAGCACTCAATTACTTTTTCTTTACATAAAACAAAAAGAAAAAAATAATGTTTCAACTTGTATTAAACTTTTTTTGCTCCACTTTTTGTTGAATACACGGTTTGAGTTATTTTCAACCTATCAAAATTCTGTTTTTAACATTTGACACAGCATCCCAACTCTTTTTGGATTAAATCTGCAAGACCGGAGGAACCTGAGGTGTCCAACTGTGAAGGAGTGGACAGATGAAATGATTAAAATTTTATCTTTTGAGCATGTTAGGTTGAACCGATGCTGAAGGGAGGGCATGATTTCGAGACATGAAGTCAGTTATGGCGATGTGAGATGCAACAGAGTGAAAATGTGAACTATTAGATAATATTTCATATTATGTAGTCTTTTGTTTTGAGCTTATCTGAGGAAGGAAAAGCTGCACTCTTTAGAAATGTTCAAATTAGATTTAAAAAATCCGACAGGAGACGAGAAGTCTTTCATTCAGGTGGTTTATTTTCTGTTTATATCCCTGTACACCAGCCTTGAGCAGAGTAGAGACAGAGATTATGGTTTTACAGATATTCATGGAGAATCTCTGCTGCCTTCAAGTAAAATCTGGACATGTGCAGGTGGAAGATGTTGCTCAAATAAGAGGAAAAAACTACAGAGACAGATTTGTTCCCCTCAATGGGTCGACTGCTACGAGAACCTCAGAGATATCTCTCGACTCTGCTGAGCTCTGTACATGTCAAAGAGACGTCAGCTACGATGTGCAAAGACTGAATGTAAATTGCTTCCCAGCTTCTCTGAGTCTCATCAGAGTGATAAACCCTCCTCAAAGTGTTACAAAGAGGGTAAACTGCAGACAGTGTGTGGGTCTGTTTATACAGGGAAGATGAATGTTTGCATACGGCTATACGGAAAATGTGAGACAAACGAGACAAGTGCACAGGGCCGGGACATGAACGCCATCGAACGGTGAGAGGGAGTCAGAAACCGCCCTCCCTGATTCAATTAAAATAAATAAAATCTGTTCCTATTAAAGAGGGTCTAGATTAAAAAGCCACAGTTGTGTTCAGAGTTCACAGACTGTCGGCTCTACCTGCTGCAGACCGGAGTCATGTTTACAGCTGGAAATAACCCAGAAAATTATCAAAGGTTTCTGAGGTGATAACAGTTCAAAGCGCTCTGCCCTCATGCTGTTCCTCTGAAACCGTACGCTTTATTTGGCTGATCCTGGATCAGTCAAATCACCGCCATCACAGGAATTTTGAAAGAAGCAATCCACCTGTCTTATTTTTCAGGAACTCTTTCTGCTATAAAAGTGAAGTTTTCAAAAAAAAAAAAAAAAAAAAGTCGGGTTTAATTTTTTAAAGTAATACCTATATTTTAAAGTTGTTACACTGCTACTGGCTGAAGCATCGCACTTCAAGCAGTACCAGAAATTTCTGTACCGAACCTAAAATATGACGCAAGAGAGCCCTAATTTAAAAACGAACCACCACACCTGTAGGAACTGAAGCCGGAGCACTTTTGGTTGCTGAGGAGAAGTGGAGCCCTAAAAAATGTGACGAAAGTGACCTGACACGACATTAAAACACGTGAAGAAGAAGAAGAAGAAGAAGCCATAAAACACACATACTTTCAGTTACGTCATTACCGTTAGACAAACCCCTCCCATCATTTAATAACAGGTTATATTTTAATCTTAATTAAATAATGGAATCAAGCTGGAGCTCCGCGAAAGACGACAGATACATTACACAGGATGTGACATTTGTGATGGATGAACTTCCTGGATTTAAAAATGCACGACACTGGAGAGTAAAATGGACACTGATTAAAAGACACCCAGGAGGTGTTGTGGTGATTAAAGCGTCTCCTCCTCCCCTCAGAGGAGCCTCTGGTGATGAGCACAGAGGCAGGAGAGTCTGTGTTCGCCGCTGCTGACTCGGTTTCTGGTTCTACTGCAGCGGGTCACAGTTCTGTTCGGGGGGGTTGCAGGAGGATAAGACGAAGGAAAGAAAGGGGTGCGAGAGTGCGGTTGGTCACAGCTCAAAGTCGAACTTGTACTCTTGGGCCAGGTAGATTCTGCGGAAGATGAGAGCAGCCAGAGCCAGAGTGAGGAGCACAATGAGGACCGCCGAGCCCGTGTGGCTCTCATCCTGCTGCTGTCGGGGAGCCGGGGCGAAGGCCGGTCTGCTGGCTGGCTCTCTACCGTCCCTCTGACCCTGCTGGTTCTGCTGCTGAGCACGACGCTGCCGGGGGCTGAGGGGGCGGCCAGTGCTCGGGGCTGCAGGGGGGAGAGGTCTGTCTTCTTCTGCTGCTGATGGAGAGGCCTCCACCTGTAGAGCAATGAAACAAAGATCTGGATATATGTGTGTTCAGACCAAACCCTCTTAAAAAATGAATATAATGCAAATTACACAGCAAAAATCCCTCCTGGTACAAACAGGCTGCAGTAACTGATGCTTTGCACCAAGAGATTATAGCTATTGCTTGTCTCCAGCCCCAGCACGCATACGATAAGACATAATTTAAAAATACAAAAGAGGAACAAAGGATTCAAGTTACATAAAGTGTTTACAGAATCAAAACAAATTTAAAAGCCTTTTATGGAAAAAGCTGACTAACCAGAGATGACTTTCAATTTGCTTTTCTAATATTGCCACAAGCTGTACCTCTGGTGCTTCTACCATTGTTCTGCCTCATAAGAATTGGCATAAAAATTCCGGTGCAACATTTTGCAAGCATTTTAAAAAACAGTTCCACATATGCAAATTATGAAAGATTATCAGAATGAGCAAACGATACTGCTTCAGTAAGTGACAGTGATGCCAGCTCCTGTTTTTTTATCCATTAATTTTAAAGCGGTACGACATATGTGAAAAAGTCGTAACATGTTTGACTCTGCTGCTTTGCCTAATTCATTAAAAAGTTATATTTGCTTTTTCATGTCTTTCTTTCCGGCTCTTTTGTCAAATTTGAGTCTCGGATCTAAAACTTCACCTGAAAAAAATTTAAACTCATTAACCATTTTAATTTCCTCTACCCTGCACAGTTGCGCATTTTTTTCATGTTCAAAGTGAGCAACTTCCATACTCCACTCATATTTGAGGATACTCTCTTAGCTGCTTCATTGGCTGCCATTGCCAAAGCATTTAAGGCTGTGATCCTTGTGTGTATTTGCAAGATCATTTGTGTTCTTTTATTAAAACACAACCCTTTTTTCTGGTCCATAAAATGATCTGAAGGTCTGTTTCCCTATCCTCTCTATGAACTGTGTCTGGATGATCTTTCCTGGTGCTTCCAGCCACTCAAGGTTGACCAGTTCCCAGTTGAGTGACTGTTCAGCCATAATCAGCACCAGATGGACTCATCTGGTCTGTAAGACTTACTCAAAGTGCTATAAAGCAAGTCAGAGAAGAATCCCATCTCACATCTGTCTTACTGCAGCGTTATGAACCAAAATAAACAGATGCTACACACTGAATCAAATTTTAAGGAGGCTGAACTAAAGAAATCACAATATAGATCTGTAAAAAGTCTGCATTGATGTTTTTAAAGGTCTGCCCACAAGACAAGAGGAGAACAACTTTAAAATGCTTGTTTTTTAAATAAGGTTTGGTTTAACTAATTCTGATGCAACCTTTTGGACTCTCAAAATGGAGAAGTATTGCAACACTGCATCGATCCGCACAAATGATGCATCACAAGAGTAGAGTTTTGACCCAAGTGGGCTGCAATTGGTTCGAGTCCAAGCAGCAGCCTCCAGTGTTGAAAAACAAAGTCGATTGGGAAGTGCAAAAAAGGTTCAAGTGTCCCCTTGAGGCTGTGTCTATAAGCCAAAGAGATTTTGTTAGAGCCTCATATTAAAATCTTCATTTATAGCAGAACTGATCAGGCGTGATACGAAAAAATGAACTCCTTACCTCTCTCTCTGTTTTCATAATAAGTGTTGCTCATACTCATCCATATGATTGTATCAAAACTCAGAGTTATACAGATACAGGCACAAATTGGCTCCTGTGGTGATGTAACAACAGGATCTGCATTGGCACGCATGCAAAACCACATCAACATCCTCTCCTCCTGCAATGCTTTGGTGTTAGAGAGTCAAGATGTCAAAGTTAGAGCGAGACACACAAACTGCTCTGTTGTTGGTTGTAAACACCAACACTAATTTTCAGTCCGAACACTCAAGGACCAAAGGAAGCTGGTGCTCGTTTTTTTGCTTATGCCATCCACTTCAACAACGAAGGCCAACCACATGATGTTCATAATGAAAGGCAAGTTTGCAGAAATAGCCTTCAGTTTTTAGTGCATCACTCAGACATGCTTTTGTAACTCTGGCTACACCACTTAAGAAGCTGCCTCCTGCTGTATCAGGACAGATTCTGAGTCATATGAGCAGAGTGTACCGGTGCTGGTTCTCCAGGAGCACTCGCCATATTTGTTTTGGTGTTTTTCCACCTCTGCATCACTTTACATCTGTTGTCCAACCTCTCAGATGACATTCAGATACCTTTATATTTCAATTTTCTTTTAAAGCAGATAAGTTTGTTTTTATTAGTAATCTGAAACATCTGACGGAATCTCTGGAGAACCTCTTCACCATTTTCCAAACCACTGACCGAACAGAGAGAATAACTGGTATATTAATCACCGTCGTTGGAAAGGACCATTTGTTGCAGTCCTGTTTGGTGTTAATGTGCCCACACAAATACACAAATAATGTCTGAAGGAGTTTATTTAATCAGATAAATGAACCCTGTAAGCGAATCCTCCAAATTTGTGCCTTGAGAGGTTTTTTCCTTTTATGCAATTTATGATCGCCCTGCTTCAGCTCATTAAAACCTTCTCACATTTGTTTCCAGCATAAATACTGAAGGCTGGAGTTGGTATCAGATAAAATGATGTTTATTTACAGTTCTCACAGCTGATTGGTTTAGCTTTCACAAAGAAAATTTACAGTCCAGCCAGCCAGCAGCAAGGCAATGTGTGATATCATCATCTGGACGGGCTCTAAGTCTTGTCCCCCTGGCTTTAGCGGCAGATGGTGAGTCCTTTTCCTGACCTCCTCAGTTTATCCAAAATCAGAAACTCTAATCTAAGATGACCCTCCTCTCTGCTCCTTCAGACTATCGCTGTGGTTCTGTGCTGAGCAGCTGGCGGAAAAATCAATCCTCTTAGTCAACAAAGCTCGTCCATATCATCTGAACTGGGGGGAAAGAAAGCAGCAGAACCGTCGGCTCCGAGCTACCAAAACTGATCCACCGTGATGTTCTGAGGAAACGCTGATTTCTCTCTGCTTGATTTCACACACAGCTGGTGTTTATCTGGCATTGAGCTTCTGCTGCTTGCACTGTCTATCATTTTCATCCAGACTCATTCAGAATGACTGTGAGGCTCAGCAGGATGTCAGCAGGTGACGAAGCATGTCACCAATTATACGAACAATGTCAAAGATGGATGATTGACTTCATACAGACACTAACATATAATCCTCAAAGTAGCGCGGTATTTTTAAAGATGGGGCCGATTTTTTGCATATTTTGGAATCTGATTGATTCATATGCAGAAAGTGTTGGCTGTCGATCTGGTTTATTTTCTTCTGCTGGCAGACTTCAATTAGACACTTGTTTGGTCACTAACAGAATCAGATTGATTTAAAGGACGACTCTGGAGTCTTAAATAGGAACATCAAATACGGTTGTTACAATACCAGAATTTCAAACTTTTGTTAAATGCCAGTGAGGAGTTTCACATTTCAGTCCCTGCACCAACGCTTCTGTCTGCATTTCCACAATCTGCCTATATGAATATTTAAAGGCTGCATTACACTCCCATATGACTGATTCATTACCATCTTGTAATGCAAATCGTCTATGCAGATTTTATTGACACTAAAAAACTAGGATCAAGAAATGGAAACTTCAACATCAACTTTTCCAAACGTTGGAGATGTTCTGAGCATGCTCCGACAGCGCCACGTTTGGTTGATAGAAAAACAGGAGATTATCAATCCAACTGGTTGCAACTCCAAAGGGCTGACACATTTTGGGAGGTAGCTCTCCTTGATAAATCTGTTGCTGTTCATGAAGTATGCAGAGGTGAAGTTAAATACGCCGCCAACATGAGCAGTCTTTCTGCTCATCCATCAGGGCGCCAAACGCCAAGCTACACACTCTGCTCCCATGGTAACAGTGTACCGAGCTGCCCCAGAAATAGTCTCTGGTCCCATCCACATGTATGTGGATAGTTTTCTTCTCTGGAGGTTGTCAAAAACAAAACTTTTTGAAAGATGTGAAAACTAAAAATTGGGAAAATGGCGACTTGTTTGCACATGGCAACGGTTGCCGACGTGTTACTGGTGGGCAACCAGTATGTTAACGATTCTGGTTTAGAGCAAATACAGAACATACACAGTCATCCACACTCCTCAAAACAACGTGTAATTGCACAGTATGAAAAGGTGAGCAGAATGAGAGCCTCCATGACAGATGTGTGGACGTCATGTTCAACACAGAGGAGTGTGACTATGACCTCTTATTATACTAAAAGTCACTGAACACAGGGGAGGAAGACACAGCAATTACAGTTTTCTTTAAAAAAAAATCACAAACAGACCTGAAGTAAAATAGGCATATTCCCTCTGAATGAATAATCAATCATGATTCAGAAGAAATATGTAATCATGTGCATCAGCAGAGAATGTGCTGTCCCCCTGCATTTTCTATTTTTCTATTTTGGACACTCAGTCATTGTGCAGAGGCTTGAAGCTCCCTGTCACCAGCCTGAAAGTTGGGACTCTCGGGGAAAAAAAACATGTAGGGAACAGGTGATGTTGCTCTCTTTCTCCCTCTCTCTCTCTCTCTCTTTCCTCTGCTCTGCTCTCAGTCTGACTGCATAAATGCAACACGCACCATCATAGACGATAAAAGGACTTAACCATCTATATTTACCGACCTTTGATCTTGTGTACTTCTGCTCTGTCTCTGCTTTGTGAGAGTTTGAGGAGAGCAGAGACAGAGCAGAGACGCAGCCTGCAGGATGGAGCATGAAAACAAAGATAAACCAGCACCTCTGCATGATTATGGAATAGTAAATCAGAGTGCCACCACGGCAGCATGTTATTTTTCAGCCTCAGTGCTTTATTTACATATAGAGGGCTTTTTCATAATTTAATCAAACTCTATTTTTGGCAGCTTTTTGGTTGAGGTATGACTGTACATCTGTTTTCCAAGCTTTGGTGCTTTTCCAAAATTTGACCCCCTTCAGTTACAGCCCAATATTTGAGGAACACAGTGTGTTTCTTAATAAGCCTTGCGGTTTTGCAGAGAGCAACACAACAGCTGTATCTGGTTAAAAAAAAAAACAAACCTCTTCCTCCTCAGTTAAAGGTGTTTCTTTGTCGGGATCCTTTCTCTAATGTTGGCAGAAGACACTCTGAATGACAAACTTAAGCTGTCAGGCACAAAAACAAACTTCTAATAGTCAAACTTCTCAACCCACGAGGATTACCTCATAGCCATCACAGCCTGTTTCACTGCTGCAGGTTGAAACATTCAGCTGGAGCTGTTATCAAACTCTAAAATGAGTAAAAAAAAAAAAAGAAAAAAGTCCAGCTTTAAAAATACCAGTATTCCCATAGTAGACTCGGCTCTGTCCAACAGTTTGCAGCTTAAATGGATTGAGAATAAAGCTCCAGATGCTGAAGACAGCCTCGGTAATCCTCAGAATCAGCTCTGTTGCATGTCAGAGAAGAAGATTTATAGTTCAGTGATATATATTTTTCAGTCTTCAGTGATGTTAATCATCAGCAGTAAGTGTTAGCTTTTAGTGTCAGCCTTTCAGAGCAGATCAGTGCCTGCTTTACAGTAATCACTGAGCTGTCACGCAGCCACACATCCATTATGAGGAGAGAGGATGATGTAAATACAAATACATTCCTAGACAGGGAGGAATGCAGACATATATTACAGCTCTCTCTGACAGTCAGTCAATAAGTTGTTCCTAGATTCACTACCACCATCCAGGACTAAGATGAAGTCAAAAGAATCATGTTAGCTTCACTGTCAAGACGTCACCCAGAGCATATCATCCACTTATATCCTAGATTCTTACATACCAGCAGAGAAGGGTTGCCAACTTTTTAACATTTGCTGGCACACTCTGTATTTTGACTAAATGGATCTGTCCCAAATGAGGTGCCCCTTACCCCACAAATTAATGTTAATTTCACCAGATGACACTTTGCTTATGCTAGAGCAGATCATGCCCCATCTGCGAAGTGACACATGTCCTCAAACCACAGCCCCAATTACATGCCTCAGATTTACTTTTAGCATCTGAAACACTTAATTATTTACATGGATAAGTTATATTTGGTTTATGACCTGCAGGATTTTGAAAAAACTTTTGCTGCAATTCTTTTCTGTTTTCGTAGTATAGATTGCTTTATGGAAAAAGGCAGATAATGAAGATGATTTTAAGTGTTTATGAACTGTTCAAGCTTTCCATAACAAACTATACTATATTTTTTATTTGGATCTATTTTCTGCTACCAAATCAAATCTTCCTTCTGCTGGTTTCACACTGTGTCCAGCTGTCTGCCAGAAGCTCTGACACCTGCATAAAGAAGTAAAGGCACAAGAGAAAGAGAGAGTACAGGAGGTGTAACCCATTGTACGGCTGGGCGATAAACCGAAAAATTTACTGATACCGAAATTTACGACAACAACTGACGTATTTTGATGTCACTGTCTTTTCTTGCAAGATTTCCACATCACTACGATGTACAGGTGTTCCTACTAAAAGTAAACACTCTGTGGACCTGTTTGCATGGCAACACACATGCATGTTTACATTCTACGGTCATGTGGTACAGATAATTCCTGCTCAGCTGTCAGTTTCTCTATGTGTTCAAGTGAGGGGCTGCATTAGAAGTGATTCCCGATCAACGTTTATCTAAGTGTAATCCTGGACATAAGGAAGCGGCGCGAGTATGACATATTTCAGGCCGTATTACTGATGCTATACATCCTGCAGTATGACAACAGCACACTTGCACATGGATGTGACTAACGCAGTATTGCAATTGTGTTGTTCAAACCATTGCAATGCACAGCCTCATTTGTCCTGAGAGCTCCCTGCCCTGTCACAAGCTTATACGGAATACATTCATGTGTGTGCATGAAAAGCCAAGGCAGGCAGAACAGCAGCAAAGATCCCCAGGATACAGGACCAACACATCATGAAACTGGCAAAATCAGACAAAAATGAAGCCTTTTTTTACCTGTATCAATTTTAATATAAATCAATGTTTTCATTTGGCTGTCTTGAAAACTTCCTTGAGTTTTAGTCTCCACACACTTCTACAGACAGGTTTTTCCACATTTCCTATGGCACCCAATACCCATATGACTTCCACATATGCAGATTTGTTATTGTTTTGAGATCTATTAGCCGGGGAACAGGTTGAATTGTTGTCTGTACTCTAAGTATCATTACTTATCCCCCCTTAGATGCAGTAAATAACCGGCCTGCAGTAACACAGACTGATTTGTAATATTCCTAAAGAGTCCACCTGAGACACTTGTTTTTTTCTTGTTCTCTCTTAGACACATACACACTCACATTCTCTCTCTCTCTTTTACTCTCTGCACAAGCCTTGTGGATGTCTTTGAATCTAGACAGGAGCTAGGGAGCAGGCAGAGAGCCTTTGGAGGATGGTATCAGCACCTGGACAGGAATCTCAGCGAGCTGCAGGGATAGTCTCACTTACTGGCTGAATTTCAACATCCATCCATCGTCTAAGTTTACTAGAAAGAGCCCAGAAGCAGTGTAGAGGTTAGGCTTTTTAAATTATGTATTTATTCAACACATTTGTAAGCTTTGTCTGCAGAGACAAGGAGAAAAATCATGCAAACTTGCAGACAGACAGAAAGAGAGAGAGAGAGCAGTTGGTGTTAAAGGGCTTCTTGCTGTTAGTATTTTCTTACTGTTGGAGTCCGTGTTGGATTCAAGCTGCCATTATGCCACTGTGTTAAGAGAATTTTCTTTTGCCAATCCCATCAGCCTTAAGGGCGGTGGAGCCATGTAACTCAGATACCATGGTTACATTGGTGTTAGATTCCTGGAGCCGGGGGGCCTCCGACAACCATCCTCAACAAAAAACCTTGTACACATTTTTGACATCACTCATTCCCCTGTATGGCCCCCCATATGTTCAACTAAGGCTCCTTTAAATATGTTGTCCTTTGCTCTTACCCTACATAGACTCTTCTTAGGGTCAACTAAATGCCAGCAGAATGCTTGGAAATGTGGACGACTATATATACTTGAACAGTCTCAGACCAGTCTTTGGCATGATGAAGCTGTAACCCAGATCTGCAATCAGTAAAGCTTGTCAAACTGACCATTCGTGTGGACCTTCCATTCTTCCAAGTGTGAACCTGGGCATCCTTACACACTGTTCATTCTACAAGTCATGTACGCAATAAGATGTGAAAGTAATCAATGGATAACATGTCAAGGGCATATGATGAAGTGAATTCAGGTTGAAGTGCAGTGTTGAATGAGGAGAGGCCGGTGTGTATATGCATATAAAATCACAGTTTGACACATCACACCCTAGTCACACCAATTAAAAATCTCTCCAGAGAAAACTAAGTGGATATCAGCAGGCTCACTGTTTCATAAAAGCTGCTTTAGTATAACGTAAAGCGTTCACTGCTTAATTCTAAGTCATACCCAATGAAGTCCTATAGTGATAAATTAGTAGTTTTGGTTTACTTATTGAGCAGTCAGCTGCCTGTTCCAAAATAAGGGAACATGGAGCGTGTTGTTAAATGGCACCTCAGAACCACATATTATAAGTATCAGTTTAAGTACAAGTGTTAGGAGGCTTACCGCTGACTAAATACAGAACTTTGAATTGAATTTTACAATGACTTTATAAAGTTACAAAATGATTTTAATGCGACTTTAGAGGCAATGACAACTTTTAAATCTTAAAAAATAAATCAATAAATAAAGATATCGGTAATATGGACCTAAAATTCTGTTATGGTGAAGCAACAAAAAGTTTTTGGCCAGTTTAAATTTGGTACTTTCGTTTGTAAGTTTAATGTAGTTTTAAAAAGTAAAGTGCTACGAGGCAATCATGGACCTAATGTCACAAAGTGCTTTGTTGAATTTCAGCTGGGAAAAGTTTTAATGCAAAGTGATGCAATTTTTATGCCTTAAAAAGTGGTAAATGTCACTAAAAATTTGTTTGATGGAAAGAGATGAGTTTTTTTTTTATATGATTAAAATGACTGACAGAGAGGGGAATTCAGTGTTCATGGCCTTGCTGGTTCGAGGTCATTTTTTGTTATCATTTTGTTTCAGAGGACATGGCAGAAAAAGTTTGAGAATCACTGTCGAATGTTCACTTTCTCTCAAATCTGCACAAATGTTTTGTAAGTTATCTTCCGGGGATAACGGTTCTTTATTTATGACCAGTTTGAGCAGGATCAAGCAAACCATCATGTTTTTCAGCTCCTGTGTGTCTTAATCAGGCTTTCAGTCCCGCATGATGTAGAATAACAACACCATAACATGATGGTCCTGCAGATTAAAGCCCTCTGGTTCTCCTGCATAAAAATTAAAGGCTCTGGCTTTAATAGTTTCTATTTTAGATTGATTCAAACAGGATTATGCAAACGCAGGACAGCTTGATATCCAGACACACGGTATGTGTCTGGATATCAGAATTTGAATGTCTTAGTAAGGAAACAGGCCAATTGTTTGGATGCTGAAATCACAAACACTTTACATAATTGTGGACAATTTTCCCAAACATACCTGAAAGAATCATTTCAGATCATTACAGCTTTGGTCTAATTTTCTTGTTGCGGCTTTCAGTTGTAAAACCATTGTATTGTGTCAGTGGAAAAAGCAGGAAAGAGGAAGATACTGCAACAAAAAAAAAAAAAGTCCACCAGATTAATAATCAAGAGCAGTCGGGTTTCTAACAAGTAAAAACAAACAAACCTAGATCACCTGCAACACTTCATTTTGAGGTTAAATTGATCATTTTATGGACAGTTGAGGGGTTTTACTTTGTCCCACTGTTAGATAATAAGTTAAACTTACTTTCTTCTCCTGTCTCATTGCTTGTGTTTCTCAACAATGCCATCATATTTTCACTTTAAAGAGCACCATCTCTGAGTCTATCTCTATGACTCTCTGTGAGCAGAGACAAAGATTTCCAAGAGTGTGAGAAAGGCGGCAGAAACGCAGAAGACTTAGAGTGACTCAGGCTTCTTTTCTGTCCTTCAGTCAGTGACAACTTTGAGATTACATCATGTGCTGCAGGATTGCGCAAGAGTCGCGAGTTAGTGTCTACAACTGTGTTATTATTAATCTGTGTATAGATTTTAATGAAAAGTTCCTGATGAAAGATGAATAGTCCAAGAATCTGACTAACTTTTTTTTTTACTACAAACTGTCACCATACCAACAATCCTGGAACCCACTGTCTCACAACGGTATGTGCCTCTGGGAACCATGACCGTCCTCTCCGTAATTCTGGCATAGCCAGAGCAGTGAGCGGTAATCGACTTCCAGCCAAGGCTTCCTTTTCCCTGGGCAGAGCTGTTTGCAGTCAAATTAATGGCTCATGAAGCGACTGTGTGTTCAGATCAACACTGAATGTGAAATTCATCCCTGAGTCCCTGTCGAGGCAGAAATTTGACCTCCACCGAGTTTATAATGGTTTTAAATTTTTCATTAGTTTTTACTCTCATTGAGTTTGATTTTTTCTTTTAATCTGTTTATTTTTGATGAGTTTTGATGGCTGGATTCAGTTAATAGTTTGGAGTTAATATTCTTCTTACTCTTAGTTTGGTTTTAAATTTTTGCAACATGGGGAGACATGTTCCCTGGATCCCCATGTTTCCTCCTTGCACACCTCGCTCTTACATACTGCCACTCAAAGATGGGACATAAGAAGCCTAATATGCTCTTCTTCAAAAACGTATTTTCCAATGCAGACCACATTGTTGATTATGGATCAGTATAAACTCTTTATCCCGCATAACATGCCATCAACCCTGAAGATACCTGACTGGTCTAAACTATGCAACCTCATACTAAGATCTAGACCCCTGAACTGTAAATAAAGATTACCTTGAAAAATAACAACACTAGGACAACATAAAGACGCCTTCGTGAATATTGTGCAGACTGATCCTAAACTGATTCAAATTAATAACTGGTAAACAAAGCCCTCTGAAAAACTGTTTTCCTTTGGTTTCGACCTGCGGTTAATGGTCTGAAACCTGTAAACCGTGGGGAGGTTCTGCTCTGTGGGTGGCAGGTAATGATCTCCTCAGAGTTTCCCCTGAGGAGCAGTCCGACACCCACAGTACCTGCTCAGTCCGAGGCTCGTCAGCAGCTTCCTGTTCCGCAGACGTGGAGGCGTCTCCCTGTGAGGACGTGGAGGACTCGCTCTCTGCTCCTCTGCTCTCACTCGCGTGTCTGGATGAACTCGACTCTGCCTGTATGAACACAGACAAAGAGCTGCAGTGATTCACAACATAGACTTAAAATAGGCGCACTGACTGTAGGAGTGTGGTGGTTCGTCTAAAGGAAGTGAGATGTTCATGAATTCTTACAAAATTCTGATGGTTTGCAAATTTGTTAAGCTCTATACTTGATTTGCAAACAAAATACACCAACATTGGGAATAAAAAGTATTGTTTTATGATTTTAAACTGTTAAATGATGATTTTTATTTGTTTATTTTCAGTTCAGTTCCAAAAACATGCTCCAAAGAAGTAGAGACAGGGATAAACCTCCTATTGTGTTCCATTAAATTCTCTTCTTTTAACTAAATTAGTGTAATTTTTAAATTTGAACATTTCATTTGTTGTCAAATCTAGGATTTAAATAATGTGAAAAACAACAATTTTATACAGCATCTCGATTTGTAATTTTCACTTGGATTCGTGGGTGGGAAAAAACAGCTTCTAAAGCCGACCACAAACTCTCATTACCACAACAGAAACTCTCAGAAGCAGAAAGGTGGAGCACTCTGCATGGCGCTGTTTAAGTGGAGGCCAATTTAAGTTGAAATGTTGTCATGTCAGAATAAAAGCGCATCAGCAGAGGACGGGATTACATTTCTGGCTGAGAGTGCACAGAGCGAAAAAAAAGGAGTTGTTCGTTTGAAGCCGGCGCTGTCAGAAGCTCTTCTGCTCTGAGGGTTAAAATCGCTGACTGAACCGTGAATCAAACGTGACGCATGTTAAAGCCTGTGTCTGTACCTTGAAGTTGATTTGCTGAGCCAGTCTTTTGGCCTGGTGGTCCTCGGCGCTGGGGTTGCTGTTGGGGGTCAGAGTGAGGAGGGCGGAGCGCATGGAGCAGCCGCATGTCTCGCAGCAGAAATCCTGAGACCTGACGGAGACACAGACAGTGCGCAGTGAGGTCAGGGGTTCACACATTGTCAGTTATCTGAACCTTGAATATTTAGAGCTTCAGTTTCTAAAACTTGCCAAAAAGTCACACCCCGGTCATTTTTTTTTTACCACTTTCAGTGCTCTCAGTGGTCTTTAACCTTTCTTCTGTGTTAGCTTTTACTACGCACCCACCATGTTAAGGGTTGGTTTTGATCTGTGTCCTAAATCGGCTGTAAATTACACTAAAAACAATTCTCTATCATCCAATTTGGTTCTCATCTCTAGGTTACCTTGTTAGCTTTCATTATCCATGAAAATATTGCTGATAATATTTTTTGTTGTGGTCCTCTGGGTCTTTCTTTGTCAGTATACCCCTCACACAGACATCTATACTGAATTGATCTCACATATCTGGACATGCCTGAGGCTGTTTTTTTGTGCAGGAAAAACATGGAAAAATGAGAATTTCCTAAATCTCACATGACTGAAAGAGGATCTGACTGTCAGTGTGGTGCCTGTCAGTGCACTTATGATTTCAGTTTTTGCTCTGATCATTAGATATTGATCTAACCGAGTCAACAGCGACCCTAACACGACAAGTGCCATAATCTTAATAAGAGCATTTTATAATTTAGTCAATTTCTTTTTTTTATTTTTTATTGTGTTGAAATAGAGGTTCCTGACAAAGTCATAAAGTCTTGATGCAAAAAAACTTATTTAAGTGGTTCTTTTAAGCATTTAAAATCAAAAACGGGTCATGCAGACCCCTACTTTGGAGGAGGTTTAAATTGTGATTATGAAGTTTTTTTTAACCAAAAATCATTTTCAAGAGCTTTTCTTCTGCAGAGCTTTAGGAGCTCATTAGCAATTCGCCTCTGAGTCGTGGGCGGAGACAGCGCTGCTCTGCACACTCCTCTCCATGCTAGCTTGTAGCCTAACATAGCCAGCGTAGTAGAAGTAGCAGGTAACATAGGAGCTATTCATCTCTTGGACACCAATGTCTTAAGATACACAATAAAAGCTCATATCATAATTAGCTTTCCTACGAGCAGTGCAATCCGCTAACGCACACGCTTGTTCTGCAATCGTCCTCTGCTTTTTTTGAGTGTGGCCTGCAAAGCGGGGCTCTGAGGGAGAAGCTTGAATTTGCTTCATAGGAAATCTCAATTAATCTGGTCCTGCCGTTTGTGTCTGTGAGAGATTCACAGCGGTCTGAATGCAGAAATACTCAGAAACACAATTTCGCACTTACTTTTCTCATGATATGCTCTGTAGCATCAGAAAAATGCCATATGAATATGGAGACAACAAGATAAACAAGATTTCCATCCGAGTGGGTCTTTAAACCAATTTGACGAAGAGTTTTCTGTGAAGAAACAACAGATTTGTTCCACAACAAAATAACTGACCCGTTATAATGAGCGGCACCAGAAAATGAAAGCCCCGTCTGTCAGATCTTCTTGTCATTTGTCCTGAAAAATTAACCCGCCAAACTTTTCCCCCACAAGCTTGTACGGTAATTACATTATTCACTGCAGTATGTAGCACCCATAATTACACAGAAGCCCAGGCTTGTAATTCATCATAGCATGCAATTATGTTTCAAACACAAGACTTGCTCCAAAGATTAACACTGATGCATCAGCTGCAACACCCCGCTTCAAAAGCTACAAGCTGCTCAAAGTAAATTCAGGTAATTTCCAGACAGAGACTTAATCTCACGGTGATATCCATTCTCTCTGGGGTTAAAGCTTTCTCCCAACATCACCTCTTGTAACAAATGTTCCACAGGAGTTTGTAATTTGGGAGAGGTCTGAGTGGTTTTCAAGGCTGTCTTTGGTACTTGTGTGCTAGACAGCAAAATGCAATGGGCCTCATTTGCCGACATTTCCAAGAGTTTTTTTTCTTTTTTTTTCTGTAGAAACTTTGAAGAAAGTTTCTTATCTAATGCAGATTTATGACCCTGTTCTCAAACTAAGAGAACTGTTCATACTTTTGTCCTCGATAGGGCTGTCACTTTTGATTTGAAACTAAATTCCTTGTTTAAACTTGAGAGACAGAGAGAAAGGGGAGTCATATGCAAACTGTAATGAGCCGTCTCGATCCAAAAGATACAGCTTATCAGAAAATCAGGCCGTGTGAAGTAGCTCACCGCTTGATCCAGGAGAGGGTGTTTTCATCGTAACCTGACCACTGAATGGCACTCTTGAAATGAGGGATGTGCGCTGCAATCGGAGTTGTCTTGAGCATACAATCGCAACACCAAAACACCTGACTTACTCTACGATCACAACAAATCTGCTGCTCACCTGTGAGGATGCATTGTCTTAAAACTAAAAAACTAAATTATGGCCAACAATTGTTTCATGAGTCAGTTTCTTCTTGAAAGAAGTTTCCGTCACTGGGATGCTAATGTGGCTGAATCATGAATTTGAACAGCATTCGTTGTATTTACTGGCAAATTTTAAATAACGTGTTGCTCTCTTTTTGTGTTTCCTTCCTCCATTCAGTTGACTGTTTTTATTTTTTAAGTTTTCCATGAACATCATAATAATAATGCTATACATGCAGTTCGCTTACTAAACTCCTGACAGGACCACCGGACAATACTCTGTGCAATAATCCACTTAACTGTCCGATATCATCTGTGCTGTGCAATACAGCATTCTTACACCATTATTAATCATGTGCAATACAGCAGTTTTCATAGCTCATTTATCCCACCGACTTATCATCCATTTCGTACATTCACAATCAGCACCTACTGCATCGCTTGTTCACTTTGTAAATATCTCCTTTTTCAATTGTAAATATTTCTCGAACTTTGTAGATATTTGTCCTATACTTTTATTTGTCTTTAATATATGTATATACATATACATATATATATATATATATATATATAAATACATATATATACTTTTTTTCCCAGTTTTTTGTATCCTTATTTTATTGTATTCTTTCAGTACTATTGTGTGTCTTTATCTGTACCCTTTTGAGTCGAGTGGTCCTTTCATCCAGGGCATTTCATTGCACTGTTGACCTTGTCTAACATGCACATGACCAATAAACAAATCTTGAATCTTGAATCTATCGAATATTTGATAGCAGTGACAATCATAAGGTGAAAATCTGATATCAAGATAATCCTAATTTAAAGCAGCTGGAAGGAGATTTTATTTTTGTTTAGTTTGTCAGCCACTATGGAGAAAAGCAGTAATGTTTTAGCGCTTATAGTCGTAAAGACACTCGTCAGGGTTCCAGAAACAAACTTTTTTTGTGAGCAGTTTGAGGCAACTTACTTTGTAAATGTATTAAAAAGGGGAAGCGAGTCTGGGTCAGCCCGCCACGGAGTGTGAGACAGGCGTGGAGCAACAAGACTCTAGAGGTCAGTGACACAGAAGTGCTCTGCGTGTCTGTCTCCAGTGTGGAGGAGGTTCTCACTCTGTGGCTGCAGCTATAGCATGACACAGTGTCTGCAGGAGTCTCCTGCTGCAAGACACTGTCACCGTTTGTGTAGTGACAGTAATATGCATGTTTTCAGTGCTAAATAAAGAGAGAAAAACACGTGTGTCATCTCTGGTCTGAATGCTGTAAATCGTTTCGTTTGTGGTCCCAACCGGACCGCTGGCTCCTGTTTTCACTACTTAGAAATAGCTTGTCTTCACACAGATGGGCTCATTCGCTGTTACAGGTGACAGGGAGACAGAAATGAGAGATTTTTTTCAAATCTAGTTAATAGTTCCTTAAAGGCCGTTTAGACATGAGCAGGTCATGTTTAACAGTCGTTCAATCTGAATTTTTTGGAAAACCCGCATTCTTCAGGCTGGATTTTGAGGTTTACATCTTGCAAATTGAGGCCGTTTCTGACTTTTCTGAAATATTGTGGAACATGGGAGAGAGAAGCTGAGCAGCAGCCAGTTTAAGTCACAGCTACAGCTTAGGTTTGTTGGTCGGCATTCAGAGTTTACTGTGGTCAACACGAACAAAGACATAGAAGAACAAAAAAGACTTCTGAATTATTCAGATATTCAAATGCAAAAGTTGCACAAAATAATCATCCTTGCAGATGGAGGCTTGTTGATATATCTGCCAATGAAAAAAAAAAAAAAGGTAATTTGGCAGCGTGATTATGAAGTTATAAAGGTTTTCAGACCGAGCTGCCTGTATTTCTCAGAATTGTGTGTGCGTCCTGGAGAGACTGGCAGAAAATGCAGCTTCAAAAAGCTTTGAGCATTTATGGATTTGGCTGCCTGTGCTGTTGGCTGCCTCACAATGAATCCTCAGCTGATGGCTTTGCTGCTGCTTTCTCCACCTGTGGCACAGTCACATGCCAGATCCCAGCAAAAGGTTCAGACTGTTTGGCGCACCTTTACACCCTCATGCCAGGCCTGACAGCAGGGTGCAGTGCAATATTACCGAGGGAAGAAGCAACACTCCCGCTCGGTGCACCGATGTGGAAAAAAACATGGAAAAGCAACACATAAAAAGACGTTTCTGGGGATTTGTATTGGAGAAGCTAATCGTCCCTTGCAGCAGCTAATGGACTGATGTTGCAGCTGTGAGGAGGAGAGATGAATCATGCTCTAAGGAACACCACAACATCACCATGGAGCTCCTCAGGCTAAAGGTGGTATGGATAGATTTGGATACATTACGGCATTAAATGATCCACATCAGCGTCTGCCTCTGGAGCCAAACAGAAAATTGGATTTTCTTCGAGTGAAGTTCAGATGTAGCTGGAGAATTAGACGTCAAACAATCTGCAGGACTCGAGGGATGAACTCCTACGCCCTCCAGTTATCATGTCAGTGGACTATGACAGCTTAAATGCGCTGTCTGTGTCTCCTAGAGCAGGACACATGCAGACAGGCTCTGCAGTTGCTGCTAGTGGCTCATACGAATTTCTGTTTGAACCCTTTTAAATGTTGATAATTATGACCACAGAGAATTGCAATAACTGGAGATGTGGTTTGTAAAAATCTGAGCTGCATACTGAGAGGGGAGCAGCATGTCAAAGGTTTTATGTCAGTAATTAGTGAAGGAGCTTGAATCCTGCAGTTACAGTTGAAATTTAGTACCATTAAGAGAAGGGAGAGTTTCATCAGGAAGCTATTGTGCGAAAAAATTAAAGGCTTGAACAACTTCAGAAACTCCTTTTGTAGTGGTGGAATCTTTTTTTTTGGGTAACTTCTTCAACATCCTGCCTGTAGAATGAAAAAGGAAACCAGTCCAAAGTGTGCAGTTCTGCATGCACCATTAATTCATGTTCGCGGTAAAAAGACTTCGGAGAGAGAGACTGAGGAGGAAATAAGGACATCCAGGAGAGGCTTTTACACGGTTGGCCTTTGGTGGCAATTTGGAGCATTTGTACTTTTGAAAATTGTCTGATAATCGACTTAAATTGCAACAAAACTAAGGAATAGAGAAGTCTTTCGGTCAGCATTAATTTTGACAGCGATTTCCGATCTCGCCTCAGTCTTTAGATGGAAAAACTTCACAGTCTGTGTCACGTTTTTTCTCTTTATAGTTTTAGTTTTGTTGAGGACAAACAGGATATTTTTGTCTAGTTTTAGTCAGTCACAAGTCATCAAATTTTAGTCAACAATGGGTTTTTTTAGTATTTTATTGTCATGCTGTCCTGTTTTATCTTTTGTTACATTGTTCTGGTATTGCCCTTTTCTTTTTTTGTTTTTTGACGTTGTTGCTACCATGTGGTTATTTTTCTTTCCCTCTTTCCTGCAAAGTAAGCATTGTATAATATAGTTATTTGTTTACTCTATAGATACAAGTCAATGTTTACAACATATACAACATTTGCCACATGTGTACCTGTGATGTACGATATTCAAAACCCAATAAAATATCACTATAAAAAAAGGAATAAGTCTAAGCTTTATGTTTGTGGAATATATAGACAAGATGGGACTTGCTCCAGTAGAAAGCTTCAGTCGGCAGAAATCTCACAGCCTATAACAGCTTTAATCCAAGTCTGTCGACTAAAAGTCCCTGTTTTTGTCGCTGACAGGCTCAGGTTGTTGATCCAGGTGTTTTTGACAGCATCACGGAAAAGATCCTTACAGAGAAAGAGCTTTCTGCGGCAGAGGAGGATGTTGTTGTTTAAGATATAAGAAGTTATCACTCTTCCCACAGCCACTACAATCCACTGGCAAAAACACAATGTCAAACTTGACAATGAGACAGAGTTTTGGATTTATCATTACTTAGTGATTTTGCTAATAGGTCATTAAGATGATCCTGTTTGGGGTTACTGGAGGCTGGAGGACATCCTTGCTGCCATAGGGTGAGATCTGAGGAAAGCTTTTTTTGTTTTGTAGCACACAGTACTTGAAAGTAGGGATGCACCGATTCAATATTTGAATTGGATATCAGTGCAATATTTGGATCAGATATCGGCTCCAATATTGACAAATTAACTGGATCGGATATCTGATAAATGATGCGGATCCAGCTCTCGATCCAGTCTTTTTTTTTCTTTTACTTAATATCATCACAACGACATAGCAATTCTGTTCGCTCTATATTCAATATCTGTCAATCCTTTTTTACTAAATGTTTACATGGAAGTCTTCTTTTGCTGTGTGCTAATGTGCAATTTGTTATTTGTTCATAAATAATATTAAATGAAGCATAGCGGTAGTTCAGACAGGACACGGAGTCAAGCTAAAGGCCTTAGTCAGCTGACAGCTCAGGTGATCGCCCTCTAACATCCTATTGGCTAATGTCAAAATGGCGCCCTATACTTTATTTTGGTGCCAGCCAAACCTCTCTCAATCGTTTACAGCTTAAATGCTGCAGCTCATGTTTTATCTGGTCGCCGTAAATAAGACCACATTTCCCCGATTTTAGCCTCTCTTTACTGGCTTCCTGTGCGTTTTAGGATTAATTTTAAACTCATCTTATTAACTCATAAATCTTTAAACGGGCTTGCTCCTTTTTATCTCTCTGACCTTTTAAAACCCCATATTTCATCTCGGACTCTCAGATCCTCTGACCAGTGCCTTCTGACTGTCCCTAGGTCAGGATTAAAGTCCAGGGAAGACCGGTCTTTTTCCATTGCTGCGCATAAGCTCTGGAATGCTCTTCATGTCCGACTGTCCCCTTCACTGTCTGTTTTGAAATCAAATTTAAAAACGCACTTTTACTCCCTGGCTTTTAACTCCTGAGAATTTGGCCTTTTAATCATGTTTTTACTGAACCATCTATGTCCCCTTGTTTTTAATGTGTTCCTGTGTCTTGTTTTATTGTTCATGTTAATTGTCTGGTTCTTTTTATTTTGTTTTTAATTCTACTGTACAGCACTTTGGTCAGCACTTTGTTGTTTTTAAATGTGCTATATAAATAACCCTGGATCTGAAAAAATTGATCGGTGCATCTCTACTTGAAAGTCTTCAAGATTAGAGATTTTGACACAAGTCTTCTTGATTCTGTCCTTTAAAATATCACAATCCACCTATAAGCATTACAAACTTTATCCTAATGATATGACATACCCATGATACCAACAAATATCTCCATAAAGGTGATAGTTTGTCAGACACAAGTGAAATGTTTTCATTTTCTTCTCTTCTTCATCCTCTGGGCCCCTTTGTGTTTGTCCTCCCACATCCCTTGCTGACCAACTTCTTTAGCTGTTAACTTGTCAAACACTTGTCACAAACTTGGCAAACTGTGAAAACATTGGACGGCATCCTTCCCCAGCTGTGCAGAGGCCTCAGTCTGACTGACAGCTCTCACAATCTCCAGGGGCACAGGAACAGGAGATGAGAAACCAAAGAGAGGAGCTGCCTCAGCCTCACAGCGAGGGTTAGGAAAATGATTTTTTTTGCAGAGGAGATAAGCAGCCTTGTATTTATGGTAAAGAGCGTCCTCCTGTTTATCTCATCTCCATGTGATAATGAAACAGCCCCCTGTCACAGACCCTCTCTCATGTGTTAATAGAGCAGCGGCTTTAACTGGATCCTCTCTTTCTTTGGCTTTTGTGCCGTTTTCCTCTCAGGGAGATGGTGTGAAAAAAGAGCAACGTGCCCATTCATGTTTTCTCTAGAGGGAGGCTTTTTTGGCGATAATAATGAATTTGTCAGAAACAGAACTGGCATGGGAGCGCTGCTTTTCTGTTATGAATATGCAATTATTAGTGTGAGGCTTTTCATCCCAGGCTCAGGTGCTGATTATGCTACATGCATGTATGAAGTTTGAACAGAAAAATCAATGACTTCGGATGAATAATGATTTAAGTAACAAAATATCTCTATTTTTACATGTAACAAAAAACAAAGTGACTCATTAAGACAATTAGCAGCAACCAAATAGGTCGGGAAGTTGTGGGAATTCTTGTTTTGCATGATCAATCTCCAATCAAAATCTGCCTGATGTCACTTTAATGCAGTCCGTCACTTAATACTGGCTGCTGAGCATGCAGGGTTTGTTCCTGTCAGGTGACCGTGGAATGTAAACATGCCATGTGACGCTGCTGCGATCATTAAATGTGTATAAGTTAACTTTATTTGTGAGATCAGATTATGAAGTAAAGAGTCATCCCACCTGTCTTTGCATTTCTCCATGCAGGTGTCAGACATTGCATGGATCTGATTTGACGCATTTTATATCACAATATATATGTATTGCAGATAAGAAAAACAATATAATATTGTTTTTTTCCAATATCACGCCGCCCCAGAATGTGCCAATCCAGAGATAATAGTCGGGGCGTATTCAGTTGTCATCTGTTGCAGCTCTGCGCTTGTTCAAGGATCTTTGTTGGTGTTGTTTACAAGGCTGAGTGCTATGATGCTAAATTAACAACATGGTGTGGTTAAAAGGACTGCTGACATGCAAAGGCAATACTTGTGGGGGCATCTTGGTTTCTCTCTCTATTATAGTGTCAAAATATAATTGTTAGATAGTCCTTTTATACCATTTGATAGCTATATTAAGAATGGAGATATAGAAGGGCTTCTACATGATGAAAAACACTGAATGAAAAAAGTGAAATTGTTTGTTGATAGTTCCAAAAAAAAGGAAAAAATACATAAAAGGTTGTAAATACTGAAAATGTATGTACTATATCTTTATGGTATGGGACTGTGTAATTTAAGAAATTATTTATTGTAAAAAGTACTTAATGTTCTGTGAATTCTTGTATTATTAGAGAGAGTTTAGTGTTTGTTTGTTGTTTCAATTCATTTAATTTTTGTGTGTGTGTGTGGTGAGGGGGGTGTTTGAAACGAATGGGAAAAATACTTTACACTTTCGTAATACACAATTACATTACAAAACTGTCTGTATTATGTGAAATGAAAGTCAATCAAGATATTATTTAAAGAAAAAAGAAAAGATAGTCCTTCTACGAAAAACTGCAGCTGAAAGACACCAGTTGACAAGGTCGTCATCTTCACTGAAACATCGGCTTTAAGATGCTAACAAATGTTAGCCGGTGACTCATGGGTCGGCTTGGAGCAGCACGGAAGCAAAATGCTTCATTAAATCAGCACATTTGTGAGCACATATCTAACCAACAAAAGCACTTAGGGTTACAAACTTGTGAGTCAGTGCATGCAGGAGGAGCTTAATCTGCTCTGTTTAGTGTTGCACAATGGCAAAAAAAACTCTAAAAATATATGTGTTTGCGTATTAAATATGAATATCCATGAGAAAATAGGAGAAAGGTTGACTATCTTAGTGGACATCTGAAACACTCTTTTGGTAAGATACAGATATCTGTAATGGACAGTATGTCTACTTCAGCTGTGAAACTAACTTTCCAGATGATCTTTTTGCATTTGGAACACGGTGAGTGGAAACAAATGAAGGGTTGAGGTGAATTTATATGGACTGGCTGTGGGGGTACCTCAGGCTGAAAGGATCAAAAACACTGATCTCTAAGATACACACAGCTTTACGCTCTCTCCTCATTATCATTCTCTCTTCGTTACAGTGCATACACAACATGTGCACAAGCTTTCATCAGTCACATCTTACTTTTTGGCGAGGGCCCTCCTCTCTTCTGGGGTATAATCAAGGGATCCTATTGCTCCCTCTCCTTTTGTTGGCATGAATCCGATTATAGCTATTAAAGCGGTTCGAACTGGAAGAGAAACAGACAGACAGACGGAGGAGAAATCAGAGAGGAGAAGAGACAAAGTAACATGCAGCATGTTCATCATTTCTGGGTAAAACAGAGAAGGTTAAATGACATGACAGGATGCACATGTCTCTGTGTTCAGAACTCCTGTTATGTAATGAAATGATGCTTTGTTTTTTTGAGCGTAAGCCTGGATTTACCCTAGCCTCTGGGAGGACATTCACCCTGCGTCTGTCCCCAGACTTCCTCCAGCTGGCACAAGACACGTTTGACAATATGGTAGGGGTCAAGGGTGTGTTTGTGTTGGGGCTAATGTTTTGACTGGCTGTGTTTATTCTGATCTTTAGTCAATCTATTATAGCCCGCTGAATTAAAGCAGCTGGAGGCCCAAAACACAACCTCAATTCTAAAAAGATTAAACACGCTGTTGGAAAATTTCAATGATTTGCAAATCATTTAAACCCCAAATTTACAGGCAGGGTGGCCGTTCTCTTTTTAAGCCAGAGGTTGCAGCACTCATAGTTTCCAAAGTTAATGTTGAATACAGATTCATCAGGCAGTTTCCCACAATGCCTTACTTTATCTTCAATAGGTTTAGGCCCAGAGAAGTTTCCCGGGTTGTATTCATATATGTTTTCAGTTTTAACCTTCATTTGTGAATGCAGTGATGAACCATGTTCAGAGACAATCCATTTTGAAAGTAATTTCAAGCCCCTGCAGAGATTTCCACAACAGTTCCTACATTTTGAAAAATGGAAATTGTTGCTGTGGTATGATATCTTCTTGTTTGATGACAAATACAACGTTTGCCCCCATTTCAATTTGGTGCCAGCAACACATCTCAAACAAGCAGGGACACAAACATGTTTACCATTGTGCTGCATCACATCTTCTTTTCAATAACACTCTGTAAATGTTTGTCAACCCAGGAGACCAATTTCAGGAGTCTTGAAAGATGAATGTTGTCCTGTTCTAGTCTGATACAGGACTTCAGTTGATTGGCTTTATCTGAAAAAGTCATTGTCTAGATCGCAGCTCCAAAACCTGTACATAATGTTCAGCCTTCACAGATGTGCAAGTTACCCATTTCAAGCCTTTGATTATTAATATCTTTAATCTGTTTGATCTACTAGTGATTCTGGTGCTTTCTCCTAGATTATACTTTCTTTAACTCATCTAAAGGTCTCTGTGAGGCAGCTAAAGCACCACCTGTCCTCACCCTCCCCTGCACCTGAACATAGATCTACCAGCATGGTACCAGAAATGAAGCAGAGAACAAAAATCAAATTAAATCAGGGCAGATGGTGCACATTTGAGTCTAAACAAATGGGTGCCAGGGCCAGAAATGCCAGTGCTGTTTGCTTTTCAAAACCTGGAATTACCTGCTTAATAATAAGGATTTCCAACACAGTCATGCCAGGACTCTAAAACACTCAACAGCAAAAGAGCTTAATTATCCAAGGCCTATAAATTATCTTTAACAGCACCTGATATCATAAAACTAATAACTAATACAGCTACTTCACTTGAAAAGTCCTCCTCTTCTTCTTTAAAAAAAAAATAAAAATATGCATTATGAGACTGACAGCAGTTTCCCCTTTGTTTAAACAGTACTGATGAGACTGGCTACGGCTATCAGAGCTCAACACACCTGCTCACATTATGAGATAAAACCCATTACATAAATTACTCTTCACTCTTTGTCGTTTGAATAAAAATCTAAGTATTTTAAACAGTGAAGTTGTGTGTGACCTGTTTGATTAAAACGAGGAGCAGCGGCACATTTTACTTTGAAACTTTAGTGAGTCTGTCAATAAAGTCTTCTTAGTTCACAACTTTTAAACAGCTGGAGCACTCAAATCCTGACTTTTAGGATGGTGACTTGAGGCAACAGTGACCCAGAGTAGGGCTGACCGATATGGCCTCAAGTCAATATCACAATATATTGAGCAGTTCACCTCGATAACGATAAACGGACGATAACTACTCCACAAGCTGCTCACCCCCACCCTCATTAATTTTGTCTACTTCAGCCGCCTCTCCAGCTGCTACAACTTTTTAACTGTCCTCCATCTCCTCACCTGTCTATCCCTCTTTGTTACGGACTGGATGGGGTGGAGTCATGTCTCTGACAGCATCTTAAGGGACATGAGACCGTAGCCCACCTATTTATTTATTTATTTGACACAGAATATACTGATATGGGCAAAATGATGTTGGTTATTGTTGTAAACTTTGGTAACGGTAAATTTTCGGTTTATCACCCAGCCCTAACCCAGAGTTAAGGTCCTTACACACCGGTAGCACTTTTTTCGTGCGATTATTTTGGACGTCAATATTTTTCTTGAATCCATATCCTGTCAATACAAGCGTTCACATCAGCGACGTTTTCCCGTCCTACGATATTGCAGCATTTTTTTTTTTCGTATCACAGTCGAAGTTTCTAAAGTTTCGCATACTGTGTGTCCTCTTCTGACCAATCAGATTTGGTGTTGTTGCTATGTCTGATTCACCGGTATATCCAACATGGCCAACTGGCTGATTGTTTACGTGTCGGAGAACAGATTTCCTTTTGATAAAAGACAAACATTACAAAGATAACGACCTGAAGGACAACTTGTGGACAGTCATAGCGTCGGATTTCTCATATGACGATGGTTTGTGTGCTTTAACAGTTTGCTAAACATCTTTGTTTTAACTTTCATCTGTGCTAAGTAACTTTAGCTCGTAAGCTAACCTGTTCAGATAAAACATACCATACCGTAATTTCGCGTCGTATATTTACGTCGTTCCCAGTGTTTAAGAACCTTTAGTCTTGACCTTAAGCATGACTACTTTTAGACTTGGAAGATGGAGAAGCGTGTTCATGCACTGTGGTGTTCAGCAACAGTTCCTTCCAGAGTATTTTTGAGTTTACTGGACACCTTCAATGATCCCACGGCAGCAGTGTAATGATAAGTGCCTCTCCCAATCAAGAGAGGTGAATTTTGCGATCATACATGACAGGTAGGGCTGTAATTACCTGTTGAGTTTACTGACTACAGGTCCTCCTGAGAGTTTTTCAGCCTCCTTGTCTTACTTCTCCACTTCCTGCCTAACTCTAACTGCTCAAACTACTTAAACCACTCTTGCCATTATCATCACGGTTAAGCGCTAATGTTAATTTCAGAGCAGCTTGACTCCCAACTGCTTTAATTGATTTTATCATCATCATGATGATTGTAAATGCTTATAATAGACCTGTTGACTTTAATTATAAGAATTATCTGTCAGAGAGAACATAAGACTAGAATAAAAAGAAATACGTAGTAAACATTAAGTATTAAACTGATAAGCTTGAAACTATGGGAAATATTTGAAATACTCAGCCACATTTCTACACAGCAGCCAGCAACCATGTGTGTAATTCTGGAGTGACTACAGCTGGCCTGCAGTCAGTGTTAATTTCCTGCCAGGCCTCCTGCTGTCGTTCAAAACAAGATGAGACACAACTTGAACATTACACTTTAAGATCCCAGCAGGAGGAAGTCAAATCTCTCAGGCGTGGCCAGCCATGTGACAGGCACCATGTGGGTAAAAAAAGGAACCTTTGTCTGTTATTTAACTCTGATATTGGTCCAGATCTTTTGTTTTTGTCAAAAGAAGAAATCAAATTGGAAAATACTTTGAAAGGATGACCCGTCACCCGCTGTGCTGTGTCTGATTTAAGTCCCACGCTGGGAAATTATATTACAAGGATGGAATACAAGTCCAGAAATTGAGGTTCTCTGCAGAAATTAATTATCCGGTTGACTCTGCAAGTGCAGTATTTCTCATACACAGACCGTACCGAGGCTGGTGGAGAAACAATACCAAGAAGATCTCTGTTGTTTTGTGTCTGATAACCTCTATGCCTGACACATGCTCTGCAGTCACAAACACGTGTAAACACAATGTAAACACATGAGTCCGACTGAAATCACTCTAAATCAAGGACTAACACACCTGGATAATTTGGTTGGGGATCAATTTTCTCCTTCATGTATACAGCTAAATTGAACTGCCACTGACCTAAGTATTCTATGCGTGCTCCAGAGTTCACAAGTGAGTCAGGAGTTGAATCCCGCAAATTCGTTGCTAGGAAACCAGTAAGTAAAACCTCCAGAGACGAAGAGAGGCTAAAACTTTCCTATGGTACCAACAACTGGTACATCATTTGACTGTACATCCCAGCCTCTTGCTGACATGTTTAGTTGACCATTTTTAATATAACAGATCAACCGTGGGAGACAACCTCTAGAGATGACCTGATGGTAATGAACTGAAAGGGAGCATGTTGCCACCCACCATAGTGGAGGAGGACATGCTTTGGTCCACAGTGAGTTTTTTTTATGCTTCGTTCCAGTTGTACTCAGAAGTCAGAATTTCCGAGCTCCAAGTCAAAAATTCATCTGAAACGCCCCCTAAAGTTGGATTCGTACAATCCTCACCAGCCCCGACTTGACAACAACGTCATAATCCAAGATGGCAGCGCAGTGCATCAACAGTAAAGAGTAACAGTGAAAGCTCTCGGAATGTATGATTTATTAGCACTTCTGTTGTACTGCCCAACGTCTAACTGTGAACATGGTGCTATGGTGTTTAAGAATAAAATACTGTGTTATGCTTTGTTTATGGCTGTTATAGCTAACAATAACTGACAGCTGACAACGGCTAACAACAGCTGACAACAGCTAATGATAGCTGACAATTGTTAACAACAGCTAACAGTAGGCGTCCATCTTGGTTTTCCGACTTGTCATCTAGAACACTGTAATGTCATTCCAAGCTCTGACATCCAACTTCTGAGGTAACTGGAATGCAGCATTACCTTCCTATGGTACCAACAAATGGTACATCCTGACTCGTTTAGTTGACCATTTTTAATGTAACAGATCAACCGGGGGAGACAACCTCTAGAGATGACCTGATGGTAATGAACTGTTGCCACCCACCATAGTGGAGGAGGACATGCTTCAGTCAAAAGTGAGTGGACGTAAACTGGGATAAGGTCAGTAGTCTAGTTAAATCACTAACCAAGCCTTAACTTTGCATGTACTGAATGTCTTCACCAAGACCCTAGATTGTTAAACGTATGGGCACTTCACCTTGCAGCCAGTAGAGAGACTTCAATATCTGCAATCAAATCCCTGGTGGAAAATAAGTCTGATCAAACCGTGTGCATTAAGAAATCTTGATTTTGTCACCAAGTGCATCGACCTTCAAAAACTCATTTTCTTGCATTAGTCAGACTGAAACAGCACTTTAAAATACATGTAAATTTATTAGCCTGACTGAAACAGCACTGTTGTCACCATCATGGCGCTAAAGTTATCAGATAAATAAGAATATCATGGTGTTACAGGCAGCTGTAGACTCTCAGTCTCAGAGTGCAATACCAAAAATAAGGCTGCCTGCACTGACATATAAGGGCAAAAGATCAATACGCCTCTGGCTACAAATAATAATACTTATGAATATGTTTTATTGAGACCTTTTGAACCAAACTTATAAACTGAACCACAGCTGTGGGAAGACGACTCTGGGATTCGGCCAAATGTGGAGAACTCTGAGGATACTCACTGCTCCAGGAGGGCTGCCAGGTCTCTGGATGGTGGCCAGAGATACTCAAACAAATCTTCTTACCAACTTCAAATCTGCCGTTTGGCTGAAAACAAAAGAGGCGGAGGTAAGTGTGTGGGCGAGGATACTTTAATAAAACAACAAGTCTCAGCGGTTGCGACAAACAGACAGACATGAAGTTTGAAAAAGAAAAGAAAAGAGTTTGGAATAATAATTGATGCAGGTAGCTTTTCTAGTTCTCAAAGAAATAAAGAAAGAACAAGAAGTGTTATAAAAAGTATCTGGACGGAGTATGAAGTATTGAGAGTGCTGTGTCTTTTATCAGCCTGTCTTTATTGCAGGTGTCACACAGCTGTCTGAATATTATAAGACGGTGTGATAAAAGCGGTGAAATCCTCTGTGACAGTGCGATGGCAGCTCGAGCTTTGATCTGAAGACTGTCATTTCAGAAACCGCTGAGGGTTAAATGACATGCCGTCCGTTTTCAACTCTTTGATCATCTGATTTGACGTCTTTCTGTTCTGCTTTGGCGAAAGATTAATCACATCAGATCGGGATGTGGCCTCTGTCATTGTCTTACTGTGAGAAGGATGATGCTAGGAGGCTTCATGGGGTACTCTGGCGGGAGAACGATCCTGCCGTGGTACACCCCGCCGTCAAAGTCTGAATCTGGAGGTCCACGCACGGAGAAGTGCCATTCAAAGAGGTTATCCTGCAGAGAGAGGGAGACATTAAATACATGCTAGAGACATGCTCATCAGGACAGATCAGGAGTTTAATTTATAAAACAGTGAATCCACACCAAAAAAGAAAGTGTGTCACAAAAGGAAAAGGCGTTTGTCAGAAATAAGCCAGATTTATAAAATCATGCACATGCACATTTGCAGGCATTATTCCCTCTGCAAATCATAATCCACCTTGGAGCAGACGCTTGTTGATCAACCTCATATCTCACCCTCTACACACCCACGTTCCTCCATAGATGCTCAATGCAAAGCAACTTGTGAATGAAAATGCAAACAAATGAGCCGGCAGATTAGAGATTCCTCGCAGTGAAACATGGCAACAGAGGAGCAAATAACAGCAGAGAAAATAACGACCCTGACAGAAATTGGGTGCTTGTGAATGGAGGACAGAGAGCACATTCTCTTTGTTCCTTGCAGCAGGTGTTGAATAAAATAAAATCCAGCAGGTAAATAAACATTGTTGCCTCATTCACACACTGTTGCCTTTCAGCAGTGCAGTGCATCCATCATCCATTGTTACATGAGTGCCACTGCAGTTTTTCCAATGTGTTTACAGGACTCAGAGTGATCTTCAATTTCCCTCACCTCCAAAATTTAAATATGCATCAGGTCAGAGTTTGCAATTTGGTGGGTACATTTTACCAAACCATGGCTCAAGGGCAAAGACATGAGCGCAAGTTCACTTGCTATTTACACAATGTGGGTGCTGAGTGTAAAAAATGATAAGTGTGAAAATAAGGATGACACCTGCGCTGTGTGATAAGATGCTTTTAGTCAGGAGTAGAATAGAGCCCTGAGTATGCTGGGCGGCTTTGCATGTACCATAAAACTTAGTTTTAAAGAGGGTTTAAAAGACACACACACAGCAGACAGTGAGGCAGACTGTGATAACAGCTGATTCAGGTTAAGCTGTTGTCATTACTAGCTGTATATTACCACACCCTTGGAAACGGATTTAAGCAAAGATGCTACAAAAATCGATACAGCATAGTATGGCGATATTTTGTCTGGCGATATATCGTATAGTCTCATTTACCAAGTATCGATTTTTTCAAATTAATTGCTAATATGAAGTCAAATCTATGATAATGAAAAAATAAAATCAATTGTTTGTCCAGTGAGGTTGGCAGAGGTGACATCATAGAGCAGGAGAAAGTTCGTACAACAAATACAGTGTTTCTCCTACATTCATTTAGCAGCAGCGCGCCGCATCAATGGGCCACTAATGATTTCAGCTCGCACTGTGTGAGCACAACAACATACAACATTATTTTCGACTTGTTTTAAATCATCAACGAGCGCACTAAATCCTGTCAGACACTCTTCCATCAACGTGAAAGGTAATGTTCAAGCCTACACACGGTCTATATAGCAAGTAGCATTAAAAGTAGCATTAATATCAATGCGCCACTAATGATTTCTGCGAGTACAACAAAACTCGGTCTATGTAGCGAGTAGCGTGGGTAATGTAATGTGAAAGTAACAGCGTAGTTCCTTGAGTGGCGAGAGAGTCAGGGTAACAGCGGTAACAGGGTAACAGCGCTGCTAAAAAACATTCTAGGGGAACCACTTCAATATATATAAGGTTTGCAAGATTTGCTACAAGAAAATAAAATCTTGCGTCAATAAGACAAACATAAGGGGGAGACCAATTCTAAATTAGCTAAACAGTTGAAAAAGTTTTGCAAACCCAATTGTATCGCAATACTCACTGTATTGCAAAACGTTAAAAAATCACAAAAATGTCGTATCGTGGCCCAAATATCATGATAATATCATATCGTGGGGCCACTGGTGATTTCCATCCCTAAGTTTTAGTGATACCAAATTGAAGCTTTACAGTACACATAGAGTTACAGAAGTTTGGTGTTGTCCTGTGGTGAACTTACTTCTAGTGGCTGTGCATGATAATGCTCTGTGGGGTCCCTCAGCTCTGCAGCCTCCTTCATCAGCCTCTTCACCGCTAGAGAAAACAGACACGCAAACACACCGAGGTTAGTGCATACAGGGTCAAACAAATCATTACAGCTGGCATCCTCAGTTTTTCTGCAGCAGTCCAATACTATCCCTTTCAACTGCAGCAGCTTTACAAGCCAACATCTCCAATTTGAGTGCGCCGCTGTTCCAGTTAACAGGACGATAACATGGACAGACAGGAGAGGAGGACATACAGGGAGACGGGGTTTCATAGAAAGTCTCTGCTGAAACTCTGATAGTCGCACTTCTGAGAGGCAGCTGGGGCACAGAAACCATGGCTTTCCTTTTCCAACGGTGCGGTCTAAAGAGTGTAACAACCTCTGACATTTCTGCATTTCTTTACATACAGTCAGCAACATACTCTTGCACCCTGTATCTATAAAGGCCTGGTGCCTTAGCCAATACAGGCAAATAAAAGACCCAGCCTGCATTTGAGGACTACGACGGAATACTAGGGCCAGGTTGATAAAATGAAATTTCACTGACTTTAAGAATAAAGTCATTCATTTACGAGAATTAAGTCATAATATTTTAACCAAACTTTTCTCAATGTGGCCTGCCTCTAATTAAAACCTGCCTCATATAAAGGCCTGGTGCCTTATCCAAAATGGGCAAATAAAAGACCCAGCCTGCATTTGAGGACTATGACGGATTATTAGGGCCACATTGAAAAAATAAAAATTTACAGACTTTGAAAATACAGTCATTTATTTATGAGAATTAAGTCATAACATTTAACCAAACTTTTCTCAATGTGGCCCTAATACTCTGTCCCAGAGGATTCACTCAAATACAGTCTGTTTTTTGGTCAGCAGTTAATAATTCAAAGAGTATTAGTGTCATGACTTTGTGATAATCTAAATCCAAGTTTAACCACCAAGTTAAAGTTTGATTTCTACTGCTAACAGTCTGCAGCTGAGACAGGGGAGTTTAATAATAAAATTTTGGCGAAGAAACAGATGTGATCTACCAAAGCTTAAGGTTATGGATTTACAAGATCCTACCAAGTTTTCCTGCAAATGTTCCCAATGTTTCTCAAAAAAAACAAAGCAATTGGCTTTTTACCTAACATGCAAACCATGCCAGCAAGATTAATCTTCTACAGGTGCAGGATTTTAATTCTCTAATTTTAACCTTCACTTGTGATGCGGCAACAAACTGTGTCCACAGACTGAATTTTGGCAGTGATTTTGACCCCATGCAGTGATTTCTACTCCAGAGTTCCAGAGCTGGAATTGAAATCGATCAATATGTTGGACAGCCTTGAGGTTTTTCTGTTATTGTCCAAAAAGACCCCGGTGTCAATCTTTTTTTCCAAACAAGCAAAGGCATAAAAACCACGAAAAAAGTACCTGGCTTCTTGAGAAACTGCAAACACATCAGCAAAATTAAAAGAGTTTGATCCCAAGACGACAGCAGAACTTGTAATTTTCACTGCGTGCCACAAAAAGCTGAACTCTCTGGAGGCCGGAGGCGAAATGAAAGTAAACAAGTTTTATTTTTTTGAGTTTAAAGGGTCGCTCGATCTGTGCCGATGTAACATGCTCTCAGGAACATCTGCTTGCTTTAACCCTTGTGTCATGACCCGACCTGCTACACACTCAGTCCTGATGGGTTAATCTGAACACACACTCTCACACACACACACACACTCTCGTCAATCTGGGGAAGACGGTTACACAAGTCCGGCTGATGAAGATGATGGTGGTGATTGCGAGGTTTAGTCATCGCCCTGGCAGCAAAGGACACAAACATGCTCCTTGATGTGGCGATGACTACCGCGCCGCAGAGGAAAGGAGAGTCCACCAGAGGCAAACCCTAAGGTTAAATATCCCATCATGCCTCAGCACAAGGTCATGAGTCACAGCAGAGGTGCTGATACACAGCCTTAGCTTCCTGTTAACAAAGTGCTCATCGCACGCTCTAAGCAGACAAGCAGCAAGGTCAACTTTTCTCTCGCTGCTAAAAGTCCGACAATCATCCACTAGCTGCTGAATGAGGAGACCAAAAGGGGCTGAAAATTGGAAAGTAATTGTGAAAAGAAAGCGGAACTAAGAGGTATTCATGGTGGCAAAAATTGGTTTGGAAACCAATCGAGGGCGGACGTAGAGGGTGTTGAGCTGGAAATGGAGACTGTGAAATGAAACAGAAAAAGAGGATGAAGGGCAGCAGAAGCAGCATGGAGGGATAGGAGGGCAAATAACAGGGATGAAGAGCTGGTCTGACACCACGCAGCTCTCAGGGCACGTGCTCAGTGTGATTGTGCCTGCGGACAGATACTCCTCTGTGAAGATTTGAAGCAACTACTGTAATCCCACGGCGTGCACACACATGGAGACCAGGAGGAAAATGTGTGTGTGAGTGTGCTAGTGTGTCTTATCGAGTCTTGACAACTCCTCCTGTTTACACAGGGTGCAGAAGGTCATGGAGCCTGCAGTCTCACTCGCCTCAATTTTTTGAGACAAGGGGGCAGATAAGAAACTGATCTGCTGGAGAGGAACAAGCATCAGCCTACAAGAGCAGCTGGGGCCGGAACGAAGAAAAAGAAAAAAAAAAACAATTCACCTCACATGTTTCTGACAGGTCTTCATTTCAGAGGCTATTTCTCAGAGAGATAAACTCAGAAATGTTTTCCAAGTTTCTAAAGCTGTAAAAAAAAAAAACTGATGTAAAACTTTACTTTAGATCAGTTGGAATACCATGGGTCCTCAATTAAAGACTGGAATCTGCAGCTGAGCCACATTTAATGACCAGTATCACAAGCTCTGTGAGTGGAAAAAAGCCAGCTTTCAATTATTGGCTGGGGCACTTCTATATTTCTAATATGGAAATATGGAAATACAAGGGGGGGAAAAAAACTTACAAGTGGGTGTTAAATGACCGCACACCAACATCCACACATTAACATCATCAGCTTTGTGGTGGACCAAATCACAGTCCATCTCATCACAGTGCTCCAGTTTTTTATTTTTTTTAGTTATTATTCTAACAGAGCTGCTCTGTGAGCCCTCATCCGGCACCAGTTTCAGTTTACTAATAGGATGTGGTGAGTTGTTTGGAGAGGAAAAGACCGTATCATTTAATTCTGATGTCATGACAGACATGACAAACTTTTCTCAATGCGGCCTGTCTCTAATTAAAGCCTGCCTCATATAAAGGCCTGGTGCCTTAGCCAATACAGGCAAATAAAAGACCCAGCCTGCATTTGAGGACTATGATGGATTGTTAGGGCCACATTGAAAAAATATAATTTTACAGACTTTGAGAATAAAGTCATTCATGTTAATATATTAATGTATATATTTAGTCATAACATTTAACCAAACTTTTCTCAATGTGGCCCTAATACTCTGCCCTAGAGGATTTACTCGAATACAGTCTGTTGGTCAGCAATTAATAATTCAAAGAGTATTTGAGTCATGACTTTGTTATTACCTAAATCCAAGTTTAACCACCAAGTTAAAGTGTGACTTCTGCTGTTAAGTGACATTTATAAGGCTTAAATAAAATGCGAACTTTTGCTTATCATTGAGTTAACTCAAGAGTCATCTGTAATGGTGACAGCAACAGCATATACTAGGGGTGGGAGAAAAGAATTCATTCACAAAAGCATCGCGATTTTTTGTTTAACAATTTTTGAGTCAATTTTTTTGTTCAAAAATCTTTTTTTTTTTTTTTCAAATTAAAGAATATATCTTTAAACTGACTTACAAGTGATGTGTATCTTTTGGGGGAATGTGGTTTCTGGAACAGTCAGTAGACCTTCATAATCATTTAACTGTTTCACTGGTGTTAAAAATGCAGACTAAAAATCGAGACAATTGACAAAACTGTAGAATCACGTTTTAAATTGAATCAGCACCCAGAAAATAGTGGAAAAATCGAATCAGGAGAAAAGCATATTGTCCCAGCCCTAGTTTATACACAAACAGGGTATGATTTCAGGGGTTACGGGGTTCAAATCATTCATGAATTAAATCAATTTAGCAAACAATCCAAAAATTCAAGAGGACACACTGAGAGCGATTCCAAAAATCTGATTGGGTATGATGGCATGCCACTACCCTCACTGCATGCATAAACGATTCCACCTTCATCAATGACAATCTGTTTAGTTTTGTGAAAACATCAAGCTTCAGCAAAAACACTATAATATTGCAAAGCTGTTTGTCCATGTGGCACCACAGAGAGGAGCCAACAAATTAAATAACAGACAGGAAGCTTAACTGAGCAGTGATCTGTGAACAGCTGAACAGCGTGAGCGCCATCCTTCATCAGAGGAAGAAAATATTTACAACTCGCTAAATCTGAGCCGGCTGAAAGGGGGGGCTGCCTCACACTGCAAAAACTGACCTACAACCATGAGGGGGTAACTAGAGTGTGAATGAACAGTCTATCTATCCTCAAGGTGGTCTGTTTACTTACATTTCAAATGATGTAACACTCATGTTTGACTTGAAAATAACTGATTTTATTTCACCCAGCAGAAGCAATTTAATGAGCTCCTCATCAGATCCAATATTGATCAAGTTTTCAGATGGCAAGAGAGGACATAAACACTGAAAAAACATTTATTTCGCTACTTCTCTTGGGATCTAATCTCATATCCCACTTTCAATATGTAACACAATTTTGCTCTGTATAATTTGAGGTCTGATTGACACATTAAAAGAAATTGATTTGTAAAAGCAGATAGCTTCAGATTGCAGGTGTGAAACAGGTTGTGAAGGCTGCAATGTGTTCCTATAAGGGAAAATTATCTTGTTTACTTCCAAGTACTTCCTGTCGGTGACAGCTTTCCTCTATGCCCCTTTTTGGTCAGGTGTGATGCTACGGGAAAATGATACAGCTTCGATTAGATGCTATTTGTGGGCTGTAGTGATCATGTGCGTCTTATCGTGAGACACATTTCTCGGCTGCATGCCTCTGTCTAAGATGCTGAAACAAAATGGTCATGCTGCTGCCTTTGAACTTTGCAGCAGACTGTTGTTTATTCAAAATGTGACACCAAAAAACTCAACCAGTTCCCATCAACTAATGAGCAGGAATGGGAAATGAAAAGATTTTATACCGATGCTTTAGTCGACTCTAGTGCTGCAACTAACGATTTTTTTTTTGTCGACTAATCTATCGACTAGTCGTCCGATTAATCACGATCTTCTTTATTTATAAACACCTATTTCTGGGGTGTCGGCGTTTCAGGTGCTCATGCATCGCCGTGGTGCTGCCATGGTGGGAAAGCTGAGCTTTGATCGACGTGTTTTTTTGGTTTGTTCTCCGTAAAATGTTCCCAAACTTTTGAGGTTTTGGGTCAGAGTTTTGGAGCGTCTTTTTCAGTTTGTTCTGCTATAATGTGTGCACTCTTCTTCTGTGTTTGCTCGCGGGATGTTAACAGCGAGCACTACTGCCACCAGCACATCCTGTAGTGCACTGCAGTTATAGATGAGCATGAGGCGCCGGCATGTGATTCTTAACAACAATAACACGACGCGTTGACGCTTCGTTTTCGTGTCGATTAATTTGTCATGTCGACGTTATCGATTACGTCGACTAATCGTTGCAGCCCTAGTCGACTCTGCTTATCGATTCAATAAACTCATCTGGAGTTAATAGTTAAAATCATTTGGAGAGACACTGGCCTTTTTCCTGTGTATATGGACACCATATCTTAAGCAATATGCATCATGTCTGTATCAGTATCTCTTGTCATTGTGCCCTCAAAAAGTTGGAAACAGTTCGCATCAGGAACCAGATTTTGATTCCCATCCCTATTAGTGGGAACAAAATTTTTAATAGGGTTGGCAGCTGTGTGGCTGTGTGTCTTACTAGGAAGTAAAATGAGTGGGGAGGGTGTGAGCTGCATAAGCCAAAAGAGAGTGATGGAGGAAGTTGGAGAGAAAAATCTAATTTTCATTAATTAAAATCATCCAAACTGAAATACAAACCCGGCCATACTGCAGAGTAAAACTGCTGTTCTCATCAATGAAATTATTTCAGAATGAATAAAAGAAATGGGACAGCTGTTTAAGGCTAAACTTAAGGTCTTAGGGTGTCTCTTTATCTACAAGGATTATCACCAGAAAACTTTAAATAACTATCTCCACCTGTCAGACACTTTCAAGGCACATAGGCCTCTGATGATTACATTACAGCTTTTTCAGCTTGTTTCACAGCTGCTGCCATAAACAATCTACTGAAGCAGTTAAAAACTTTTCTCACATATTAAAGGAGTCCCTAAAGATGCTGCCCATTTGATTATCCTGTTTGAACTCTCTGCCATGTGGACATTCCTCATAAGGTTTAAAGCAATAAAACAAGCCAGGAAGATTTCTGTGTGGTGCAAAAAAAAACAGGGGCCAGGCTATTCAATATTTGGCAAAACACACAAGGATCATCCTTAGAGAGTCCAAGAATCAGAGCCAGAATGTCCTCAAATTATTCCCAAAGACCAAAGAATTGTTATTCAACAGGGATGTGTGATTCTTGGAAAACGAATAATAACCAAGGAGAAAGGAGAAGCTAGGGAGAACAATTTTGACAGCAATTAAAACAAAAACAGAGGAGGCAGAGGAATCAGCAGGGAGAAGATGACGTGAAGAACCTCATAAAGAAAGATTTCAACCTTCGACGGGAGCTGCAGAGCCGCACCCTGGTGGGACCGGGGAGGAAAATGTCATTCCACCATCATGGACCCAGGAGGGAAACTTTGAAAAAGGCAATTTATATGCTGGTCTCATGTCTGTTGTTCCTTTGCTGTCAAGATGGAGGAGGAAAGAGTGGAAGACACGTGTTGCATAGCAAGAGTGTGAAAAGGAGGTTAACACTGTGGAGGTCTAATCTATGTGTGGGAGCTTTTCTTTTATCGTCGGGTTCCTACTTGTCTCCATTTTTAGTTGCAGGCTTTATTCATGAAGTTTAACTTTAGCCTGTGTTGAGTTTCTCGTGTTTACTCGATGTTCTCTGCTCACTGAAGTCAGTAGGCAGTATCAGTGATGGTAACTAGGCCAGACTGCTCCACAGACTTTTACTTCGGGACAAAATAAATTCAGTTGGTTGCACCAACTGTGCAGGGAGTCTGGGACACATCAACAGCATTTAAAATAACGCTGTTGAATAAAAAAAAAAAACACAACTTTTCCCACAACGGAAAAGTTTTCAGGAACAACAAACTGAGGCTGTAAGTGAAATAAAGGAAGACTTTTATAGAACATGATTTATCTTAACTTTGCAGTCAGGACAGCCTGTTTGTGAACTGCAGACTAAGCAAACTGCTGGAGCAAGTCTGAAACTATTGAATCAGTTATTATAAAAAGACAGGAGATTGCAAAATGTATTCGGCTTTAGAATTCCCCTTATAATTTATCCCTGCAATGTGTCTTTTTCTCTTGAATAGTACTGACACCAGCATGCAGAGATTGCATCAACTAACAACTCTAAAAATTAAAGATAATTAGCAGCAGCCCTGAGACTTTACCACCAACAGTTGTTATTAAGTCTTTAGAAACCTGTTTCCAGCTCAAACTGTATAATGTTAGGACATAATTTCATAATATTACATTCCTGCACTTGCATCGTGACTTTCCGTATTAAAGACCTTTCTTTTCAGAAGTTTTCTGTTAGTTTGAGTCTGTGTGGGCAGACTGGAACACACAGTACAGAGCAGAGGAAGGCTCAGGGTCACTATATGTCTGTCCCTGCACTGTACACAGCCGGTACAACCTCAGGGTTTGTTACATGCCTGCTGCCCTCGGCGACAACAGGCCTGATGTGTGGTTTAAGCTGTCCTGACAGCAAAGGGACTTGTGGTCTCCTCAACAATTACCCGGCAGGCTTTGGTGCATGTTCGCAGAACTTCCCACTACAGCAGCCGATGACACATTAAGGTAACGTAGCGACTGTGAGGGGGGGGCGACCAACAGACTCCAGTGTTGGAGCTGGCAGTAGGGGTTGGAATCACTCATGGCCCCACAACACGATATTCTCACGATACTTGGGCCACGATAAGATATTATTGCGATTTTTAACATTTGCAATACAGTGAATATCGGGATACCATCAATTGCGATTTATAATTTTTTTTCAATTGTTTAGCTAATTTAGCATTTGTCTTTTCTTCATGTTTGTCTTATTTATGCTGTATTTTATTTACATGTAGCACATCTTGCAAACCTTATATATTTGTTGCACTAACTTTCTCCTGCTCTATGATATCACCTCTGCCAACCTCACTGGACAAACAAAGAGTTGATTTTATTTTTCCAATATCATAGATTTGACTTCATATTAGCAATTAAAGGCGTGGTTGGCAATCATGGTCCTATAGTGCGATCCCCACAAAGTGAAGAGAAAAAAGAATGGAAAAAATAAGTTTACCCTAGCAGGTGCAGGGCTGCAAAAACATTGACCAATGGGAGCCATCCGTCCCTGACAGCTCCTATTGGTCAATCTCCTGTTCCGCCTCTCCATCCAATCACCTTCCTGTATTCCTGACACACCCCTCTTCTGTAGTTCCGACTCGTCCCCTCCACTCTCCTGGCTGTCCTAAGAGCTCTAAAAGCGGCTAAAAGTAGCGTAGCAGCTTAGCTACAGGAGCGGTAATGGATATGGACGCAAAAAAAAACAACTTCTGCTTGCCCCTTCGCCAAAAGTGCTAAGAAAACAAGCCGACAGAAGAAAGGGCAGAGTCGAAGAGGAAGTGACCAAGTGAGGAATCTAACTCGAATAAACATCGGGTCATCCTTCGAGCGGTGGAGAAAGCTCCGCCAGGATTTGGGCTTGAAAACAGACGCTGAGACACAGGTAATTTTTGCCTTTTATCGTGGCACATCTAACATAAATAACTCTTATGAGTCTCTGCAATGTCAACATGGTCGCTGTCCAGGCAGCTGCAGACGGTGCTCACTAACAGAACTTGTGTTTACTGCCGCTAGTCACTAGAAATCCAACATGGTGAATCCAATTTGAAGCTAGCGTAGGATCTTCTGTCGACCGGCTTCTTGCTCTCTCAGAGAGGGTGTGTCGTGGGGAGGGCGATACAGGTTCGGGGGGAGTTATAGTGGAGCACAGAGGAGAGAGATTTGTTTGTGGGGGGTGGGACGCTTTTTCGAAAACTGTCTCAACGGCTCAGTTTTTTTCAACTGCTTCTCAGATCGTCAAGCATGCCTTTATTTGAAAAATCAATACTTACGATATATAACCAGACAAATATATTGTGATACTATGCTATATCGATTTTTTCTCCTGCCCTTAGCTAGCAGTGTCCTCTTTCTGATAGAATTTACCCCTCGAGGTGGGGAGTAATGTGGACAAAAGCAGGAAGAAAACCATGGCTCACTCTGATTCCAGTGTTTATTTATTTCAATCAAAGCTGTCCTAGATCCCTGTGAGTTTTTCAATGTGCTTTCACACCTGGAGCTCATTTGCTTTGTTCTGATTTAGAAGACAAAATGCAGACAGAAAGTTTGCTCTATGCAAATATATTTCCCCGTCACCACACTCTTTTTCTGGGTTATTTTGGTTAATACAGAGGAAATTAATCTTTGTGCAAAGTTTGACAAAGGTTTTAACAGCCCACAGTACCCACAGAAGAGGGAAATAAAGCAGACAAGTTTTTTTCTTCTTTTTCTGAGGCGGAACATCAGAGATTCTCTCTGGTACAGTGTTATTTCTGAGCCTCTCCACACAAGTGGGATGACAGTAATGTTTAAGCACTTTTTTTGTTGTTGTTGCTGTAGAACTTTAAAAAAGTATTCATATCATTTGATATTTACTGTCTTTGTAAAAAAACAATGAAGGTATTGTCACAATTCTGCCATCCTACCATCATTAAATTCATAACAAGACATAAATGTATCTGCTCCTGCAGCTGCTGACAGCATTTTTAATAAGCTGATATAATGTAGTTAAATAAATCCCTGAATTCTTAAAACAAATATCTGCATCTTATAATAATCCTTTGTTCAAAGCAGTCTAAAGCTTTTGTTTTTTGCTTCAATGCGTCCGAGACTAATTGTTGATTATCTTCATTTTCCAAACATCAAGGCTGACTTCAGCCGGACTGGACGAGACGATAAAAACATCAATGACAAATCCTTGGCGAATGCATCTTTGTTTTTCCACACAATAGAGATGAAACATGAAGAGAACAACCCCCTGCAATATGCAAGGAGACCATTAATCACATTCAAAGTCCAGTTCCATGAGAATCTAGGTGCCAAAGTTCAGGAGGGACTTTGAGGTGGGCGTATCAAAGAGATTGAGAGAGCTGTATCCAAAAGCAATTAGGTTAAAACATCCTCTCTGTCTTCCTGGGCACACGTTAGTCATGATTTTGGACTGTGGGGATCCATCAGTGCCCTGCAGAGAGGAAAAAAGGAGCCCTCAGATGTGTGATCTGGCTATCAGGGCTGGACAGGCACTCCAGGATGAGCGATGAGCCCCTCAGTACCTCATCCGCCAGTATCTCCTGGGACCAGTTCCAGCTTTGATGGCAGGGCTATAGGCACCTCACACTCAGCCGGGGTGTCCTCGGGTCATGGATGAGATATCCCAGTGTCTGGATCAAATATCCCCCGGCAAAATCTGATCTCCAATAACAAGTGTTAAACTTAGCCTTACAGGATACAAACAACTCTTCCTCACACACACAGCCAGCGAGAAAGCCCAAGGAGATTGAGCGCGAGAAACCACAAATAATCCCTGAGCAGCAGAAGGAGGGGATCCAACTGAACTTCTGTCAATAAATGAAAGTGCACAAAAAAATTGGCACCAGTATCGATAAAAAGAAACCACATGCTAAAACTGAATGAAACAGTGTGGTCTCAATGCAAATGTTACAGGACTGTGGGAAACACTTACAGCTGTGATGAATCAGCTGGTTTCATTCTTGCATTAAGTGAAAAACGCTCGGCAGCTCTGATTGGACAATCAATCATCATCGGTCAAGTTCTTTGCAGTCAATGTTCAGGACTTAGAGCGGCGTCCAGCTTTACAAAGTTTACAGATGGATTGGCCCCGTGCTGAGCTCTTGCATATCAAATAAGACCGGCCTGAATGGTCTCAAAGAGGGTCTAAAAAGATCACAGAAGCTAACAGACTCTATAAGGCCTTTTTGAAAGTCTAGTTCTACAAATTCACAAACATTTGCAGAACGCTGTGAGAGTGAGGACTGCGTACATATACTGTATGAGGGGTTTAAGGATTTAGGTATTGGAAAGACTGTGAGAAAGTCCGCAGACACAGGGAAAAGTCAGGAAAAAGAGCCCAACAGTGAAGCTAGCTAAAAAACATACAACACAGTCAGTGCGTTTACATGCACAGCCTAATCGGACTAAGCTAATAATTCGTTTTTGTAACCAAATCAGACTTCTCTCCTTGTCCGCGTACAGATGCAGCTGAGAAAATCAAAGTATTGATGTGTCTTCCTCCCCAAAACTAGGGGTCTATATGGGTTTTTTAGCAGCGTTGTTTGCGGACCTTTTTTGAAGATGTCTCCGTTCCTCGTTTTGCGACCGTCCTGACACTTTAAAATGTCCATTTCTGTCAGGAAGGAAAGCATTACAGCTCTCTCCTCGTCGTTCCAAAACTGGACATTCTTTCGTGCTTCAGCCATGTTGCAGTTGCTTCTGAGTCGAAGGTTCTTTAAATGATAGTGCCACTTCTTCTCTGGTGTTTTTGTTCCGGGGTTACGGAGGCGTGGCGCACACGCACATGCATTGTCCGATCATACCCTGACTACGCTGGTTACATGGTAGAGAAAATCGAAGTCTATCGCATTATCTGGGTGTCTTAATCGGGGTTCTCCGACTCCAATCGAAGTTCTCAAACTCAGATTACAGTCGGACTAAGGTGTTTACATGCACTTCAGTTGTCCAGTCTTAATAAAAGTAAGGCAGTAGTTCGGTTTTCTCGAGTGTCATATAAAGGTACTGAGTGATAAACCATTCAGCATTTAAACAGACTAGATTTGGGCTGGGCGAAATGGCCTCAGATCAATATCACGATATATTGAGCAGTTCACCTCGATAACGATAAATGGACGATAACTACTCTACGAGCTGCTCAGACCCTCCCACATTAACTCCAACAGCTCCAGCTGCTACAACTTTTGAACCGTCCTCCACCTCCTCACCTGTCTTTCCCTCTTTGTTGCAGACTGGATGGGATGGAGTCACGTCTCTGACATACGACAACGTCTTAAAGAGACCATAGCCTACCTACACACATCCAAAAACAACTTTTATTATATATGTTGATATGGGCAAAATGACGTCGGTTATTGTCGTAGATTTCGGTATCTGTAAATATTTGGTTTATCGCTCAGCCCTACTTTAGATGCATTTAAAAGGATCGCATTAAAGAAGGTCAACAATGTGTTTTCATGTCTGGAGGAAAAACAGGATTTTCTAAAGGTTCTCAGTAATTCAGGTCATGGTGATTTAAGACTTGATACAAAAAGTTAAATCCTTGAAATTACTGATGATATTTTCTGAACACAAAACCGTGTTAGGAGGAGAAGATAAAAGGGTGAGTAAAAGATGAAGTGTAATAAAGAGTAGATTTTATGGTGAGGAGCAGAAAATGTAAAAATCACATTGCCCCCATGTTGCTTTCTTTTATCTACCTGCTGCTTCCTGGTAGCTGTTATTCATGTCACACTCAGCAGAGGCAATAAGCAAGCCCAATGTCTCGCTCCTTGGTGATTTATTTTGTTGTGTTCGATTCACCTGTTGCTTCCAGGTTGATGTGTCACCTGCCACACTCTCAGCAAATACAGTGAGGATGCACTACAGGATGCCTTCTGTCATCTGTGCTTGTTTACATCTGGATAGATTTCTGAGTAGTTATTCAAATGAAATAAACAGAGTTATTCATGAACTATTTGTTTGACGACAGTATTACTAAACCAGTCTTCACATGCTGAACCAAACATCATTTCCCCCCCTGTGGGAACACTGTCACCACCTCTGTCTCCTGCCTCTCTCCATGTATGACTATGACACTCATCTTCCTGCATTACTGGCAGACGTGGATTGTAAAAGAGGACAGGATCCCAATCCAGATCCCTTCACAGCATCTTCCAAACACTGCTGTCCCTGCAGAGCCTCGCCGCACTGCCGCAGGCGTTCCCCTGCTCCATATCCCCTCCTGCTGTGTTTCACTTCCTGTGCCCATTTTTGGTCCTTCCCTCCAGTGACAGTGAGCAGAGATGACAAGGAAAAGCCCTTTCCCACACGAGTCCCTCTGGCGTCTGCTGGGTGAGCAGAGGTCCGGTCACTGGCTCAAGGCGGGACGCCGATAATCCTCGTATGCAAAATCATCTTACGTAACACATATTTGGTGTGTTGGCCACTGGGGATGATTCATAGTGGGTCCAGAGGGGAGAAACACGGCTGTATTGCGTAATAACAAGCCGGCTCTAAAGATGTGGAGGAGCGCAGAGAGGAGAGAAAAGACTTCTTCAAAGTCTGAGCCTTTCCTTTGCTGCTGTTTCAACAACAGACAGATAAGAGGTAAACCCAGGACGCCGACTGAGAGCTGATCCTACTCTGAGAGTCTAGAGCCCTGATTATTAATCTTTTTACAAACTACTACAAGGAGAGGAAATTAACCACCAAGTATTCTGATAACTCATTTATAGTTCTGGTGACTTTTCTGGCAAGATTCCTCTAAAACAGAATCAGGTATCAATGCATAACAACTGACATTGTTTGAAGAAAGCTAAATATTATAGTCACAATGTAAGAATACATTAAGGATCAACGGTACTTTAAAAATATCACAAATACAAATAAATCATCTAGTTTTTGAACATGTTTTAGAAAAGATGCAAAAGATACTTTGGATGTAACAGACGAAAACTGGTCTATTGTTGTTAAGTTGTCTGTTATGTCTTGTACTTTTTTTTTTTGTTCAATTTGTGTACCCAAAAAGTAGAGAGAAAGAGAGAGTGAGAGGAAAACTCACTTTTTATCAATACTGAATGGCAATCTTGTAAGGGGAAAAATTGCAAAAGTTGAAAACACACCTTGGTGAGTCACCCCAGTGTCATACATATGTGGGTAACTCCTGCTAGAAGAAAACGACATCCAAAAAGAGAATTTATGTGCTGATTTTCAACGAGCTCATGCAGTATTGTTACATCCAACGATGCCTGACACAGGCATGTCTTTTATTTAGACAAGCTTTTAATAACCAGGGTTTTGTTTGTCTCTTCTACTTATCTTTTGTATCTGCTCTTATTTCTGTACTTGTACTGTATACGTATTTGTGTATGTAATTGTACTTATCTTTTGTACCGTTTATGTTTATCTAATTGCACTTACTTTATACTCAGCACTTTGTGATTTTTATCTGTAAAAAGCGCTCTAAAAATAAACTTCACTTACTTACTTGCCTGAGTCGGTAACCACTAACCTGCTCCTGGTGGCTAATACCAATAGCATTATTTTTTTCTCCCTATTTGAACTAGGACTGGGCGATTACATGATTGTGATCAATGATTGTGATAAATTTTAGTTCGATTACGGTGATCAGCTGAGAGCATATTTACTCGATCAAACATAGAGGAAATGTGCGTCACAACAGCCAATCAGAGTCGAGCTTTTCCTGCTCACTTCTGTAAGTTGCTGCAGAAGTAAACAGGAGAAGTAAACAGAATGACCGCACATGGAGCTAAACGCGGAGCTGAGGGCAGTATCATTTACGTTGACATTATCTAATGTTTACACGTTAAGGTGTCTTCATTATCTCTGAGGGGGCGATTTGTTTATTTTGGGTCTTGCATACCTGCAAAAACACTCAGGACTGTAAACTAATTCACTGTATTATCTAGTATTTATCTACATTTGTTGTAATGTTGAGGTAAAATGTTTTTTATATTTTTCTAAGTGTATCTTGTTCAATTTGCTTTATTATTTACTTTGTATGTTAATAAATGTTGAACTAATCTCTAGTTTCTTTAGTTTTTAGTACAGATGCTTTAAAACAGGCAGTAAAAAAATAAATCATGATAATAATCGAGATCCGACGATATGACAAAATATATTGTGATCATTTTTTTTGCCAAATCACCCAGGCTTAATTTGAACTTTACAATGTTTGGTTTATCAGAGCAAGAAAAGCTAAGAATGTATAAGCAAAAGTGTATTTAAATACCATGATATCAGTTTTAACTCAAATCAGCCTTACTACCACAGAATGAGGGTTAATGACATGAAGTTGATTAAATATGTAAACATCACTGACCCCCTCTAGTTAGCACTAGAATTACCAGTCAATTAAATTAGTTGTTGATATTTCTATTACTTTTTTTTGGAAAGTGATTTGAAAATTTAGTATTTTGTACTTTAGTGAAAATAATAATGAATCAAATAACTATTTGAACTCTTGAGTTCATGAAAACAGTAAAGGTATGATAAGGTGACGAAGCGCAGAATGAATGTCGCTCATTTTACACACCTAACAAGCTGCAGCCAATAAGAGCTTACATATACCATGCAGAGCTGATGAAATTCAGGGACGAGCACTGAAACAGCCAGCCAAGAGTCAAAAAAAGTAACAGCTGCAAACTCAAGGTTTCAGTGAAGGACACGGCATCAGTTTACATTCATTTAGGAAGTTAAATATTAATTTATAACTGCAGCAAGTTTAAATTCAGAACATTTACTCCAGCATGCTCACATTTAAACCTCATGGCTGCTGCAAACTCCAAACTCCACTTGTAAATTTGATATCTCTAGTGTGAGGGGAAGACGCTTACAAGGTTTCAGCAGCCGGAAAAACCTTCACAACACACACAGTGTTGGTTTCTTTTTGTACGTCAGAAATGAACTCTGGGAAATAACACAAGGATTTCTCTGAATTAAGGAAAACAAGCATTACTATTTAAACCTAAAATTTCAACTGACAGAAAAGTAAAGTACTGGTTTTAAGTTCACCTTATTGCTGGTGATGACAGTTTACTACAGTGACATATGTAGAAATACTACAAACTTCTGTTGCTAACTGTGTGACAAGTAATAAAGACTGCTGTTATTGTGGATTCAAACCATGGTGTTTACATCGTCGTCAAATTTCTCATGCCTACTTCAGAAAGTAGTCTTGGTTACTGATAACAATGCTGTATAATGAATATTTTCAATACATTATAACTATTGGTATAATTACATTGACTCATGGTGCCTTGTTTTAGGGCTCTGAGGAACTGATTTATAAGGTTGAACATGTTGGTTAAATGGGGAACTCCAGTAAAACCAGTTTCAGTAATTCTGAAACTTTGACTATTAAAGGGAAACTGTTCCAACTCGACAACTCTGCACAAACAAATTTCCCTGTGAGTACTCAGCACCTGCATATTTTGTGTGAGTATAGGCATGTGTTTAGTGTGTGTGCAACCTTGGAAAAAGAACTGCACAACAGCAGAGCAAACACAGAGGTCACATGATCTTCAAGCAGGTATTTTGTGATACGTGGCATGAGCTCAGAGTGTACGTTCTGCTTGAGTTCCTTTATTACAGAGCTTTGTGTCAGCTGATGCAACCTAACTCTGAGATTGAGTTTAGAATCTTCTGAAAGCACATCATGTCTGCGAACACCTGAAGGAGACATGGTTAAGAGATTAGATGTAAATGTTTGATAATTCACTCATTACTATGCTACATGAATCCATAAATCACAGAGGATTTAAATTAAGCTGCATGCTACACAACGTCTCGGACATGAAAAGAAAAACTGGCATATAAATGTATTCTGAATAGAGCATTTGGGTGGACAGAAAATAATCTTTACTTCACTTAAACACACCATGCAACAACAGGGACTATGAACAACCAACAAATGGTTGATTTAAAGTTGGCAGACTGGTTAGTTTAACAGTCATTCCTTTTAAAAGAAGACACAAAAAGCAAAGATGATCATTTAAAAACTAAATCAAGGGCTTCAATTAGCAGTTAGGACTCTTATTAGTTTATTTATTTAAGCAAAAAGGACTGAATTCATTGTATTATATCGTATTGATTCATTAGTCTTGCTTTTAAAATGACTGTCATTATGCAGCTATTCATTTTATGCTCTGTTTTGAGTGACTGTCCACTCTTTATGCAGTTTTTTTCTTATCTTATCTAGTAATGTGAATTTACCATTATCTATGTTGGGGTTTTTTAAGTAAAATTTATTTGTATAGCACTTTTCGCAGACAAAAGAGTCACAAAGTGCTTCACATACACAAAAATAAAAATGTATATACAAATTAAAAGGCCAAGACAACAACATTAAACAGTCATAGCAGCCCCAAAAACAATTAAACAAATGCCTGAGCATATATAAACAAGTTTTGAGATGGCTTTTAAAGGCGTCAACCGAGTCAATTAAGTGCAGACAGAGAGGAAGATCATTCCAAAGCCTCGGGGCAACACCCTGGAAGGATCGGTCTCCTCTGGTCTGAAAACAAGTGCACAGAACCATCAGCAGATTCTGATCCACGGACCTCAGAGCCCGAGAGGGCGTGTAAGGCTGGATCAGATGACAAATATAAGATGGAGCCTGACCATGCAAGGCTCTAAAAGTTAGGACCAGAGTTTTAAAATTGATCCTAGAGGACACAGGCAGCCAATGTAGTGCTTTAAGGATAGGGGATAAGTGAGTCCTCCTATTAGCGCAGGATTAAGTCACAATTGCAGGCAAGGAGTCAGCACAAACTCACAACATCTATCCCTCAAAGGAACTACTCAGACGTTGATTTAATATAGATTAATATAGAAGACAACATGTGCACTTTTTGTGCATCTATGTTGGGTTTTTTAAGTCACAATTGCAGGCATGGAGTCAGCACAAACTCAAAATTAAGCGAAAGCAAAAGAAGAAAACAAGCCTAATGGTGGTGCCATTAAAATAGTAATGGAGCCATCCTTTACTTCCATATGTTACTGTTGTTTTTATTTTTCTGGTATTAATGTTTTTGTACAGCACAAATCTAAAGCCCTATTGAGAAAGACTAGGTAGAAATAAGCCTCCTTGTAAAATTATCATTTAATATCACATTGACACCTTCATCTGAGATGTATCAGCATAGATCTTGTATCACTAAATCACAGTCCAAACCAATGAAAACATTCATCACTTGTGTGTACAACAAATACCTTCTTAGAAATCACAAACCGACAAAAATAAAGAGTGAACACACAGAAAGGGAAAGACTAAGACACCGAGTCCTCACGCCTGATCAGCTCATGTCAGCTGAGCTGTTCAATAGTTAATTTTGTTCATAATGATGGATTATTAGAAATGTAAACACTGCTGTCATTTTACCAAACTGGCACACTCCAGCAGAAAAAGAAGTGGTCTTACCTGGACTCTTGAGGTTGTATTTCCCCTCCATCCTGAAAGGTATTAGATTGGTTTTAAAAGGGATAAAATGAAGAAGATGACTTTCGCCTGCTAGCTTCCTACTTACTTAACGTTAGCTAAACTTAGCAGCCGGGCTAGCTGCTCGGTTTTTAAATACTGTGCAAAAACTTCCGGTCGCACAGTCTCTCCGGTTCTGTGGTATCGAGGTAAGGCATAAAATTCTTTCATACAGAGGACACTCGGGTACAAAAAGGTTTCTTTATCAAGTTATCGTCTGTTTCTCTTTCGAAACTGTTGGTCAAACGTTATCTTCGTGACGTCATCTGTGAAAACGTAAACAGGAAGTGGTTGCCTACTGGCTGCTTTCTTCTTCTGAGGAAAAACCGGGGCAGCGCATGCGCAATCTTGCAAATAATTTAAACGGGACTGTACTTTGGATACAGAGAGTGACAGAAAGGCAGAAAAAAAGACAGAAATGTTGTAATAAAAGGAAGACAAATATCAAAATATATATATTGAAAAGTAAAAACATTGCAAGCATTTGTTACAGAATTTCTTGGATTGAAAATAATCTTTGATCAAAACTAGAGTTTTAAACATTTCTGAGATAGACTGAAATTCACATCTTTACCTCTTTATACTATCCAAAAGCAAACAAAACCTTCAGCAACAAGATCAAGGGTCCATGTATTATCCGTCCGATCAATTATTCCATTCAATCTAGTAAACGAAAAACAAAAAAACAAGTCAATATTTTGTTCATTTGTTTTTCTGTATAGCCAAAAAATAAAAATAGTGTCTGTTTTCGTATCTTCATTTCAAAACAGAATATATAGAGAAGGAAACGGAAATCAAATAATAAATCTTAATTACAATTATTGATTTTGAGTGCGCCTGCTTTGAGCTTATGTGCATTGAGGCTACATTGGCCTTCCCATGACAGCGTCAGTTACCATGCCAAAAGATGCGACAGAACGGTTTGAGTGCCAAAATCTTATGTTGTAACAGAGCTCTGGTTGTAATTTTTTCTACAGTCATATCTTCCTCCTTCAGCGTGACCCTCCTGAGGGCTTTGAATAATATGTAGGATGCTTCCATCTCCATGACAGCCGGTTAGCCTTTCTCTACCACTCTGGCCTGGAGTTTTTGGTCCACACTGTTGGCTACTTTGTTGTGCAATGCGCTTGTGCGAACAGTAGAAAGGCACCGTGGGAAATGGGGACATCAATAACCCAAAAACGAAAAGAAGATTTTTATTTTGTTTCCGTTTCCATCTCTATTATATACTCAGTTTTGAACAGTAAATACAAAAACAAACACTAATCTTTTACTTTTTGGTTATATAGAAAAACAAATAAACAAAATATTGACTCGTTTTTTCATTTTTCGTTTACTAGTTTGAATGGAATAATGGAATGGATGGATAATACACGGACCATTTTTATACTGTAAATTTTAATACTCAAAACTGCTGTGAGAGGGCTGATCAAATCTAAAAGTTTCTCAGAGGAGCTTTAATAATGCAACATTATCTGTACAGGGCTTCTGAAATCTTAAAAAAAAACTGAGCAAGATATAGATAGAAGGAAACAACATAAAAGTGCTACACTGACCCGAAGACAAAACTATAACACAATGATAAACCCTGTTCCAACTATTTGGTTTTTGATCATTAAAGCTTTTAACATTTTGACATCTGTATGTCCACTTTGCAATATTTATCAATTAAATGCAGGGCTACTATCAATTTATGTTTTTTTTTTTTTTTATATTTACATTTTACACAACATTTAGACTTTTTTAGACTTAAGTTTGTAAAAAAGAGATTTTGTGTTCGACTCTTCATGTACAAGGAGGAGAGAAAAGAAAAACTTATTTTGGCACAGATGCTGCCTCATGGTCTGTGGGTTTATTTTATTGTATTCACCATCACTGAAACAGCAGAGCAGCATATCACTGTTACACAACATTAACTATGGATGAGTTGGATGCAAAACCCTCTACATCATCATTTCAAACCATCCACTGTGCAAAATGAACATCAGATCTGCAGATCACTTCCAGAAGCAACAAAAGGAAACTCAACCACTGACTCATGTCGCACCAAATCAAGTAATATCCAGCTCTTCTGCATGTGTGCCTATGCACTGCAACCCGTGCAGGACATTGTTCTGGTCATACACAGATGCCTAAGGGCGTTAAAACACACATGGGTCATGAGCATGCCATAAAGGCTACACTTGCCCTTTATCAGCTTCACTGCATGATGTTTATCTATTCAGCTGAGGATGAGCGCAGAGGAAAAGCTTTTTCAGCCACAATGTCACAATTATTAGGGGGAGGTTTAATCCAACTGGTTTATTCTCTATTCTCTAACAGTGCATTACTGAGGATGTTGCATAAAAGCTTGAAAGACTGAATGGTTGGTTAGATCTGCAGCCTGTAATTAAATATAAGCAGTAAAAGAGCTTGAGTCTGTTCATTTTTATGACACGCCATAAAAATACTTTACTACAAGTGAAATCTGGCATTATTTTTTATGAGTATTATCACCAAAATGAGGTAAAGAATTGATGCATGATCCTTTCAGTAGTAGTATGTATGTCTTCTTAAAACATTTATGTCATCCAGACAGGTAGAGAGACATGCTTTAGTGAACAACAAACAAAAGCTAAACTGTTTTTGGCAGCTTTTTGTGTTTTTCAAAGAATTAGGAGTTTTCAAGTTTATAACGTTTTTGGTTGCATGTGATGCAGATGTCAAATGATGAGGAATCCTTTTTGATAACTGTGATATCAATATCAACCAAAACAATTATGACTATGACTTTTGGCATATCTGAGGAGCCTCACTGAACATGTAAAAGTACAATACCCTAGTGGCATTATACCAATAAAGTAAAAAACAGATTTGCACTTAGTTTCTTCATGTAACAATAAACCAGATTGAATGTAAGAGAGGTCCAGAATTCAGTAGATATATCCACTTTTAGAAAATCAGTGCTATTTGGATGCATAAAAAGGATGTAATCAGTTTCTGCTCACTGTGATGAGTTAGTTTCCATGGTTACAGGATGCTTTGTATCTGTCACTAAAATTGTCTTGCAATCTCAGTTTTTTCATAATGAATTGTGTGCGTCAGTCCTGCAGAACACAGGAGTTGCTGATCTTTCGCTGCCTTATTTTTGTGTTATTCGCTGAGTCTTTCACATATGTGTGCTAGTCTAATATTGTGATACCCTTACATCCCTAATACAGTTATACATTATAAAACTATCAGTGCCATATTTAAACTGTCCGATGTGCAGATATTGTCACTGTTCTGGTTGAAGAGTTGAAGATTTGCTGAAGGTTTTCAGGAGTCTTGTGCATGTGTGAATACAGCTTTTGGTGTTTTGAATTTGAAATTTTGAGAGAATCTTTTGACAACCCACAATAACACAACAAAACCAACAACTTCATTGTTCTACAGGGTAAAATTACTGCCTTTGTCAATGCAGTCTGGCTTTGAATAGACATAGCTATCAATTTCAATGGCTGCAGTGCAGTCTATTTTTCTGCTGTGGGTAAAAGTAATCTAAAGGAGTAATTCCTGAAGTTTTTGTCATGTAACTAACAGCTTACTTTCCTCTTTCCTGCCTCCTCCTCAACACCACAAAGACAAAGGAGATGGTCATAGACTTCCATAGATCCAAACCCCCTCTTCAACCAGTGAACACCTGTGGAGTGGACATCGAAGTGGTGACATATCATATAAATACCTAGGTGCACATCTAAGTTGGACTGGTCTAAGAGCATAGACTTTATCTACAGAAAGTGGCAGAGCCGCCTCTTTGCCTGAGAAGACTCCGATCAATAGACATCTGTAGTAGGATGCTGCAGATGTTTTATCAGTCTGTGGTGGCAAGTGTTGTGTTCTACACTGCAGTCTCCTGGGGAGGAAGCATCAAACACAAAGATGCAAGACGTCTGAACTCAGTGGAGGATGTGGTGGAGAGATCTACACTGAGGAAGGTGGAGACTATTCTAAAGAACATGGATCAACCACTTCACACCACCTTGATGGACCAAAGGGCCAATGGTGGTGGACGGCTCCTCTCTCTTCGCTGCAGTACAGCAAGATTCAGAAGATCTTTTGTACCAACAGCCATCAGACTTTATAACTCTTGTGTAAGTAGTAGGTAACTTTTAGAGACATATTATGTGAGACAACAGACAACTGAATTTCCCTTCAGGGATTAATAAAGTTCTTCTTATTCTTATTCTTGTGAGATTTGTTCAGCAGTCATGCCATAACCCAAACTCTGCAAAGAACTCTGCACACCTGAGCGAACTGTAACATCATCTGTAATAAAATCAAGGAGGTCAAACTGAAAGCCCCCTAAACAATGTGCAAGTTAAGCAAGCAAAGCAAAGAGGTAATGCTTAATACTGACTATTGCTGTGAGACTTCAGTTAATGCAAAAGCTTTGTATTGTGTAATTTTGGAGAATTTCACAAAAACTGCTGGGGATCAGGTTTTTGTGTGTGTGTTTATTTGAACAAGTGTTGAAGTGTTGCATTTTGGATGGTGACGCAAGTTAAGATTGAAGTAGGGTGTGGCATTGTACTGTTTGATTAGTGAATGTGTAAAAGACTGACATTGAGAAAATTGTGGCTTTGATTGTGACATAGTTTGAAGTAAGGCAAGGCTTGGAAAAACGGTGCGACATACAGAGAAAGATCCTAACTTTGTGTCGCGTCTGTTTTGTTTTTTCTTCCTTTGTCTGTGGCAATGGCTGACTATGTGTTCTGGATTAGAGATCAGACAAAGATGATAACTGAAAGTTGTTAAAGTTGTGAAAAGGGACAGAGAAGTAAAGTGATGTTTTCCATAGTGTGAATATTTGAACACTAAATTAAGAATTAAAATCAGTAATAATGAGAATAATAATTGTTTTCTTTCCAAAAATAAAAACATAGCAAGAAATAAAAAAATAGGTTTATAGGAACACTGCTGATCAAAGTTTTTCAATAAACAAAGTAATTCAATAGAAATATTAAATTCTACAAAAACCATGACCAGAAAAGGGAAAATTAGTTGAACTCCAGTTGCATTGGTAGGGTGTAAGAATCCTCAGCACTTAAATGACATCCAAAAAACTTTCAAAGAAAAGGGGACATTGATTCAAAGGGTTAGAATTTTCATGACCTAGGGGAGGCACATCTGATGTGACTGTGTGTGAGGATTTGAGCAGCTAATTAAACACCATTAACACAAAGATAAAAGTAAAACATGCAAAAACAAGAGATTTGGAAGTACAAGTACTGGACATGTTCAAAAGTGAAGGCCAACACTATTGTATAAATAAATTAAAGATTGGGTTTTCAGAGCTTTTCAGAGGGATAATTGGTTTAACTCCAGTTGCATTGGTAGAGGAAGAGAAGAGTGAGTTAATAAATAAACAAGTTAATAAATTAAAGTATGCTGGATAGTGCTTAAATTAACAGGAATCAAGGGTTAATTGTTCTGACATGCACACAGTCTGTTTCTCAAAATTCTCTTTGGCACTGTGGCTTAGTTGGTTTAAGCGCCTGTCTAGTACACAGGAAATCTGGGTTCGAATCCCAGCGGTGCCTTTTCAACAGATCGCATGTGACATAATTTGACATAATGTCAAAAACAAACCAACAAAAAATGCCTGCATTAGTTTACAACACAGCATTAAAATCCAAGCTTTTCAACCAAATGTAGAAAAGCATAAAATCAGAGAGATGAACGTGGAAGAACACCATGACACTGCAAATGCGATAACTAGGCAGCACAAAGAAAATGTTGTAAAGTTTTGGTACAGATACCCAACTAGATAGATGATTAGTGACATAACTGGAGACATAAACGTTAGATTGTGAGTTTTATTAATTTCTTTTAGAAAGCTTTTCAGAAGTATTTGATTTTTAGACCGAAAACGCTACCTCGTCAAGTAGCTTACAGGATATTTTTACTTTGTAATCAACAAAAGCCTCCTGTTTTGCAAATTAGAATCTTGCAAAAAGAAAAAAATATATATAAAAAGTGCAGTGCATCTTGGAGTGATGAATGGTTAATGTTTTGGCCTCAATGATCCTATATGTTCATGTCAAATAAACAAATAAAAATAAGAATATTCTAATACTGCTTTTTCCATAGCGGACACCAAATTGACAGAAATCAATCAAAATCAAAGGTTCCTTACAGTCACAGTCGACTTCCACTCTCCGCTCTTTTTGTGAACAACCTAAGTGAAAATGGCATCACAAAAGACAGTACACTCAAGAAGTTGAAGTTCTATCATGTGACTGACAATATTGCTCCTGACATAATGTATGGTATCCTTGAGGGCATTGGCGATTATAAACTCAAGCTTGTTGTTAAATTTTAGAAAAACTTGTTTTTATTCAGTTGAATAATTTTTTTAATTCAATTTTATCAATACCTACATTTTAAAATGTTCATTTAATAGTTAAAGGAAAATTAGACTGGTTGTAAATAATAATAGATGTGTTTTATGGATAAAATGTTATTTTTTTATCCATTTTTTCTCATGTTTTTTTAAAATAAATTCACCATGGCAGTTTCATCACAATTGCTCTGTATAATTTAATGACACCTCGTCTGTGTAATCCACTTAAATGATCAATTCTTTACAAAACCTTACCTGAAAAATGTGAGATGATCACAATGTGCTCTCCTCTTGTGTCCGCGTCATCATAAATGCCTCATATTCTGTGTTGTGGTTTAACTTGAGGTGTTTTACGAAGTTTATTTTGTCACTACAACTCCTTGTTGTTGTTTCACAAACATCACAAACCATATCGGGGCTGTTTGTGAAGCTGGAATAGCTCCACACATGACTATTTAAGCTCTGCCACAATGTTGAGTGATGGGCTGACTGAGGAGCATGCCGCTGCTTTAACACATTAAGACATTTAGACAAGATCTTAACAGTTAAGTTACTTTCCACTGTGTTCCTGTTAATTATATATGTTACCCTAAATGACTTGACAATCGATTTTAGAGCATTAAAATCTGGTATCAGAGGAATCAATACTTAAGTATCAATCCGCCCGTCGCTAGGTACAGCAGATCTTAATGTTTCATGTAAACTTCTATGTTTGAGGCTAACGGTAACCAGATCCTTTAGCACACACAATGTTCAATAAAGTTAAAAAAAAAAAAAAGGTATTCAAACTAAATTGAATATTTTAAAAAAGGCAATGATGTCACAGAGGCTTTGATGACATCACAGATCATCAAAGCGGCTTTGATGATGATGTCATCAACTGTCAAGTGTTCTAAGTTAAACTTAGCAAGTGGTGTACTGTTTCTGAGCTGTTGGTTCACTGGCAGGTAAAAACAACTTAAAAACATTTACTTCTTTTTTTAACACAAACACAGTGTCGATGCGAAAAACGGTACAAAGAATCGCAGGAGGTCAAGTCAAATTGGCCCAAGAAGAGGCCTGTGAGCAGGCAGATAGCATGCCCAGAGGAAATTGGACAGGATCTGGCCATGAATGGTGGTGGGAGGAGTGGGCCAAGAGCATGTCAAGTCTCGAACAAAGACCAATACATGCGTGGGAAGTTAGAGAGATGGTGGAAAACCTAAAAGACGGTGAATGCTTGAGAATTGCGGCACCACAAAGGGAACAGGCCGACAAGCAGGCAGATAGCAGGCCCACAGAGAATTGGACAGGACATGACCGTGATTGGTGGTTTGAGGGTTGGCCAAAGAGCTGGTTAGAACCTGAACAAAGTTCTAACCAGCTATTTGAGGATTGGCCAGAGATGGAGGAGATCTCTGGAGCAACACCCGAGATGGAGGAGATCTCTGGAGCAACACCCGAGCTGGAGGAGATCTCTGAAACAAAACCCGAGATGGAGGAGATCTCTGGAGCATCACCTGAGATGGAGGAGATCTCTGAAGCAACACCCGAGATGGAGGAGATCTCTGAGGCATCACACAAGATGGAGGAGATCTCTGGAGCAACACCCGAGATGGAGGAGATCTCTGGAGCAACACCCGAGATGGAGGAGATCTCTGGAGCAACACCAGAGCTGGAGGAGATCTCTGAAGCAACACCCGAGATGGAGGAGATCTCTGAAGCAACACCCGAGATGGAGGAGATCTCTGGAGCATCACACGAGATGGAGGAGATCTCTGAAGCATCACACGAGATGGAGGAGATCTCTGAAGCAACACCCGAGATGGAGGAGATCTCTGAAGCATCACACGAGATGGAGGAGATCTCTGAAGCATCACACAAGATTGAGGAGATCTCTGAAGCATCACCTGTGATGGAGGAGATCTCTGAAGCAACACCAGAGATGGAGGAGATCTCTGGAGCAACACCCGAGCTAGAGGAGATCTCTGAAGCAAACCCCAAGATGGAGGAGATCTCTGGAGCAACACCCGATATGGAGGAGATCTCTGGAGCATCACCCGAGATGGAGGAGATCTCTGAAGCAACACTCGAGATGGAGGAGATCTCTGAAGCATCACACGAGATGGAGGAGATCTCTGAAG